ACCTATTTAATTTTCCCCTTGTATAGAGTGCTTTACAGTTCGCTCTCCTAATCAGAAACAGCGACACCAAATAGCACTGCTCTTTACACTTTTCAAGAGCTTATGCTAGAGTTTGATTAGAGCTTGAGTAAGACAGCCAACGCCATAAAGTCATAATTAATTCCAGGAATTCCTTTCGGTGTTCGTATGGGATGCGAGAGCATAGCATACAACCCACTTCACGGTTGCTAAGAAGTTGCATGCTTGTTTAATTTCCTGTAGGCAGTCTTTTTGATATCCACAACCATCTCTCCATCGCCTCTTTTCTGTGCTTCGTGTACTAAAAGGCGAGTTCAAATTATGCATGACTTTCCGTCTTTCTCCAGGGAAATATTGGGGCTGCATATTTTTGCTGAGAGCAACTTTCCCAGATTGTAAGTCCTTCGTCTTCTTGTTCTCTCTACATCACTTGACCGCGTCTTCTACACCATGAAGCAGAGGCTTCACCGTCATGCTTCTGCTGACCCAAAAGAGATGAGGTTCGAGTTGCAGAACGAGTTCACCACTAGAGGTGAAGTGGGTTGATTCTTGCAATCGCAACGGTGTGTTGATAAGCACTAATCACGAAAGACAGAACATTCGGAGATGAACGGAACAACAGAAATGCATCGGAATGTCATTGATTCGCTCATCGCAGATATCAAAAGGTATCATCTCCATCATTCCCTAATCCCTAAGTCCTCAGTCCGCTCTCAAAGGGTCGAAAGTGTGAACCTGAACCCGAGCCTGAACCTGAACTTAAACCAAACAGAATGCATAATCTCCATGGGAGGTAAACATGAAAGCGGAGATGACTTCCCGCGGCAACGCCAAGGCATTATACCTCCCGTCATATCATGCTCATGTTACCTTGCCAGCCCGCTGTGGATGCAAAACCAAGTCTAACGCAACAAACGCCGCCCAATGGTACTGGAATGAAGACATAATAGATAATAAAACAAATATCGAGAACAATAGTCAGCGTGCCTTGAACGGATTACCGTCCAAACAAGCCGTTGCCAACACTGACAGTACCGAGGCCACTGCGTTGTGTCAATGATGCGCGCGCTGCATCTGGTTGGCCAGCACCTGGTAGACCTGGCGCAACGTTGGGCTCTGCATTGATGGGCCGCATGCTGCTACCCCAACGTTGTCCACCTTGTCCTTGCGGTATATCCATGTGCTGCGCCGCAGGACTTGACATCATACCATATGTTTCTCTACTCAGAACACCCATATTGTTGCGAGGGTCGGAGCCAGGTGTCTCTGCATAGGCTGCATGATCGATCGGTGCGCGCTTCATGTGTAGGACTGGTGATTCTGCTTCCCCTAGTAGACCGTTTGCGTTGTGAGCGTTCGAGGAAGGGGGGTTCGAGTTCGCTTCGATGGTGGAGGCAGAGCCATTGGGAGCTGAGAGATCGACCATGCGACGCTGACCGGCTGGTGTTTGGTAGCTGGGTACGCGGGACGGTCCTGGAGGGTACCGACTTTCTTGGTGTGAAGGATGTCGTGGATTGGCCCATGGCGTACTTTCTAAGAATTGCTCTTCTGCAGCTGCCTCGTCTGCTGTTGTCGTTCTATTATAGGTACGAAACGAGGGAGGCGGTGCTGGAGCACGCGTTGCAATCTACCGCGCTGAATCAGCTGCTAGTTCTCTAGCAGTTGCGTTCAGCCACTTACCTTCATTGCTCGAAGATCTTCGTCAATCTCTGTTGGCCGCGCAGCACTGATGTCTGGTGCTGCTGGGAACCCTACGTACTTGGCGACACCCGACAGGACAGAGACCTCCAAATTGTACGCTGTTTGGTGCCTGATCTGGTCAGACCGCTTCTCAGGTAGTCGTACCATGTATTCAGTCTCGTCGCAACCAAGCTGGCGTCGTCCGCGTTGCAATTCGAATACTCGCTGGTTGCACTCCTCGAGAATCTCCTCGCGAATATGTCGCACAGTCTGGAAGTATTGACTGTGCATTTGGTGCCGCTCTGCTGCTGTGATTATCTCAAGATTCTTCTGCTTGTATTCCAGGAGCCTCGTCTCGTACGCGATCTTGTCGGCGCGTCGATCGTCTATGCACTTGATCATGGCAACATACTCGGGGTGAACGCAATTCGGCTGCTTGAGCATTTCTAGCTCCCTCTCGAGTTGCGCTATCTGCTCGTCGCATAACCTGATGGCAATTAGCAGCTGATATCAGTAACTGGATTCAAGGCACGTCACTTACTTCTCTCGGAAAAGCTTGAACTTCTTCTCGATCTTTGCAAGTTCATCGATAGCCTGCTTTTTCTTGGTCACCTCCTCGTCAAGCACCGCGCTATCCTCGTCGTCATGCTCGCCCTCAGCTTCAGCCTCGTGTGCTTCAGCAGCTGCGAACGTCTCGGCGTAGGCATAGCTAGGATCCTCCATCTTTCTTTTCCCCCTCCTGCCGCCTTTCCTTGGTTTAGTGTGTTTCGCGACGGTGGCCATCTCACTGACAGTCTGTGCTGCGATATTGGCTTGTCGCTCTTCGAGTTCTAGTTCTTCTCGTGCGAGGGCCGATAGGTTCTCTTCAGCGTTCTCGAGCTCTTCGTCTGCGTCCATCTGGCCCTGTCGGTCCGCTGCAGCATCAGCCAGACCATCAAGCGCCGAGCCCTTCGCGTTTATGCTTCGCTTCCGTGATGGCTCCTCTTCACGCTCATCCACAGGACTTCTCTCAGCACTGGCACGCTTCCTTTTCATGCCGACATGCTCGAGATTCGCCGCCTCGGATGCTGCGATGAGCGAGAGAGAATGCAGAGGGTTCTCGGTTGTGGGTGCTTCGCCCATGGTTGCGTCGTCTGTAATGGCAGTGGGTGTGGGTGGAGCAGAATCATCGTGCTCGATGGTTTTGGAATGCGCGAGCTTGCTTGGAGTTCTTGTGTAGATGGGCTCGGAGAGTAATGACGTCTCTGTAGCAGTGCGCGCGAGCTTTCGAGGCGTGTTGTGCAGTCGCTCAGTCTCAGCCTCTGAATCATCTTCGTCCATGTCTGCTACTGCGCTCGGCCGTTGTGTGGGTTCTGACTGGTCGTCTGATGCGTCTCCGAGCTCGCTCAAGCTGCTAGAGCCGTTGTCGGCGATGTCGTCGAAGCCATTAGGGGCTTGTTCGGTGGGCAGCGATTCTGTGAGCACTGTAGTCGGAGCTGCCATGGTAGACAGCATCGCGGCAGCGACTGCAGTAGGATCTTCGGCAGCTGCTGTTGGCACCTGGGCTGGCGCAGGGTGGTCGGGAGGAGAGGTTGCAGAGGCGGGGTCAGGTAATTCTATCGTGGGCGTTGGAATTGCACCTGTGAGGGGCTGTTAGATCTGGTGCATATTCGGACGACGTACGTAAGAGGCGTGGTGAGGGAGGTGAGTTCGCGACGCCGTCGTCGCCTCGGTTGTTGACGCAAAGATCGACGGTCTCTGGAGAGGCGACCAAGGGCGCAACGCTGGGCTTGAGAAAGCCGAAAGAGAGCATCGGGATTGCTACGGAGTAGATGGGAACGTACTTTGAGTCTGCGCGACTTCCTCAGCGGTGCCGGGAGCTGTTCTCGAGGTGCTCCGTCTGGTCTGTTCGGGCGCGCTCATAGTGCGCCCACGCCGAAGACTGCCTCAACTCGTGACCAATGTCCCGAAAACGAGTTGCAAAGAATACTGTAGGCGCCTGCGATGCTCTATGGGCGTTGTGGGAGGTGGAGGGCGCTGGATCCGGTGAGTGGTCAAAAACGGTGCTGCTGGGGTCAAGGACGCGGGCGTCGAGGGTGCGTGTGGAGATGTCTGTGGCAGGAGCGACTGGGTGGCAGGTCTGGGATGTTTGTATACGTCGGGAAGCAAACGCGGGACAGCGACTCTCATGAGGGAGTCTGTAGTGAATGTGGAGGGCAGCTTGGTCGGGATGGTCTAAACTGCGCTCAGAAGCGGGTCGACTGCCCGGGAGAGGCCCTGAGAGTCTTGCGAATGACCGCACTGCCCTATCTCGTTTGGGCCTAGTGCCCAGTGCCCGTGAGTCTCCACCAAAACTTTTTGACGAGCTTGCTGCCGGCAACATCTCGATTGTCGCAATGGCTAAATCAAACGACAAACGCGCTGTGAAGACAGACAAGAAGACAGACACGCCCAAGAAGAGCCACAAGTCGGGCACTTCATTCATCAAAGTTGACAAGAAAGCGTTTGACCCTGCGCTAGCATCGCTGTTTGCGACCAGTGTACGTCTATCGCATACACGTGCTGAAGAGTGATTGCTAATTCATGTACAGGCGGGTCCTGTACAAGCGCCCCCAAAATCACGCTACCAGGCGCGCGCCCAAGAGAAAGCGACCGAGGACTCGAGTGAAGATGAAGACGAAGGCGATGCGAACGATGCGGAACTGAGCTCGGCATCTGAAAGCTTGCCCTCCGATGACGACGACGAGGATGGAGACGAAGATGAGGACACGTCGGATGCTAGCGAAGGGTCCGAGTCCAAGGACGAGGCAGCGCTTGCAAAACTGCGTGAAGCTGCACTGCACGGCGCAGTAGAAAAGCCTAAAAAGCGCAAGCGAGGTGACAAGGAGGAAGTCGAGGATGCCTACATGCGAAAATTGGCACGAGAGGAAGAGAAGGAGGAGGAGCAAAGACAAAAAAAGCGCAAGACAGAAGAAGAGGACGAGGATGAGGACGATGAGGATGATGAATCTTCAGACGACAACGATGAAGGCGAATCTTCAGGCGAAGAAGACGACGACGAGGATGCGGAAGATGTCAATGATGCCGACAAGGCTGAAGACCTTACAATCCCCAAGCACGAGTCGCTCATGGAGAAGACCGACGAGAGCGCTTCGGAAGTGGAGAAGGCATCGCGCACCGTCTTCCTAGGCAACGTCTCTGTCGAGTGTATAAATTCAAAGCCCGCCGAAAAGGCCCTCAAGAAGCACCTAGAGTCCTTCATCCCCGATCTCGCCGACAATAAGCCCCCGCATAAGATCGAGTCGATACGTTACCGCTCGACAGCATTCGGTACCTCGCTACCCAAACGCGCTGCCTTTGCAACCAAGGACATCATGGATGCGACTACAAAGAGCACGAATGCATACGCTGTGTACACAACCAAGGTCGCGGCGAGGGAGGCTGTCAAGAGGCTAAACGGCTCCATGCTCCTCAAGCGCCACCTCCACGTCGACTCATTGGCCCATCCATACAAAGTCGACCACCGCCGCTGCGTCTTCGTTGGCAACCTTCCTTTTGTAGACGATGAATCCCAAACGCCCGTGGCCGAAGGCGAGAAGCCCAAGAAGAAGAGGCCTGCCTCTGACGTTGAAGAAGGCCTCTGGACGCACTTTGCCAAATGCGGGAAGATCGAGAGTGTGCGCGTAGTCCGCGATGCAAAGACGAGAGTCGGTAAGGGATTCGCCTACGTACAGTTCGTGGACGAGAATGGCGTGGAAGCCGCACTGCAACTTAACGAAAAAATGTTCCCACCTATGCTTCCCCGCAAACTCCGTGTTACACGTTGCAAAGCAGAGAAGAAGAACAAGGACAAGCCGAGAGGACCGCCACCATCCAAGACAGAGGGTGCATCAAAGGGCAGGCCAGGTGCTGGCTACAAGCAAAAGCTTACTGAAGAGCAGAAGTCACAACAGGGACGTGCAAGATCGATGTTGGGCAAGGTCGCCAAGGCACAGACGAAGGAGGGTTTCGTGTTTGAAGGTCACAGAGCGAGCGAGAGACAGGGTAAGAGTGGGCTCAAGTTCAAGGGCAGTGGAGGCAAGAAGAAGGGTCCTAATGGACGGAAGAGCAGAAGTGCAGGCTGGAAGAAGACTGGCGGCAAGAAACAGTGATAGTCAGCGAATTCAACCTGCAAACACGGAAGCTGTAGGATATATACAGCTGTCGCGGGGCTCAATCGATACATTACATGCGCATTTCTACAAAAGAGCTTGCAGTCAGCAAAAACACATTGCGGTGAAACCTCACGACCAAGGCTCTCGGTTTTGCTGTCCTTCCACTACACTTTCTTAACGTAAGCACCAAGAACACAAAACATCTCCAAGATGGGCTCACCCGAGCTGTCCACCCAGTACCTGATGCTGCACAACCATCATGTTTCAACAAGACATACCAAGATCATCAAAAAGAAAAAGGCTCTTGGCCCCCACAAGTTATCGCAGTCTTATCTCAAGGCTAGAAATGGGTTGTTGAAGACAACCATTACCAACCAGTCAGGTCTGATGCAGATATAAGTTCAGTGCGAAGCAGCCACATCGTCCGAGTACTAAATTGCGGCAGTACAAAACGCAACTCACTTCAATCTCCTTTACTCAAACTTCCAGGAGAGATACGAAACAAGATCTATGGGTACGCAGTTGAATACCACCAAGTTGACATACACGGCTACTCCCCTATTAGAAGATGGGACATCAGACTTACTCACGTCACCCGTGCACTTGATAGCGGGTGAACACACCGTCTTGGTTGCGATTCTAGAATCAACTCACTTCACCTCTATTCGCGAGCTCGCCCTCACCCACGGTAGGCGTTTGCCTTCACGACAAATCTGTAAAGGACAAGAGCGGTATGGTTGCTTGATAGTTGGGTACTAGTGCTCTCCATGACACGACGCATGTAGTTCAGTACGACTATCCGTAGTCTACGTGGAAGGTCGGCTATAGGAATTGGATATGTGATAGTATGCACGCCTCAAGATACAAAGAGCTTTGGTACCCTTCCGCTCTTGAACCACTTGTAGAATTTCGTGAGACTCATGTTGATTGAGGTGGATTGTTTAGGTGATAAATGTTTCTAAGATCTCTACAAAAGTGGTTTCCTCTTTTAGCTAGCCGTTAATCTTCTGTGATGAAACAGGATCGTGTTGAACTCAGGACTGGGTGTCGGTCCATTGCATATGCTGTCCTTGTCCATTTCCTCTATCTGTTGTATATTCTGGAGCATATGAGACAGCGTGTCTGACATCCTGCAACCTGATGCGTGAGTGACTCGCAGCTCGGACGCAGGCCGTGGACGTGCACCACTTGATGCTTCTTCTTTCTTGCCTGTCTTTTCTTCACCTTGGAAGTCGTCTTCTAATAGCCCGATCGCCCCGCTTGACTAATTGTCGTCAAGGATTACCGGAGATCTTACCAGTGAACAAAGCATGACACATGGACTGTAATAACACCGTCACTACCTCAAAGAGAAACTGAACATCTCTTTAGAGTAAAGTACTTATACCTACTATAACAAAGCGTGTTAAGACCTTTCTAGATATAGATAGAGAACCTAGAAGTCTGCAATGCTATTAATCTATCTAGAATTTCTTCTTAGAGGCTAACGTAGGTGGTAAACTAGGGCGTGTTATTCCTATACACGTTTGAGTTTTCTATTGTATACGGTGCCGGTGACATGTTTCTCTAGTCGCTTGCTCCGGTTCCGCTTCTACGGTGGATATTGCTGATGGTGCCTTTTTTTTTGGTAGAACTGGTAGGATTAAGGTACTGAAATTGAAAACCGTGATACCTTGTTGAGCACGAGACATCATGTCCAGTGGTGTTTCATAAGCGCCGCTCAGAGCGTCTGTCTTACAGGCTGGTAAGCCGCAGTTGAAGACCATGACTGGTGCGGTGCGGTACAGTGGGCGCAATGCTGAACGTCTGGGGGATCTGCGGAGGCGCGAACTCTAATCGCACATCAAATACTGTAAGAGCCGCAATGTGCAGTAAGATCAAGATGAAACGAGCACGGTGGTGCACGCGACAGGTGCTTCACCGATGTTCCCTTGTCAACTGGAGCAACGGTTTCATCCGGGATGTGCTGAACACGACCATTATCCCGATCCGAGGTGGAGAGCAACACTGACGGCTGCGGGTGGCGGGTCAGCATTTGCTCAAGCCGAACAGCGTTTCAACAGAAGCCCAATACAATCACCCACGCATTCATTATCGAGGTAAAGGTTCAGAAGTCGACCGCAATGAAAGTGAGATTAGTGGAAGAAGTGTGGCACAGAAGCAGCTGATGATTCAAATGTCAACTTCCTGTAGGATTCTCGCGTGCTGCACGGCATTGAGCTGATGGTCGCCCAAGGATGAACGCGTGGGTTGTGTGTGTGGAGGGGGCCATGCACACCAGCGGAAGATGTAACCTGATTAGATTAACGCGATGAGCAATCGAAACTGATACGCTGCGGTACAGGGCTGGTGGCAGATACGTAGCCGAGCTGCATCGGCACCGTTCTGGTACTTGGGTTCGCGTGTCGCGCGAATGGTGCAATGGCGGAAGTGAGGCATTTGATTGACTGCTGTGGAACCCGTATAGATGGAGGTGCAGTATCTCGAACGGAGTCCATAACAGGTGCCAGAGCGTCTGACAGTGCCAAAACTCCTGACATTATGCCGGCAAAGGTAGGGTCGGGTTCGAGGCAGCGCGAAGCGAGCTTCTGGCCAAGGAATTGTTCCCCTTGCATTTCATGTGGTGGTTGCTTTCGAGATGACATCCATCTTCAGCCGCCGGACGAAAAGCACATGTTAGAGTAAATGGGCCGAAGTATCAACAAAATTGTGTGACTTGCGAGCGGCCGAACCGTTGCCTTGGGTCCGAGGAGGATGACGCAGCGTGGTGTGTGGCGGGAAATGTCAGTGGCTGGTCTTGAGGCCTACCGATCTTGAGACAAGGACAGTACGCGTCTCGGCTCGACGAGTCGAGATTCAAAGTAGAACAGGAGCCTTTCTTTTGTTTTGTGCGGCATGAGCACACTCTTTTCTCCATGCAAAGCAGGGTCAACGTGACGATCGCAAGCTTGGACGCTGAAGCGGCTCGGGTTGGGGGGTCAGACTTTGCCCACCTGCATTCGCGTTCTGTTGTGCTTACTATACAGCTAACGTGACGGCGGTGCATACTGCGTACATTCATATCAGGATGTGCAAGGAAAGGATGGAATAGTATCATTCATTATCATTCCCCGTGTTGTCACATGGCATGGAGCTCTCTAAATGATGTTGAATGCTTTCTTGAGACGTGGGCGAGACAGAAGCTGGGCCAATAGACGTAAGAGACAGCAGTGGCGGCTTCTAGTCGAGCGCGAAGCAGCGCGTCGCCTGAGGCATGCGTGGCGGCTGAAGGACGTCGGGCTCTCCACGGAAGGGTGTGTGTTCACAACTCCGCGGTGCTCTGTCAGATGCGCAAGCACACTGCTTGCCGGTGAAGCAAGCGTCACATATTGCAACAGTGAGCAACGAGGCTGTTGTTTCTCGTCCCCTTATGTCAAGGCGTGATCAAATAGATGGATGGGTCTTGCCAGGGCAGAGCCAGCTCAGAGTTTGGCGCCCGCCCGTACCGGCGTACTATGGTACCCAACCTGCAACGGATCTGCCGTCTGGGGGCGGAGCAATTTCCAAGGACGCGCCAATCGAAAAGCTGGTACCAGCATAATGCCCTGTCTTCCAGATCATGTGTGCACTGTGATTTGCCTGAAGCTGAAATTCAATTTCGAAGTGGAAGGGGAATTACACAGAGTTGTGAAAAACATGAGCGATTTGGCGCTGGGCTGAAGCTGGAAGCACGTGTCTACTCTACCCACGTCATCGGTTGAGCCTCGGGACGTCGGGGTTTTGCGCCAACCCCGCTTCACTCGTTAGCTTCCCGAGAACAACTTCAATCACCCAAGACCAAGATGCATTCTTCTAGATGAAAGCACATGGAAACAGTGATGCGTGCTGTCTGCCTCTGTTGCACCTGGCCAACTGTCCCGTTGAGGACGAGAATCCAGTGTGGCTGTCTTGCCCACAAGTATGGGGCCACAATCCCTGCGAGCCGCTAGTGAGCTTAGCGTGTCGGCGGGTCATCGAATTATAGGCGTCGCCGACCGCTCCTTCCTGAGCTCTTTCGCGCCTTCCAATCATCTGGTCCTCCTCCCCAGAGCATTTTAGCACGATCATTCTACGCATCTTCAACGCGTCCGGGGCTCCAGCAAGCACAACTATACAACAAGACATATAAGAAATACACAAAACTCTCTCTCTACCCTGCGCTTGCGCTCAAAGGTTCCGTCCTGCATCAGTTGGCTCGCGTCTGGTCGTCAAGTCAAGAAGATCGGCCTGTAACCTCGACTCGCAAATCTCCCCAACCACAGACCGTGGAGCAATAGATCACGGGATCGCATTTTGCTGCAGACCGCAACACCCATTGGTAAGTCAACCCCATCCTCGCGCCCTGATCTGCACACGTGTGCTCGTTGCGCCTATCGTCGCGATGTTCGTTTTGCTTGTACGCCAGCGGCTCTAAATCGCATTCGCTTCCACTTCATCATGGAGACATCTTGAAGGAAGGCGCATCCATTCAGACACGGCCATTGTCGTCGCAGCGCCATACCACGTCCCTTCGACATGACGCGCTGTTGCCTCTCTGGTTTTCCTTTACGAGCAGACCGCATGCTCTGACACTACGCGTGCGCTTCACATGTTCAAGGGCTGACGTCGCATTAGTTCCGCAACACACAGCCCACCAAGCCTCTTTGTATCGCGCTCTCTGCCCGCTACTTGGACCACGCTGCTGTCACCTGCGCAACGACAATATACATTTGTCCGCTCGCTGGTCGCCCTAGGCTTCAAAGCCGAAAGGTATCTAAGCCTACTTGTCATCTCGACGGCGCAGCAACCGACAATACGCGCTGCTACTGATCAAGGTAAGTGTCCATCGTCATGCATATGCACGTTGCACCCTTGACTGCCAATGTGCCAACGCATCGCCCGCCCAGCCAGCACATGCCAACTTCGACATCATTAGCTGACAGTACTCCTAACTGTGTAGACAGTCCTCATCTTCATTTCTAACTGGTGAATACCCGCAACGACTATTCCCCACTACGGCGCGGCCCTCTAGAGTGCAGTTTCACCCTCGACAAAACGCTTTACCACTTGTAAACGCGCACTGCCCTCTCGGCGCCCAATCGCAATCTTCGCGCCTCCAAACTCAAGGCTCCAGCCGTGCGCTCTAGCGAAGTCGCCTCAACTAAGCGTGGCCACTGACAACACATCGAGAGCTGACCCTGCCCTGAACGCGACCCAGCCTACCTGCGCTACGCGCCTACTGTAATCCTCCCACTATCTCGTCTCTAACCACCAAACGAGTCAACGTTGGAGACATCTTCACCATGACCGACTACGCCCAATTTTCGCAATCCCATCATGGGCCAGCACCCACCCAGCAGCAGATGCAACAGTTCGGTCAACAATCCTCTCCAATCCTCCCCTCTCAGGGTTACAACCATGGCGGTGCGCCACACCCTCAACACCACCAGCAAATGGGGTTTCCGCAACAACAAGCGTACATGGCCGCTGGCATGCAGAACCCTTACATGGCATCTCAACAGGCACAGCACCAGCAGGCTGCAGCGTTAGCCACGGCCGCTGCTGCTGGTCCGGCTGGATACTATGACCAGAATGCTATTCCCGGTCAACTCGCACAGGACCCGCGCGCATCTCCACGTATGTCGGTGTCTCAGATGAAGGGCGACGGACGCGTAGCTCCTCGATCTCCGACCAATGTCTCCAATGCGATGAACAGTGCGCTTCCATCTCAAGTGATGACGCCGACTCAGATGCAACAACAACGACGTATGAGCACGCAGATCAGCAGCCCCGCAATGCAGCAACCCCAGCCTGTAATGAACCACGGCGGGCCCAGGCCTTCAGTCCCTCCAATGACCCAGCAACCCCAACACCAACAGTCACCAGAGCTCGTCGCCGGAGGAGCGCAGCCTGAGGAGGCGCCGCTCTACGTGAATGCTAAACAGTTCCATCGCATCTTGAAGAGACGTCTCGCGAGGCAAAAGCTTGAGGATGCGCTGAGGCTGACGTCCAAGGGACGAAAGCCATACCTGCATGAGTCCAGACACAATCACGCCATGCGCCGTCCCCGTGGTCCAGGTGGTCGCTTCTTGACGGCAGAGGAGGTGGCTGCAATGGACAATGCGGCTGCAAAAGGCGAGGGTGAAGATGGCAACAAGGAGAACGCATCCATGCCTTCCAAGCCCGCCAGCTCTGGGCCAAAGCGCAAGGCATCCGCGACGCAGCTCAAGGGAACACCAACTATCAAGAAGAACAAGGCGGGTGCTGTGCAGCGTCACAGCACAAGTGAAGAGGACGAAGAAGAGGACGACGATGATGTTGAAGACGAGGGCTAGATTCCCATCGCCGCCAACATCTCATGTTCCTTCTACGATTCGACTTCTACACCTCTTTAATTTCGACATCTGATATTCTTGACAGTTCCTTTCGGGAGCTCCCCTTCATTTCACGACTTACGAAGCGAGTGCTTTTGGGAAATCCGGTTGGCTTATGCATTTTACCCCTGTTGTCAGTCATGGACGCTTTCACACACAAATTGTCTTAGCTAGGGACTGGGTGGGATTGGGTCACACACACACGGTGGGGCGGTCGGAGCATACGGCACTCACTCGGACGTTGGGAGTTATGTTGTTGCTTTCTATTCCTGTCTGCAGATGTGTGGACTATCATTTTTTACTTCTGTTATCTTCTTGTTTTATCTGTTACGATCAAATACCCACACTCGCTATCTAGCTTGGCGAGAATACCCAACCACTGGCCTGGAGTGCCAGTGGCTACAATAGAAAGGGTCCTCCTTCATCGGACGAAAATCAATACCATTCCACTTACTCGAGAGGAGCTCTTCCAGTACCGACTGTTGTCTCTTGATGTTCAATATTCAAAGCTGTGTGCGATATAGGCCACTCCCGCCTTCAGGGTAAAGCGTCGTACTAGCTCGTGTATAACTTGACGCGATTGTTTATTTGATGTATCACATTGTGCGTGAAACCAAGCTGTCAGAAGCACGATGTTCCCACTGCTGAGGATCGTGATTTGTACCAAAACCGCACGTCGGAGTTGCACTTGTCTTCCCGTATGTTGGTCTCATCTCTCCGATCTTTCAGCCTCGTGCCTCACTGTGAAGGGACTTGTGACATGCTTAATCACATTTGCGACTGGCGGATCTATGAGAACCGCGTCACTACGTGAAAGAGAGAAACTAAATATCTTTTTAGAGCAGAGTACTTTCCTACTACAACAAATTATATTAGAGCTATATAAAAATTAATAGAAATTCTAGAAGTCTACAATTCTATTAATCTTTATAATCTCTGTTCTTAGAAGCTAATGTAAGCTGCAAGGTAGAGCTTCTTATCTCTACCTGTTCGGTTTGTCTCTTGTGTAGGGTGGCGTGCAGATCTCCACAGTAGTGGATTGGTCATTGCTAAGTAATTCGTTGCGGAATTGGTGTGCGGAACCGCGCCTCGGTAAGTAACCGGAGATCTGCACCTGAGAAGTGCGGAGCTTCTGCAGGCCGGATATGTACACCAATTTCGAGTGTGCTACGATAAGCATTGTTCTGGCTACTTCCATGTACGACCTACATGATGAATTCTTCGTCGTGCAGACCTGCCACCCCTCATTCATCACAACCGCAAAAACATGACGAAGAGCGCAGCCAGCCAACACTCGGCGGATGAGTCAATCCGAGAAGTACAGGACGATACGTATGATGAGTCCGACGACCAAGAAAGAGATAGGATCGAAGAAGAGTGGCGCAACAGCATTCGCATGAAGGTTGACCTTCGACTTTGCAGCATCGCAGGTATCTTGTGCTCGCTCAATCTACTCGACAGCGGCGTGATATCCAGCGCATCCGTTACGTCGATGCTCAGCGACCTAGAACTGGACATCGGTAACAGATACTCGGTCTCTATCTTCATCTTCACAATTGCAAGCATTGCTTTCCAGTTGCCGTCAACAATTGCTGTGCGCACTTTTGGTCCGCGTATCTGGTTCGCCTTGATCACTTTCTGTTTCGGCATCATTACACTGTGCACGGCTTTCGTACAGACATGGCGGCAAATGATTGCACTTCGCATCCTACTTGGTATCGCCATGTCGGGTATCTACCCCGGATTGACGTATCTCATCTCGACGTGGTACACGCGGAAAGAGCAACAGCTTCGCTTTGCCCTGATGCAGAGTGGAGAAGTCATTGTCTTGGCAACGGGCGGTATCGTCAACTTCGGGCTCAACCAGCTTGATGGCCAATATCTCAAGGGATGGCAATGGATGTTCGTCGTGCAAGGGAGCATCACTGCGTTCTTTGGCATCTTGACCTATTGGTGGATGGTCGACTTTCCCGAGCACGCGCAGAACTCTTTCTACTTCCTCACGCCCCACGAGAGCGCGTTGGCATCTTCTCGCATTCAAAAGGACCGAGGCGATGTCAAGCCTGACGACTTTGCTTGGTCCAAAGTCTTTGTTCACGCCAAAGATGCAAAAGTCTACGGATTCTGCATCCTTTACTTCCTGCAGAACCTTGTCTCGACGTCGCTCTCCTACTTCTTGCCCATCATTCTGCAAGGCGGAATGGGCTTCTCTTCTGATAAATCGATCTTGCTCTCTGCGCCGCCTTATTACTACGCGGTTCTCCCCGCCATCTTGTCCTCGATCATCGGCGACAAGTTTCAGCTAAGAGGGCCAATCATAGTTTTCAACTGCGTCTCTCTAATTATCGGGTTTTGCATGCTGGGCTTCTCAGACCAAGTCACAGTGAGATATATCGGCACCTATCTTGCGACTGGAGCATACGTGGCGAACTGGGCTGCCATGGCGACTTATCAAGCGAACAATATCTGCGGCCAGTGGAAGAGGGTGTTCACGGCCGCGATGGTCACAGCCTTCAACGGAGCAGGAGGTATTGCTGGAAGCTTCATTGTCAGACAACCGGAGAGTCCGAGGTATATGACGGCGATTTGGGTGAGCATAGGGAGCCACATTTTGATCATCGGACTAGTTGGTGTGTTCTCGGTGTTCTTCTACATTTCGAACAAGCGGCAGACTAGGGGAAAGCGACTATTGGAAGGGACGGAGGGTTTCAAATTCACCTATTAGGCGAAGAGCGTAGAGGAGAATGCGGTTGACCTAAGGCAGACCCTGAGAAAAATCTACTCTACCAGTATTCCCAAGTCGCATTACAGTGCCGCCTAGTTCTGACCATGCTTACGTATGCCCTGTGCAATTGGGCACCATTCCGCGTCAATGAGTCCAGACAGGTGAGTCGTGAGGGAGCAACGTACCCAGGCAACAACAGAAACATGTGAGCTTGTCATGCACAAAGTGGTTCGCCGACATGCTTGACCAGTCACAGGAACATGGGATGAAAGCGGGTTGACGTCGGTGTGGGGACCGTCTGGGACAAGGCGGATTGGCTCGTGCTGAGTCGCTCACAAGCATCGTCGACCCAACTCCCATCTGTCTCACCACTCCCGGCTGCTACAGCACGAGCATCCCCGCAGTCCCGGTTATCGAGCGCTCCTAGCAAGTTATCCTATTCGAACCCCTCTGTTTTCTGCTTCTCCAGCTGCTGGCCGCCGATTTGGTAGCGTCAAGCAGCTTCCCCCTGTCCAGCTGGCCCCTCGAACGGCAACAGCACCCCCGTGGCCCTCCGCCGAGCTTATGCGCATCGGCACAGGCTGTACATAGATTTCACAACCTATTCCGACACGCCGTACACACGTTCTGAGTCCGCGCCGCCCTCGTAGCCGCCACAATGGTGTTCCTAGGCATATACCGCGCCATCTACGACTATGAGCCCCAGAGCAGCAATGAGATCGCCCTTGACGAGGGCGACATCTTGATGGTCCTGGAGAAGTCGACGATTGACGCCTGGTGGAAAGCGAAGAAGAAGGGACGCGATGGAGACGATGAAGAGCCCGAGGGCTTGATTCCGAACAACTATATTGAAGAGGTATGCTGCGCCTCGTCCACAGCACAGAGCCCAGCTTGGGTCGCAAAGCTATACCACACACAACACCACCGTTTGTAAAGATTCCTGTAGTCTGGAGACTGACAATGTTTACAGGCCGCACCCATCGCCCGCGCCAAAGCCCTATTCGATTACGACCGCCAGACAGACGAAGAGCTCTCTTTCAAGGAAGATGCCATTCTAGACGTTTACGACACCACAGATCCCGACTGGACACTGGTCGGAGTCGAAAGCGACTATGGCTTTGCGCCTGCGAATTACATCGAGCTTACCGAAGACGATGCGGCAGCACCAGCAGCACCAGCAGTGGCATCTCCAGCGCTGCCAAGTCGCCCGCCAATGCCGGCAGCGAGGGACTCTTTTGACGACGACCAGCCGCCTACTCCTGACACTCCCCCAACGCAGAGTCCCGCTGCCGCCCTGGCTGGCATTATACAGAAGAAGTCGCAAGAGGCAGCTCCGCGATCGACCATCTCACCCCCACCTAATGTAACCGCGCCTCCAAAACAACAACGACGCGTGCAATTTACCCCGGAAGAGTCGGACGAAGAAGCGCCACCGCCTCGTCTTCCCACGCGGCCCGAATCCGAAATACACTCGCCCCCACCGACTCAATACACGCATGCGCGGTCCCCATCACCTCCGGTCAGATCGCCTCCACCCCGGAGCGTCACATTTGACCAGTATGATCCTCCAAGTAGGGACGAGCAGCCCGCGACGCCCATGTCCGGCTCTGGATATCATCTGTACAACATCTACGAGTACATCACGCAGCCAGGCAAGAATAAGAAAATGCCAATCACGCTGGGCGTCAACATCCCGAAAGGAATGATTATGATTGCGCCCGAGAAGTCGCGCGATGGACCACAACAGGAGTGGAGCGCAGATAAGATGGAGTACTACTCACAAGAGGGCAAGCACATATTCATGGAGCTGAAACAGCCAAGCAAGAGCGTTGATTTTCATTGCGGCGCTAAAGACACTGCATCTGAGATAATGCTGGCTCTTGGTGAGCTTGCCGGAGCCGCTAAGAGCGCAGGACTGCGCGAGGTGATAGCTGCTGGCTCCGGAAATTCTAATGTGCAGAAGAAGGGTGTCATGCTATTCGACTTCATGGCACAGGGCGATGACGAGGTTACCGTCGGTCTTGGCGATGAGATCTTGGTTATCGACGATTCTGCCAGTGACGAGTGGTGGAAAGTCAGGCGGCTCAAGAATGGCAAAGAGGGTGTCGTACCAGCTAACTACGTTGAAATTACAGAAACCGTCCCCATACATGCTCCTGCAGCCGCCATGGCTCGATCGGGAACCAACGCTGGCCGATCCATCGTCGAACAGAATAGGCGGGAGGAAGAGGAGCTTGCTCGCCAGGCCTCAAGACGGAAGAGGCCAGAAAGTGAGGCAAGGAACGATCAGGTAGGCCCTGGCCTGCACTTGCCTTCGCGTAACTCTAGTCTCATGCAAACAAATGTTGACCATCGTCGTACTTCACAGAGATCATCAAGCAAGCGCGAAAGCTCCGCAAAAGACTCGAGTTTGAAGTCCTCGTCTAAGCCAAGTCAGTATACAACAATTTCACTACTTGAGTTTCTTGATCTGTCTCTTACAAAGGGGTCTGCGCCTTCGGTGGACGCTGGACATCTACCTAGTGGGACACAAAAGCACGCAATATGTGCGAGGAGAGATGCTAATTGAATTTGTTAGATGCTGCCAAAGTACGCACTTGGACCGACCGCTCTGGATCATTCAAGGTTGAGGCAGAGTTTATCCTGATCAAGGATGGCAAAATTCACCTACACAAAGTCAATGGCGTCAAGATCGCTGTACCGGTCACAAAGATGTCCGTAGAGGACCTCGAATATGTAGAACGCGTTACAGGAGAGTCTCTGGATGACGACAAGCCTTTGTCGGATCTGAAGAGGAGAAGCATGCAACAGCCTCGCGCAAAGGACTCTGGTCCAACCGGCATTTCTGTCGAGAGGAAGCCAGAGTACGATTGGTTTGACTTTTTCCTCAAGTGCGGTGTTAACCCCCAGATCTGTGAACGCTACGCTAGGGCATTTACCAAGGACGAAATGACAGAAGAAAACATACCAGATATTACTCCTGGGCTTCTGCGTACGTTGGGTCTCAAGGAAGGTGACATTCTCCGTGTCACCAAGCACTTGGACGCACAGTTCGGAAGGGATAAGCGAAATGCTGAAGATGGAGGAGAGGGAGCTTCTGGTGGCCTGTTCTCCGGCCCAGGAGGTGCACTGAGAAACAACACTCGTAAAGGACGTCCTGCACCGCCTGTTGAAACAAACGATGTCGTTGACCCGAAAGCGTTTGAGCCAAAGTCCGATGACACAGTCAAGAAGCCCGCAGATGGTACCCCGACACCGCTGGCGTCCGCACCCACTCCTGACAAGACTGCAAATGGATTTGACGATAATGCATGGGATGTCAAGCCATCAAAATCTGCGTCCACCCCTGCGCCAGCAGCATCTCCGCCACCAGCACAAGCACCTGCAGCGAAACCACCCCAGCTGACCGGATCTATGAACGATTTGTCTCTCTTGGATATGCCTGCGCTCAAGCCTGATGAGATTGCTCAGCCAACACCTCCCGCTCCGGCACCCCAGCCAACGCAAGCGCCTGTTCAACAGCCTCCCGCTCCCGCTCAGCAGCCACAACCGACCGGCGCTACCCCTACCCTATTTGAACAGGTTGCGGCTATTAAGGCTCTTACCCAGCCTCAAAACATGGCTCCACCGCGTATGCGGCCACAAGCTCCTCAACAGCAAAACACTGGTGGTCTCATTGCTCCACCACCGCAGCGGTCTTCCTCTGCCCCTATGAATCCGCAACAAAGTGCTTTTGGCCCTCCACCACCTCTACAACCTCAGCTCACAGGCTACAACCCAAACATGATGGGCCAGAACTCCGGACAGGGCATGCCACCGATGCAACAGCAAATGACAGGCTTCCCACAGCAGAATGGCGGTTTTGGGTTCCAGCAAAACGGCATGATGCCGCAACCCACAGGCTACAACTCCATGTCTCCACCCCAGCAACAGCCTATGCAGACTGGGTTTGCACAATACCAACAACAGCAGCCAACCGGTTTCCAGCAGCCCATGCAAACTGGCTTCCAACAGCAGCCCCACTTCACCCAGGGCTTCGGGAATGGCAGTCCCTTTGCCGACCCACCACGCGCACCGTTCCAGCCCCTCCAGGCTCAGCCCACTGGTTACAACTCGTTCCAACCATCCCCGCTTAACCCACAGGCGACTGGCGTCAACCGCTTCTTACCCCCGGCCCTTGCGCCACAGCCAACCGGTTACCAAAGCACTCCGCCTCTTCCTCCCATGCCGCCAATGCCTTCGATGCCTACGGCTCAGCCTTTGGTGCCACAGAAGACCGGTCCACCTCCAAGCATCAAGTTTGGTGTACAGCCCGCAAAGAAGCTTACGCCTCAGCCGACCGGGAGGGCGAACCTTGCCAATGCCAGTAAGTCTCTAAAACTGTTTTGTGTAATCACTTTCTAACCATCGATCAGCTCCCCAAAATCCTTTCGGTTTCTAATTCCACTTGCGATGGTTGTTCGCTCTTTTCGCACCCCTTTGCTTACTTACGGGGCATCCGCTTAATTACCCTACCACCATATGTATATGTACATAAGTTCTGTGATACTTGTTTGTTGTTCGGAGGTGTGGATTCGCAAGGCCCGATAGCATTCTTCATCACTTCACATAGCACTTACTTGCATTCAACACCCCCAATTACATGCAATCCGGCGTCTTTGCTGTTCTTTTTTCTGCTTTACACAGCCATTGCTTTGATTTGGGTATGCTGGTAGGCCCGATGTTGATTGTTACGGAAAATCAGCATGCGCCACTTTATCGGCCCTTTAATTACATGTCTAGAATGGGGCTGAGATGCGTGGTATGATGGCTCAGCTACGGAGATGGTCGGACCTACGTAGCTTGTAAAACAGAGATAGTCCAAACCTAGATGTGCTTCTAGACAATGTGACATGCTCAGAGCAACTGCACAAAGCGTATGTCATAAGTGCGGGATAGATTCACCCCTGTTCTCGAGCTGTGGTTCACCCCTTCGCGCGAAACAGATGCGAGACCAAGCCTTTGCCAAGTAAAGCTTAGCCCAACACATCAATGGCATGAGCACCCCTGCTGTGGCTGGCTGGCCGATCCGATGTCGTATCCACACAAAACCGCGCACGCGTTCGTGGCTCTGCTTGTCAAGTGTTGCAACTCAAGATAGAGCGTCGTAAATGTACATCGGCCAGATGCATCAGTGTTAAGGGCTTCGTCATCGTGCAGCCAACCCAAAAAATGCCCGATGTCGCGCTGTCAAAAAGCATGACAAGCAGGTGTGGCGATGACGAAAGCACACCAAGCTTCCTTCGTACCCCGGCTTATTTGCGCCAATAGTTGGGCCCACTGCGAATGTGGCTCATGCTAACTAGCGTAATAGACCGGCTGGGCCGAGTGATGCATGTCCGCGTGAGTGAGTGAGAGGATGCGCGCGTTTTAAAGGCGGCGCATCCCCTCGCTCCCAGTGGAAGGGTCCACTGTATTTCCTCCAGCCTTACGTTGCCTTAATCCTACCTTCACTCTCAACGCCCTACCTCGCAAGGGCTGCTATCGTCTTCACAAGCGAGAATCAAGATTCTGGTGGTTCCTCGGCGAAAGCTTGGTATCAGACTTGGTTGCGCGACACCTGATTACTACCGGTTGCTGCCTCATCCTACGTACATCACCGGCGAACAAACGGATCGCGAACGCATAACATCAAGCCGAACGCGACTCTCAATCCACACATTCTAGAGAATCGGTTTAATAAACATGTCGAACCAAGGCTACTACCAAGGCGGTCCTCAGTACCCACAACAAAGGTACGTTGTTTCCTACCCCAAATCGACAACTCGCACCTGTGTCGCAAAGTCATGCACATTTGATTCTTTTCCCAATATCCAAAACATCTTACTTGGTGGAAGATGCTAACGCCATTCTCACAGCTACGGCCCCCCAGGCGGCCAAGGCTACGGTCAACCACAATATGGCGCTCCACCACCACAGCAACAAATGTACTACGGTCCTCCGCAAGGACAGTATCAACAGGGCCCGCCACCCAAACAGAAGAAGGACAGGGGTTGTTTGACAGCTTGGTAAGTTGGTACCGTACACAATTAAAGAACAAGGAACTGCAACTAACAGAAGATTAGTCTGGCAACACTTTGCTGTTGTTTCGTTTGCGAGGAGGGATGCGAGTGCTGTGCTGATTGCTGCGAGTGTGCGGCAGAGTGCTGCTAGACAGTATGAATGGTAATGAGGAGTGTCATAGGGGCACTGAGCGACTATCGGGTATTGAGAACATGGTGTCAGCACATGTCGGTCATGCGGCTGAGTTTTGGCGAGACGTGAGTCGGCTCACATGTTCATGATTGGCTTTCTGTTTCTTTGAGTATACCTGATCACTTCCGGGTTCTTTTTACAATGTTCAATCCATGGCCTTTTTGTTTCTCGTAACAAAAGCAGTGCATGCTTCTTCATCCATTGATCCGGAGCTGACTTTTTTGTCTAGCCAACTTTGATGCATTCATGGTCTTGTTGGCTTGGCCTATAGAGCTTTGACGAGGGAGAAACACACGTTTGACACTCAGTGAGCTCATGTTTGCATGTCCTGTAACCTTGTTCTTCTGAATAGGGCTTCTGGTTTTGAAAGTCGAAATGATATAGTAAAGAAGCTGCAAGACGAAGGCTCATATACGTGCCGTCAGAGGCTTTCGTATGTGCTGTTTCCGCAAGCATCTTAATGCAAAGTCACTAAAACGTAAGCCTGCATAGCCTTTTATGTTCCCATTGGAAAGTCATCATACAAGAATTTCAAAGTGATATCATAGGTGTCTATCCATCAGCAAAGGCAAGAGGCCAACCCGATCTCAATACCTACTTGCACAATAGCCACAGGATTCCCGATCGCAAGCTTTTTGCACCCACCCATCGTCACTTGTTAATCACCAGCAACACCTTATACATCCTTCCAACTCCGACTTGTCACCCTGTCTCTTGCATCCGATCTTTGTCCTTTTCCCATATCTCGATACTCTCTCGCGAGCCCACCCCTCTCGCTGCCTTGATCAATCATTCTCATGGTTCTCCTCTCTTCTACAAACGTAGCAGGCTGCCCGTTTTCATCGATACCCTTCCAGCTTCTGACTTCAGTGATCTCTCCAGAGTGCGCGCTCTCCGAATCAGTGTTATCTTCCTCCTGTCTTCGGCAGTCAGATGGCGGGGTCACATGCCCGGTACGCTCGAGAGCTCGTGTGCGGGTAACGTGACGATATAGTGGCTGTGGTGGACGCTCGGGCGACGGAGAGGAGGGTGGTGCACGTGGTGTATGGCGAGCGGTTAGAGGAGAAGTACGCCGGAAGCGAGTTTCTTCATAGCGTCTAGAAAGTGGAGGGGAGGGCGAGAGACGGCGCTGTCGATCGATACGAATCTCTTCTTCGTACTGTTTTCTTGGAGATGGCGATGAGTGACGAATACGGATCCTTTCAAAATCCTGAGTTGGTGACTCAGGCGGAGGGCCATCGACAACTCGGTGCCGAGAATACTCCCGATAGTGATTGTAGTTGTCGTCGCTTGCCATTCGCGTATCTAAATACCTTGGTCTGCCTCTTGATTCAAGTACCGGCTCCTCTTGCCTTCCTCCTTCACCAAAATGGACATGTGGCCCTTTCACTTCGACATGCATTCTCTCTTGGCTTTCGCGCACTGTGTCCTTCCTCCGGTAAGAGGTCTCGCGATCGGTGCCTATAGGTTTCAGAATACTCCGACTAGGCGATTCTAGACGACGACGCGGCACAGAGTCAGCGTTGCTCGAAGTTTCATCTGACAATTTCACAGAACTACGACGCTCTCGAACGATCGACCGGTACGGCCTTGGATGAGATATAAGGCGAGCTTCCGCTTCCTCGCTCCGCCCCTCAGTACGAAAGCTGACTCGAACGGGAGATCTACTTTGACTCCTAGGCCTGCGTTCTTGCGACTCAGTCCGATACATGACTCTCGTGGATCTCGTCTGAGGCGGAGGGGACGGACTGAGCTCGACGATCCTGGAACTCGCTCGGCGTGAGGGGCTTCTGTCAATCTTCCTATAGGAATGAGTATGGACAATATCTGGTGGAGGCCATACCTCATCGGATTTTGAGACACGACTGGGGAGTGGCGCAGGCGGCGCAGAGTATACTTGATCTGACTGTGTTGCCCTTGAGCGAATAATGTCAGGCGGGAGCCAGGCTTCTCTAGCATACCTTGACGAACGACGGGGACTCAACGAAAAAGTGTGTGTTCTCCGCTCAGCTCTGGATTCCTCTCGAGGTCGTTGGAGAGCTCGTAGGCCCAGGTATGCTTGACTAGATTCACGTCTAATCACGCGTGGGCGACTGGGAGAGTAACGCGCAAAATAGGTTTCCTCTCTGCTTCGCCTCCGACCCCTGCGCTCATCATGTTCGATGTCGATATGGACACACTCTCCAGGCCACTCGCATGGCACATCGGCCGTACACTTTCGGATGTGTGTGTATCTGCTGGTTGAGCGGTAGGAGCTCTTGAGCTTCTTCTCGCATCGTCGGCAGAGTGTGGGAACCATAGGCTTGCCAGGGAGGACCGGGTTACTGCGATGGAAGCCTGCGGAGCGCATTTGGCCGCAGTGACTACAGGTGTGACAGAGCATAACTGGTACAGCCACTTCCTCGACCTGTGGTGGTGGTGCCGCAGTTGCCTGGGATTGCCCATATCGTTGGTAGTGATATCGTTCGCTTGTCTGCTGTGATCTTGACTCCATATTATCCTGCTGCATATTCCGTGACGATGGCACCATGGCGCTCGTAAGTGGAGCCATTCGCCGACGATCTATATCAGAATTCTGGTTGTTATACTGCCAGTCGGCGTTAGATCCTAGTGGAGGCGGGGGCTGAGGGATATAGTCCCTTGGTACCTGAGCATATCCTGATGGACCAGCTGTTGAAATCTGTTGTTGACCCTGTTGCTGTGCCTGCGGATCTAAAAGCGGCGCTGGGCGCTGTGGGATTCCGGTCTGACTGTAGGTGCCTTGGCCGTATCCAGCCTGCGGATAGCCTCCCTGATATCCTGGAAACGAAGCGACGGAAGAGGAGGCTGCCGGTGGGGGTGTTGGTGCCGCAGGAGGTATTTCAAGGCCTGGAAATTGCTATAAAGATGTAAGCTGTAGTCTGTCGATTGGCGAATCACGCGAGAGACCGGACAAGACAGTCCGATTTCAAGCACTCCTATATCTCATTGTTAGCCAACCTGTAGTCTCTGGGAACCGTGACGCACTCACACACTGAAAAGATACGAGTTGGCTGGCTGGGCGAAGGAACCCGGGTACTGAGGAATTGGCTGACCTTGGTTTTGGTCTTGTCCGTTGCTGCCACTGCCACTGCCACTGCCGCCAGTGCGGCCCATGTACGACTCAAAGGCCCTTCTCTGCTCTTCATTGGCCATTGTGTGGTTGTGGTAGGTGCGGACGTGCGACTGGACGTGTAGGAGGAAGGCCGAAGAGCGGCGCTGATTATCGAAGCCACGTGGGCGCCGAGGGAGAGAGGTGCAAATAGGTGTCAAGAGGAAAGAGCGACAGGAAGAAAGGTGGGGCAAACTGAAGATGGACTCAGAGGACTGTAGAAAATCATGTCGCCACGAGCGGTGAACAGGAGGTCAAAGTGAAGGAGGGTCGCGTGACCGCAATCCATACCCATCGTATACAGTCGTCGTACTCGAGCCGTGTCGCCAGCCACGGTATCTATGCATTCTTGCCGTAACTCACCTCATGGATGCCTGCAATGGGAGCTAATATTCTTTTATTTCTTCCCAGACGCCCGCCTGCGAACAATGCCAGTATGGCTTATTTTGTACAAATGCTACAAATCTCTAGCAAGATCGTCATATACCTGGAAATCTACTCCACTCTCAAGACCCTAGGTCCCTTTCTCTTGGTGGACCTCTTCTTCTTGTGGCCCTTGTCAAACGACACGGCGCTTTGGTGATCGCGGCCAAAGTTGTCGAGATCCTTGACCTTGTAGATCCTAATGATCCAGTTCTCGCTGGTAAAGGCCTCCTCGATGGTGCTGAGCTCGGGGCCCTGTGCAGGGAGACGCGCGTTACGAACACGATCCTGGGCCTGTCCAGCGGGGAACAGTGCGTTGTAGTTGTAGTACGACATCTTGTACCTGGTAACGTTGTTAGTGGCTGTTATGGCTGGCTGGAACTAGATCACTTACATCAAGCTGTTCTTCATAGTTTCGGTGGCCTCACCGTCTACGCGGTACTCGCCTCGTGGGGTGAAGAAGTTGCGCTCCTTGACCTCATCAGGCCAGATACCCTCAGCGATCCTGACCATCCAGAGGAACTTGTTGATGTCATCGCCAGAGTAGCCTAGAAGACCACCAAAGACCACCAAAACGTAGTCAACCTCGTGCTGGCGCATGATGGGGTAGCTGACTTCCTCCCTGGAGCTCATAGCCTTACCAACGGTAGCAATGTGCGTGTTGTTCCAGGTGTTGTTGTCGACAAGGGTAGGGCGGTCGGCCATACCGCCAATCTGGTAACCGTAGTCCCACCAAGACATGATCTTGGCGTTCTGGGGGGTGTTCTGCCTAAGCCAGTAGTATGCCTCGCGGTAGTCATCGATGATGTGCTGGCTGCCGTCAGGAAGCCTGGATGCGAGCACGACCGAGGGCGAAGAGTAGGCGTTGGAAGTGACCCATGTGCAGTGAAGGACGAAGAGCATGAGGTAGATGGCGGAGGCTCCGGCAACGGTAAGCTTGGAGGCGTATGAGTAGATTCCAACGAGCGGGTTGCGCGTAGATCGGAGACCTTCGGGGATCACTGCTGCAGCGGCAACTGAGACAGCGTCAGTGCTACCGTTCTCAGTAACGGGCTTGGGAGTCTTGACGTCCAGGTAAGTATCGAGGATCTTGGAGAAGGCCATGGCTGATGCTACGCAGACAATGGGAGTCAGAGTAAGCATGAGACGGACCATGACACCAGCGAAGTAGCTGGCAAGCACAGCGTAGATGACGATGAAGACCTGCTCATCGGTCAAAGTCTGGAAGCACAGGTAGACACCCGCGGGGAAGAGCCAGATCATGAAGTTGAGATCGAAGAAGAAGGCAGGCCACGCGGTAGGCTGATGTTCGGAGACAGAGGCAATGATGGGAATGTGGATCTTGGCATATCCGGTGTCCCAGAGCGAGTAGAAACGGCCGGTCCAGGGCGCGATGACTCCGGAGACAGTCAGAAGCACCAGTCCTCCAACACCGATGACGAAGACACCGAGGACAAGAGCGCGGAGTAGTGTCTGGAACTGCTTGCCGGGAAGTTGTGCGCGAACCCAGTCGACAAAGGCAACCAGCTGGAGGAGGCCAAAGACACCAAGCGCGGACATGTGCTCGCTACTGCGGATAGGCAAGAAACCAACAAAAGGAATCTGCATACTCGCAAGCGTGCCGAGCGCATACCACGATGTGTAGCTAACGTACAACCTCGGGCTGTATCGTCCCATGCAAATCAAGACGAAAACATGCAGAGGCAGCAAGTTGGTGATGAAGACGTATCCACCCCACGCCGACACCATGTATCCGTAGAACAGGGCACTCATTGCACCCCAGAACATTGATCCGTTCTTAACCGCCTTGATCCACAGATAAAAGGTGAAGACCAGCAGGAAGATGGCGATGGCCTCGTTGTCGTAACTTCCCGCAACGGATCGCGAAATGTAACCAGGCGTGATGCCCATGAAGGCTGCGGCGAGCAGACCAGCGGAGGGAGATGGAACCATCTCGGAGGTCAGGAGATAGGTCGCGAGCGCGGTAAGGCCTGAGAAGGCGGGGGCGAGCAGGACACAGATGTTTCGAATGTCAACAGGAAGGCTGATGGCGCGGAGGAAATGGTAGATGACACCGCTGGTGACCATCAGTCCTGGGTAGAGAGTACCACCGGTAACTCGCCCAAGAGGATGCCATGTTCCTGTATCCCAAGTTAGTCAATTGCGTCTCGAGGGTGCTGAGGGGGTATGCGGCCGAGGTGCGCGTACGGTCGTCGAACCAGTCCCAGAAGCTGTAGAAGCCATTCTGTACTAGGTATTTCGTTGCTCGGAAGTTGAACCACGGATCGACTGTGAAGCACAATCAGTCAATTGCTTTGATACTGTTGCATTGCGGTACTGACACTCGTGGATGATGCTCTCAAAGCGGATCACGGAGAACAGACGGCTGCTTACTGCAGCGGCAGCGATGAGGACCAGGATAATCACTCGAAGCAAGCCTCGAGTGTTGCGGCCAGTCGCCTGCTTGAGGAGCTGCCCGTCATCTGCGGCGGCAGCCATGTTTGCAGGAGAAGATAAAGGAAGGTGAGGTTGTTGGTCGCAAGGCCGCGTCACGGAACTTCTCGAGAGCTATGGTTCATGAGCACACGTTTCCAACTCCACGCCTCGGCATTTGGTTTCGCCGACATGCTTTCACCCACCCCTGCAACGTCATCATCATCGCGGGTGAACAATACCACATGTACTTGGGGTTTTTTTTCTTTCACTTGATCACCGTGACCGTATTATTATAAGCTTGACCAACTGCTGGTTTAGACTATCTAAAAGGGTATATCGATCTTGGTCACCCATGCGCCGTGAGCTACGAACCTCATCCAAAGAAGTCCATCGATTCCATCATAAAAGTCTCATCCTCTTGGAAATTGCAATCAGTGCACAGTTGATGGGGGCAATTGGTACACGCAACGTCAACGACACCACACGGACTTCCGCAAGAACACTGTGATAGTTAGCCAAAGCCGTACTTACCTAATGATGGGCGGCTTACACAGTAGCGGTTCATTATAAGCGTAGTTTGCTTGCGCTTTGGCAGCCGCGGGGCATATGTGTCGTCTTCAACTGACCGTTTCCTCTTACTCGCCTTCACAAAGCCCGGTGGAGGCGGTGGGGATGTCGTCGTCGCATGTGTTGGCATCGGCATCGGCATCGGCGTCGACATACCAGACATGTTGTGTCGACGAAGCTGTGGTCGCGGCTGCGGGGCGTCATCGTCGTCTCCAACAGCATCTACATCACCATCCTTCTCTCTCTCATCCTCATCATCGAAGCGTTCTCGTTTCAACTTCTCTTCAAGCAAGTCCTTTTTCAGTCGGTTCTCCTCAGCACATATCCAATCATCGATGCTTCTCTTCTCCTTCTCGAAGTGATACGCAATATGATCAAACCGCTCATCCCATGCTGCATTGCGCCGTTCTTTGAGCTGCTTTACAACCCCGCATAAACCACACCAGAAAGAGCCTTGACAGTTCTTTCCAATCTTGCTATTGTCCAAGCGCTTTTGGGCTTCCTCGCATGGGGTCTTGTGCTGCGTCTCTAGGTGGTTTCTGAATGCTCCTTCTCGGTGGAGGTGCACACCGCAAACTTCGCCTGTCGGAAGTGTCTCATCGCAACGAAAGGCTTCCTGTTGGAAGTGCTGGCTGTTCTCGTGGCGCTTCCAGTCCGACTTTGCGCCGAATCGTTTGTGGCACTTGGGATATGTGCAGCCATAAGGCCGATCGTGTCGTTTCATGTGTTTGCGCAGATCGCAATCACGAGCGACTGCGAATCCGCAATCGGGGTGTGGACATTTCTTATCATTATGAAGCGTGTCTTTGCTGTTGCGACGCTGTCCTGTATTGGAAGATACTGGGCCTTTGTTCAGAAGCTTCGTTACCATGTCCATTAACACCGCATTCTTCTCCGGCCTCGATTGCTCCGCAGATCTGTCTTCGCATTCAGCCTGGTCCTTCGCTTTCTGTATCATCTCCAACATGATGCTTTCGAGGTCCACAGGGCTCGGTGAGTGTGACTGTCGCTCAGACTTCTTTTTAAGCTCCTTTTGTTGCTCAGCCTTAGTCTGTGGGGCATTGGATAGTGCAGAACTGGACGAAGACTGTTGAAGTTTGAGGCTGTTTCTTCCAGGTACACGAGAAGCCGTCTTGGTGGTAAGCAGAGGCTTCTGTATTGGCTGGGAAGACACTCCCGGTGCATGATATCGAGAGCGTGTCGACTTTTGCATTTTCTGAATACCAGCGTTGTGAGGTGCGGAGGTGGGTCCAGCTCTAGACGGCCGAGACAGTGATTGTATGTTTCCCACAGGGTTGGAACTTGGTCCAGACGAGAATGAATGTCTGGCACTCTGTGGCGAAAGGAAGTCCAACACGGGCGGCATAGTTATGGTCGGACTGACTGAGAAGGGATTCTCCATCCCGGATACTGCAATATCAATGTCCATTGGTGTAACGCTGGCTTCCTCCATCGGAGTGTCAGCGTTCTTTGGGTGGCATATTGATCTACCAATGTCAGTTTAGCTGGTGCTTTGAGCGGAAAGCAAACGCATTTACCTTTCTATGACATCAAGGACGTTTTCATCTTTATGCATCCTCTCTACATGCTGCTTGAAGTTGTCTAGACGCGGCCACGTCTTTTCTTTATTTCTGCAGTTCTCTACTGCACATCTGTAAGATTTCTTGTCGATACCCTTTCGATGGAGACTCCTTTGGTGCCTATCGAGGTCATTTGTTGTTGTAAAGCCCTCTGTCCGCTTGCAGCCAGGTACCTCACACTTGAAGGGCTTGTCGTGTTTGAGTTTATGTTTCCTGCCATTATCAGTCAGCATGTGCTCATCTCGCAATGATGTTGCCTACGCACTTAAACTCTGAATTACACTTGAGTATCTCTGAACATTGAGGGCAATGATACACTTTCTTTGACTTGCCACTACGACTGCTGACGAGTGATAGCTGATCCGAAGGCATCCGTGACATTGTAGGAGCTTCGCTAGTGACAGACTCGACGTTCATGCCGTCCATATTGGACAGAAGGCCTGCTGGTAGCTCTTGATTGACATAATCGGGGTCATTGCTGACAACGGATCGAGTGTTGTGCGAGAAGTACCCTTCATCAGACGGTGAAGCCTGACTGCCAATGTCAGACTTCGGGCCATATGAGAGCCGGAAGTTCGTATTCAGTTGACGTGGCGGGCCGTGAGATCCACTGGATTGGGGATTCCTGAGATTGAATGGACTCCATGCTGGTTCGGGCATTCGGCTCGCATTTGTATCGTAATAATGAGGAACATAGTTTGGATCGAGGAAAGATGAGTCCCTGGTCAGGTCGAATCCGATGCTACCGTCTACAGGCGAAAAGCCCTGAGAATAAATCATATGATTGGAGTCTCTTAGCTGCTGTGTATCTCTTGCTGTGTTTGCAGACCCCGATGAGCTGGGCCTCCGAATGCGTACGTCCTGTGCACTCCGTGGCCGTTGAGAGGGTTGCCATGACTCGGCCGGCACAGTATCGATATGCAAGTCAGGTATTCGTCCATTGTACTGATATCTGGTCGGGGGAAGGTTGCTATAGAGTTGTGAATAGCTCCCATTTAGGTTTTGGTGAGACATGTTCGCTATCATGGGTCAGCATCTTTCGGGCTGCCCAAGGCATCAACATGTCATCCACACTCTAATCGACCACGACTGGAACACGAAAGAAGGCACCCGAGTGGCACCAGGAAATTTCCATCAAACATTAAAAAAAAAGTATAAGCTGCCTTTCAAAAGGCAACAGCAATACATACCTCGAACTCAACTTTCAGCCTGCTGCAGGATGATAGCCTGACGCCTGTCCAAGGAACGCAGTACGCAAACCGTTTCAAAGAAAAGGGTGCGCAGGTATGCATTAGTAGATCTCAGCTGCAGCACACCGCCCCAATCTGCTAAGAGTGACAAGCCAGATAGGTGCGTGTAACAGATATGTATGTGAGGTCCTCCGTTTCGTGTCCCTGCGCACGGGCATGCGCTGCCTGGCCGGTGTGAGGATGAGGGAAGGCTCCACACCAAGACGTCGTCACTTCATTGCATGCGCATGCTCTGGACGACGTGCTTCGGACTCTTTCGATTCGAGGTGAGCAAAATAGGGGTCAGTGGTATGTCGTCATGTCGCTTTTGATACACTATGGTTATCGCAGTTCGATGGCCATGATCGCGATGGCTAGGGCCACTGCGCATGTGGGCGGCCTCCCAGTCCTCTCACCGGAGGGGTACCAAGAAGGCAAACGTTGCCCTGTTTGCCCTCCTTCATGATTCTGCAAGCTCATTCGTGCTGCCGATACACCTAGCGAGCTGTTCGTCGAATTGCAGATGGAGGACCTCATGTTGCGGGTGGCTGTGCAGAAAAGGTCCTCCATGTGTGTCGGGGATGCAGGAAGCCAATCACCGCTCAGCACCGGATTGCTCCCCGTCGGCGCGATCGATTTAGCACGCCATGCTGATGTGTGTGACTGGGCGCGGGGGTCCGTGTTTTGGAAATAGACGCAAAGATGCCTGAGGCAGGACTTGTTGCTGTTTGTCGCCGAAGAGAAACGTACCGTAATAGAGTCGCTCCGGACTCAATAGTCGAGATTCAGAGAGTGGGTCACAGCTTCGGTTGAGAGCTGTGCTCCATAAAACACATCACTTCACAAAGAGTGGAAGGTACAAGGAGCATGGTATTGTGCAAATGATGCGCCGATGTCTATCATATCATGCATGCCTATTGCACCATGAAATGCTGATAATGTAGCCGACCCAATCTGTAAGCGACAGTAGGTGTCTTAACACGTCTAAACCAATTCGCCTCATAACCGTAAACTCATCTTCCGGTGCGCAAGAGTGGATATCGTAGAAACAAAGGAAAACAAAACAGACATTACGACGCGCTGCGTATCGTGGGCGTTCGACGGAAACTTCCCTCCCTCGCTTGTCGCCCCCTACTGCTGATGCTGGTATTGATAATTGTGTTGCGCGGTCAAGTACGACATGGCGGGGTAGGTGCTGCCCTGCTGATAATGCATGGTGTTGTTGGTGTCAAACCCCATGTTAGACATCTCAGTCGTCAAGCCCTGTGGCTCTTGTGTGTAGTAGGAAGGAAAAGGTGTAATCGTGGTGTCGACCGGAGAGTCTGTGTACATCGACTGCTGTTGTTGGACGGTACTAACAGGATTCATGCCATATTGCTGTACTCCGCTTTGCATGTTTCCATTATGATATGGCTGATTTGGAATTTGGAGTCCGTTCGCATAGCCATTGAGTGGCTTCCGAGGAACCTGTAGGCCTGGATAGGTCTGATTTGTGTGGTACGCAGCATTGCTTGCCGCATAGTTAGCATAACTGCTAGTTTGAGTCGATGGTGGTGCCATTTGTGGTGGCGGGTACGTTTGCATTCCCGTGGATCCTGTTTGAGATTTCGATTCTTGAGGGTAGAGACTCTGGGGGTCGATACCAGGCGCATACGTTGCATTAGGGTTGTACCTCGATGGGTTGTCCACTGGCGAGCGGCTTGGAGTGATGGATAACTTGCGGCTCTCGGGCAACTCAACCACTGGGCTGATGATGCTGTCTGCATTGAGCTGCTTCTGATCCACAAGGGTGAGAATGGGCATGCTGATCTGCTCCATGTGTTTTGCCAAGTGAACGGTCAGTTTCTTCCAGCTGTTGCAGATGTTACCACAGAACCGACAAGGCTCATCCTTCGGCTGTTTAGTGGTGTCACGACGACATCGTTCAACAATGGCCCAGATATCATCTGAATTACGTTAGCGATCTGCAAAGTAACTAACATCATCCATCTCACCTTGATCGCCAGTAGTTGGTGCATCTTTGTTAGCGGCTCGGGTACGTTGTCGTGGCTCAGCTATCTTATGCTCACGAACAAGATGTTGCACAAAGTTGTCCTTGCGGTAGCATGTGTGGTTGCAATCAGCGATCTGGCATGTCCAATTCTCTAGCTGGCGATGTCGCTCGTTCTCGTGTCGAACCCAGTCTGCCTTACGCTTGAATGACTTGGGTTCACCGCAATTGGGAAAGGTGCATGTAAAAGGTTGCACGTCTTCATGTACATGCTTGGTCCAGTCGGATGGCTTGTAGAACTTCTTGACCTTGAAGCACAGGGGGCATTCGAACTCAGCTGGTAAACGTTTGACAGGAGGAAGTGGTACACCAGAAGGGAATGCAGCAGGAGCGACATTTCCTTCCATAGGAGGCTCACCATCATCGTCAGAAGAACCAGGCAAGGTAACCTGAAAACCGATGAAGGGGGTATCGGCATCCTTAGCCCCTGCTTTCGGAGGAAGCTGCTTTGCTTCGCCACCAAGATCGGTGCAAAACCCTCTTGACGCACAGTTCTTGTGCTGCACGGCGTTGAGATGCTTGACCTTGAATTCTAATAGCCTTTTGTATCTGCGCATCTGTTCTTGGGTGATGCGCTCAACCATAAAGTCAGCTAGACGAGGGTTGAGTTGTCTAGCATGAGCCCTGAAGCCGTCGTACGTCGGAATAATAGGATCCATGCGGACCGTGAGATCCATACTGACGGGGTCTTGATCGTCGTCGTCGTCATCTCCCGCTGGGCTTGGCTGTGCAGATGGCTTCGTCGCCTCTGTATCTGCAAGCGGTGAGGCTAGCATGGGCATAGGTGGGCCTCCATGCTGTGTCATCAGCTCAGCCAGTCCTGGCGACCGACCGATATCACTCCTACTCCGGCTGCGTTTGATAACGTTCCTGGGACCTTTGTACCATGGTCCAGCAGCCGCAGATAAACCCATAGAACTACGCGGCTCTGCTTCTTTGCTGTGATTGCTCAGGTTCGTATCAACTCGAGGCGACTTCGGACGACCCCAGCTACCTATGCGCTTTGGCTTCTCGATGATCGGTTCTTTGGACTTGTCCGAGGCCGTGTCGGACTGTTGTACAGGTATGCTACCTTTACGTTTAAGTAGCAGATTGCTTGGTGTACGCTTGGGCAGGATATTCTCTAAGAAACTGGGGCGACGTTGTCGCTCTTTGCTCTTCCTCGGCTCAGGTTCAATGACCTTGATGACACCTGGAGCTGCACGGATACTACCAATGTCAGATTCGCTGAGACGCCGTGAACCAACCGTAGCTGCAAGTGAAGCTTGTTCGACGTCCTTCGATCGCACCAAGAAGCGCATCATTGCAGCATTCGATGTGGGCGGCTGGTATCGAGCCGAAGTGTTTGGAGGATGGGGTTGCGAGGGTCCATCTACCCATGGTTTTATAACAGCACCATCCTTTGATATAGATTCTTGCGTGAGGGGAAAGTACGAATTCTCGACGTGGCTCGCATTGACGTCGATCGCAGCGGGTGGAGATTCGGGTTCTGCCGATTCATCGTCATCGTAGTCGTAGTCGCCGTAATCGCTTCGTTCGTCAATATACACGCCAGGCCCAGGTATACCCGAGTCGTCTATACGATCGAAGTCGGTACGAACACCCAGTCCGAAGCTATTTGGGAGGGCCCGCCGTTGAACGTCGTTGTGACTCTTTGCTCGACGTCTACCCGTGATTGGCTTGAGCAGATTGTTTGATGGTCCCACATCGCCTGCTTCGCTGCCAACTTCACTCTTTGTGAGCCACTCTTGTACTTCCAGCTTCTTCTCGTTCTTCGATCGTTGTTCTGCAATCTCCTCTATGCTGGGAATCCACGCGTCGCCCATCCGACGTCGATCGTCGGGATTAATGCCGCTCTGCCCAGAATCCCCTGTTAGCAACCATGAACCGTCATCATTGCGTTCAGGTCCGCGGACGACTGGTCGCACGTGTACGTGCTCCTGCGAGTCCCCTTCCTCATCAGAGGTTTCGTTATGGGCGTAAGGTGATAAGTGGTTGCCAGAACGGCGGCTGCTAAAGCTCTGCCTGCTGGCAGGCATGCTGTTGTCGGAACGTGAAGGTGAGTCTTCTCTACTGTAATTCTCTACACGCACAATGGGGCTCGTCAGATGTCGTGTGAGAGGCCGAGGGTTTGCCATTGATAGATCTCCGGAACTGTTTGTCAGGGCTGGGCTATGTGTTTGCTTGATTGGAGTTGCTTGAGGTAGATGAGTGCCGTGATTTGGTGGCGTCGACATATTCCCATTGTACTGCATGGAGGGGAACGCTGAGCTCTCATCACCAAGTGCTGGACTAGAATTGTTTGTCGCACTTGGGGACAGCAATTGATGGTGTGGGTTTAGTGAAGTATTACTGAGGGGAACGCTCGGCTGGGCGTTGTATGTATTGAGAGACCCTGAGGTCAGGGCTGACATGTCGACATGCTCCTGGAACGCCGGAAAATTGCTGGTTGAACCGTTCTCAGCAAACGTTAGGCCGGAGAATTCGTCAAGGACGTGTCCGTTAAAGTTCGGGGTAGCGTAGGTGCTTGGATCGTGATAATTTGGATCGCTCATATAGCCAGCTTCTGGACTGATGTGATCGATCGAATGCGAGGGTGAGATATTCTGGCCGTTTCCGTAGTAGGATCCTGGAGAGAAACCGTAGTTTTGAGATTGGCTGTAGACATTCGGTGGGGGATATGACATATCCGGATTTAAGGAAGAGTCGAGAGAGGATCCAACGTTTGGAGTGAAGATGGAGTCTTGCCCAGGGGTGCTGGACGAGGGATGCGATACCATGGACCCATCGTAAACCATGGATGCCGGTTCTGCAGAGTACGTAAATGTGCCTTGCGCATCTGGCATTAGGAAATTGCCGGTAGAAGGCGCAAGTTGATAACCGGTAGCCTGCACATCGTGAGGGTGGCGCGGCTGACGCCGAGGGTCCTGGTAGGGCTGTGTTTGCGTATCAACTGCTTGCATGGTTGTTCCGATTATACCGAACGGCCTTGTGGCTGAGTCGACAGTAGATCAGATCGCACCGATTGATAGATGGTTGCGACAAGCAGCGAGTGTGGAATGGTAACGTGACTGTGACCCACACTGCTTAGGGCGGCATAGTGCTGCCTGAAGGTTACTGATGTTGTTTATGCGAAAGTCAGAAGGCCAAAGGGAGGGGCAAAAGTATCGCAGCGCGTCGACACACGCAGCAAGATTGGCGGAGAGACGAAACGAAAGAGAAATATCGCGGTGCGGCTGAAAGCGAAAGACGACAGGCCGCTGTAGCTTGAAGTTGGATAGCGATCTGCCTCGCACAAGACGGAAGTTTGGAGCCGTTGAGGCTAGAGGCAATGCCGGCCCTCTACGATGTTGACAGCTTCAGAGTGGGTCGCGAGCGAAATCGGGTGACGGCGTGCGCGAGCAACAGAAAAACAGCGTGAAGTTCTCGGTTGGTTGGTAGAAACAGCGTGGAATTCAATGTCGACGGTGGAGCCAGCCGCAGCAAAGAGCGAAAGTCGAGGCACCGGTCAAGGCTGATTTCCCCCAAGATCTCCAGAATGGTAAGGCCGGGGTAGAGGGATGCACGCCAAGCAGATGCTGTTCACGTTTTCGAAACAATGTGGGCGCAAGCTGCGCAGATGTCCAGGAGGTTGTGAGAAAGAGCAGATCGACAGAAAACAAGCGCGACGGCGCGATGGCAGCTGTGAGCTTGACTGGCGTCTCGAGGCAGATTTGCAGATGCGTGACACGTTCTTGGCAGGCTTGATACAAACGGCACAGCCTCAGTTGCTATACAGAAGCGGGAGCAGGGGGCTGAACACGGGGCGAGCGGGTGGCTATGCTTCGAGGGCATATCCTCATGGCGAACTCGATCTGCTGTTTATGATGCTTGTAGTAACTCCTGCCATCTAATCCGATCGAGGCTGTCATGTCAGAACGCGCTCAACGCTCGAAACACGTACCCAGCCTTTGTTGCGCACCCGCGTAGGCTGGCGCTTAGCAGTTTAGCAGCCGAATGCTGATGCTATATAAAGATAGGCCAAGCCTGCAATTGCTCTTCATCTGTCATGCGTGCCAGTTAAACAGCAGCATGCTAGTAATCGGGCCCTCGTCATGGAAGTCACAGGCCGCCTTATGCAGCTGTTCTTTTCTGCCCATTTATGATGTGACGACATAGCATGGAATGCCTTGCATGATCAGCCACGTCTAGGGATGAAGCTTTTCTAGCCACGTCGCAAGCGGATAAGGTAGTGGCTGGCCCCAGTTTCATAGAGCAAAGCCGGATAGTCTCCCGGACGGTTGTGGGGCTCGCGGAAATATGGCGAAGGAGCACATCGACCTGCTGTCTTCAGCGCACACTACCTTAACCTAGTCTAGATTTGAGGATATATGCTGTCACATCGCCGCGGGCGAGTACTATGACGGAAATAGCAGGATCGCTTCGCCTCGGTGAGATATAAGGTGCAATGTTGCGCCCATAGGTTGTGATATATAGCTTCGGGTGCTGCATACCGTGATGTACGCTGTAGCCACAAGCGACACGGTAATGGTCTGATTGTACTGGCCGTGAAACGTGCTGCTGGTGTTGGATATGCAAGGCCTCGCCTAACAAACTCACCATCAATGGGATTTATCGAAATGCGGTCAAATGGAGCACCAAGAGTGCGATGCGATGTAGCCGAGGTGGGAGACTCGAACCAAGATGTTGGTATCACGGCTTCATCAACTACTACCAGAGTATGCAAGGTACCCGTGATGAAGGGTCTTGTGCAGGTGTTGTGCCGATCCAGGGCTGGCGATCGCAAAAGTTGACGTCACTGCAGGTCTCCTACACCCGTTCAATACCATCGTGAGGTTGGGCATACTGTCGCAGGGTATATGTACCACGCCTGGTGGGTGCATACATGTCCAGCTCAGATGCTCGTGGTGGAAGCGCTGGGCCTGGGGTGGTAGCAAGGCACTCTGAAACCAAGGGGACAACGTCCCGCGAGCCTTGGGAATTTTTCCGAAGCAAGTCCACGAGCTCTGGACGCGTTGTTGAGTTGGATATAGAGCGTGTCTGATTGATGAGGCTCTCGATGAGGCTAACCATTTCCATACCACGATCTAGCCGTGCGGGCAATCGTAACCGGTGCGCGTCTTGGAACGGCAGTGACCCTTCGGTGGAGCGGAGACTAACAACAGCTAAGCATCCACTGTTTCTGCAGTACCGCTGTTCGCGAAAATGGAACGAGAAGTGCTTCAAAGTGCTTCTCTCCCTCTTTCTTTTCCACTTGCATCTTGCGATTTACCTCCCCATTGTCGCTTCCTACCTTCCCCGCTTCAGCGTCTGCGAACTTCTGCGCGTCACTGGTCGCATTCGCATGTGACAGCATCACCAGACTGATACAGCACCACTCAAGCAGCACAGACAAGACTGCAGACCATTGGCGAGTTGCACAATACTCTGTTGCAACCTTCTACAAAGCATAGGCTCTTGTAAAGAGACAAAAGCACCAGAAAAGCACAAAAGCCTTCGAAACATCCTAGGCCTATCGATTACGGCGTCTTCCCTAGTCGACTTTACGAATCTGCCAAAAACCAGTACACTCGTCGTATTCTTAAGTGAATACCGACACCGCTCTCAGTCTTCCACACCATACTCCTAGATACCTTCCCCGCACTGCAGCCATGCCTGGACTCAACCAAGTCATCCCACGGCCCGATTCGAGGGAGCTCCTCCCACCGCTACTCGCTTGCCTCTCAACAGCGAATGCTTCTAAAGAGGTTCCCCCAGGGCTTCTGCCCCTCCTGTCGCCTATTCTTCGCCAACGTGTACAACTCTTGTCATCGAACGAGTGGTTGTCGCTGTTGTGCTGGGACCGAGAAGTCGCCTCACGACTGCCGCAGATTGTCGAAAAGATAAACGTCGAGCCCCATCCGGCCTCTGGAGAGATCGAAGTGGAGGAACCAGATCAAATACTATACCGGCGATCAGACCCTGAGACGCTACACTCGAAATTGGTGCTTGGCGAATATGGAATCATACCAACGTACCTCTGGTGCACCGGCGGCGAAGGTGGAAGCCGCTGGCTGTTAGCCGAGCTGAGAGGAACAGACGACGCTGAAGATGGCACGGAATGGTTCGAGAACATGCCCGCTGCCGACGAGGCTGGCTTCAGGCGAAAGTCTGTCCCAGTCAAGAGCAACGGCGTCACAGTCCAGACAGCAGTCGCTCAGGCTGAACCTGCTGCAGAGGAGGCAGTAGAAGAAGAGGACGACGGCTCATACTGGGCTGCATATGATCAGACGCCCGGACGAACACCACAGCCCAGGCGCTCTCCAGCCCCGATTACCAGCAGCCGAACGCAAATTGGACCAACACAGTCAGAGCTCGAATACTTTGAACGCTATGCTTCTGAAGTGCAGCCAGCTCTTGACGCGCACGACCCGGATGAAGAGAACCCCGCAGCTGGCGAGTCGACTCTCAATGGCAACGCTCTCGACTATACCCGCGAGCCGCAGATGGAACCCCTCGACACGACGAATCTGGGACCGAATGGCTACGACTCGTCCATGCCGCCAGCATATACGAATAGTATTATGAATGGTAGTGGCGTTCACGGTAATGATAGCGCGGTACATCTTGAGCCCATCGAGCAGGACCCCAGCGCCGCTGCGAATGCAATGAACCACCCACGACCCTCGTCGTCGGCGTCGACCAATTCAATTGAGAGGCTGGAGCGAAAGGCCGAGCACTACAGTCAAGCGGAGCTTGCGATCAAACAGCACATCAGCACTGACATCAAGAGCCTATTCCGATTAGCGAGGGCATCGGGCATAGACAGGGAAGAGTTTGAGAGGATTATTCAGAGAGAATTGGAGGTATTGCCCATGCTTGAGCAGGAGATGTCTTAAATTGGATCATGTAGCAGGACCAGATTGGATATGAGGATGATGATCCAGAGGTCATTTCTTCAGCATTTGTTGGCGTTTAGTACAACCTAGCCATCGCATAGTATTCCTAAATAGTGGAAACAGCAATCGTATCAAGTAAAGATCTTTGGTGTCCCCCCCTCACTAAACCATTGTGATGCTTTTGCTATCCCGCGAGTGCAATATGGCCAATGTCAAGCCGTAGACACCTGAACGCCTCGGTCTGGATCTCATGCTGACCTTGTATCCCACAAGTGTATGACGCTCTATCTCCTCCTCTGCGCATCCCCACTCGCAAACTTGGCACCGCTCGCCTTGAGCTGTTGCAGGATATCCACGGCATTGGAGCTGTTCAGGTTCATGGTCTGGTCCATGCCCGCACTTCCCCGACCAATTTCCTCAACCACGTTATTAGGGTCCGCAGCACCAACAACAGGCACTTCAGAAGCGAGCCATTGCTGGAAGGGCTTTGCGACAAAGTAGCCATCCGAGGTGAACCACCGGGTCATGGGCGCGCGGATGTGGATCGTTTGCTTGGGATTGGAGTTGTAGGGGGCGGGTGTAAAGACAACGTCGCATTCGTAGATGGGGATGTGCTTCTTTGTCGACGAGGATATCCTCACCTTGGTGTTGTCAGAATGGTCCACACGGGAACATGTATGCGAATGGAGCCTGTAGACGTACCTTCCCTGTCTTGCCCTCCCCCTCATATACAACTCCCCTCTCCACGAACCATAGCCAATAACTGAAGGCTCCGTTTAACAGGAAATATGCGACTACGGCGGGGAGGGGATAGGGCTTGCTGGCTTCCCAGCCAAATTTCCAGTCGTAGTAGAAAAGGGCGCCGGCGATGGTGACGGCTGTGTAGCCGAGGACTAACCGCACATCGGTCTGCGTGTGGATTTGCTTGAATTTGAGGCTGTTGAGGTAGTTGGGGAGCGCGTCATCGGTCGTGTTCTTGAGGTCTGAGGGTGCATGTTAGATCTAAGTCCTACAGGCGCGCCGCTGGATGGGTAGTAGCGACGGGTATGCAACACATACCGGCAAGGGAGTGGACTGCGATCTTCTGGGTTGCAGACATGTTGAGGTTGTGATTGTGCCTTGGCTAGAGTTGTCGCGCAGTTGGTGATGTAGTTTCGTGGATGGGACACCTTTCCATAAGCGCAAAGCGCGGACCCTGGTTGCAACATCCCGCCGGAGCCTCAGCGGCGAGCTATCGTCGTCAAGCAACCAACAACCACCGACCTCCACCCTTCCACTCCCTCGTCCGCATCAATGTCTACTACCGGCACCATGGGACAGCCTGTAGTCCAGACGATCCATCGGGACCCCGCGCTGTTGTAGGTCTGGTGTTTGCCGTGGACGAGACAAGCATGGCTGATAATTCTACAGTTGGTGGATTCTACTCCCCATTACAGTCGTCATGGTACATGCCATCCAAGTCCTTTAGGCACCAAAAGAAGAATCTAACTAGCTTCTAGGTCTTGACAGGCATCCTCCGCCACTACGCAATGACACTGCTCCAGTCCACGCCCAAGAAACACGACCTGGCCAAGATCCGACAGCAGCGCTCCCTCGTACGCGGCGTCAACCTACGCACCAACGCCCAGGTTCTCTCGCCGCCCTCCTTCGCTGCTCGCAAAGCCTACATGGTGCAGGCGTACCACGAGGGAAAGTTCCTGGCTGAGCCTGAGCTGAGAGGGAAACCGAGACCAAACCCCATGAGTGATCCGGCGGCCATGGAGGGTATGATGGGCATGATGAAGGGCCAGATGACTATGATGATCCCACAGACGCTGATTATGGGGTGGATCAATGCCTTCTTCTCGGGATTTGTTATCAGTAAGTCCATCTTCTTCGCGCTTGTCCTGGTGGGCGAAGCGAAAACGGCTCGCAATTGTTTCCCAAAGAGACCGAGAATGCAAGACTAGGTGTCCTTGGGAACTGAGCGTCCATGGACATCCCAGTATTTGGGCGTCGCATCTCCAGACATTGCGTGACCTTTCGCTTTGCCTGGCTTTGTAGTGGAGCAGCTCCTTCACGTATGCGCTACCTGCTAGGGCGAAGCGAGCGGCTGATGTGTTGTCTGCATCGGAATCATCCTCGCGACTCGTCGGCACGCGTTGTCGGGATACTCTGAGATTCGGCTGCTCCCGAGCCGTAAAAGCAAAACTTAGCAGTGGCTAATTTATGTGTGCAGTGAAACTGCCCTTCCCATTGACGCCACAGTTCAAGTCAATGCTGCAATCTGGAGTGGGAACTCGTGACCTGGACGTCAGATGGGTGTCCAGCTTGTCTTGGTATTTCCTGACGTTGTTCGGACTTCAGCCCGTCTACAATTTCATCTTGGGGAGCAACAATGGTACGTTGATAACATCATCTTCTTAATCGAATACGACTGACAATGTTATTTTAAGCTGCCAACCAAGTTACCCAACAGATGGCCATGGCCAACGGAGGCGGGGGTGGCATGATGGGTCCTGAGCAGGATCCGGATAAGCTGTTTCTCAGTGAAGCCGAGAATCTGGAGGTGCTGGAGCATCGATGGATATTGGAGGGCATCGAAGACCGCCTCGTTGCCAAACTCGGAGCGTAATGTCGGCACAGGGCATCAGTTGCTGGCCATAGCACCGCCATGGCGTACATACACATCTAGAAAAGGCCCAAAAAGCTATCATCCCGCGTTTCCATTGCGCAAAGACCCCAGATACAGGCCACCGGCGCGAGATAGCTAATTTCTATGACTGTCATCATGTCCCAGTCGTACGGTTCTCGTGGCAGTGGTAGCTGTGGCTTCAAGCCATCTGCGGGGACTTCAAGCCAAGCAGACAAAGATAGCGCGTTTTCTGCGCGTCGCTATTTCTAGACCTCGAACATCTTTCCACCCCTGTGCAGAGCCGCCGGATTGTGTTCTGACAGTTGACAGCAAATATTCTGTGAAGATAGTCATGTCCATCTTACCCACGCGCCGACGCAGGGGTAGCGCAATGTCATCTGAGTGGGCTGTTCTCGACTTGAGACGGCGCACAAGCTCCGAGTCCTCCAAGTTCACTGTTCCCCGCCCGCCACTCGTCAGTCTCCATCTCCAAACACACGGGACGCACCGCCCCCAAATGCGCCCCGAGAGCCCAAGACATTCGAAGCTCTTACCGACCAGCGTCCCTTGCAAGTTTAGTCTGGAGCCTTAGCCGTGAGGCGACGATGGAGGGGAGGGTGCAGACAGCCGTCGAAACAGCCCAGGCGTGTCTCTGCTATCCTTTCTACCATTCATGAGATGATAGCATCGTCACTAGTGCTCTGCCACTGCCTCCCAGCAATGTACCACAACTGCACTGGCAAAGCCATGCTTCACCCTATCTTGATGCCTGGATCGAGTCTCGCTGAACCAAATGCGCCCCAGCCGGCGAGCCACAATGCAACGACTCCCAATGAAAGTCTATTCCTCCACACTCTGACCGACGACGGCTTTTCGTCTTGATCGGGAACTGGGCTTCTCATCAGCGTTGTTTTTGCGCGGCAGCTTTCGGAACCATCACGTCCCTGACGCAGGTGCGGTAGCACGGCAGCGACTAACGACAGACTTTTACGTGCGGCCTCCGAGTAGAGACGACAATTCTTGACAGTGAGTACTTTGGTGCTTGGAATCTTGCGTCCGCCATTCAATCTCCTTGCTTGTTTCGGCCCCCAACGGTCAAACTGGTGGGCCAGCGATTAACATTCGTAACGTTCACATGGCCCCAGCAACTTCAAGCGAATGTACATTCCGCGGACGCAGCTCAGGCACAAATGTAGACTTGGCTGTATCGCGATACGGTAGCGATCCGCTCACCACTAGCGAGCGTGATTGCTTTTGATTAGAGGGCTGCTCCTGGGGCTGACCCCATCCGCTTTGGTGGTAGGTGCCGATTGTCCACGTCAATTCCAGTGGTGGCTGGACAAATGTGCACAGCTGTCCCCACCGGTGAACCTTGGGAACAGGGGACTACATTGCCAAGGGACAAGGTATTCTCATTGGTCGCTGACGATGAGGCTCTGCGGACTATTCACCATAAAACAGTAGACAGTATGACAATCGGGGGGATGGTCAGACGGCACTAAAGGTTACAGCATTGCAACCTAGCCTTAGGTTTCCTAATCTACTGCCTTTACGCACCATACTTCTTGACATACGCTCCGCCTCTTTTGCCTTATTTTCTCACTCTAATCGCGGTACTTGAACCACTTCTATCCACCATTGCTGCCATAGCAGGACACTTCCATCGCGACTTGTCGTGGGAGTTTCTCGCCAGTCAAGTAAGATGGCACAAACTAAAACTTTCTGAATCTCTCTAAACTTTGCCAGCACTTCCGTTTTCCATCCTCGTTGTCTTTCGGACGCTACGCATCGCATAGTTTCTACCGTTACTTCCGCTACCCTGTGTAACGATCCAATATCAGCAATGGACGGTCACCAATTCAGAGATTTGCCGCAGATAGAAGCTATGGACGATGCTCGTTATCCTATGTGGGCGATAGAGCATATGAACTATATACAGCCATGCAAAGAGCGTATAGTGCATTTCTGTACTGCAGACGACTCCTATCTGGATGACTACGACAATGGCGTTGTCAGCATGCAACCTATGCAGCGGTTCATGATTGATCAGAACCCACTTACGCCAGGCATGCTTTACGCAAAGATACCATTTCTAGACAGCCAATACGAGAGACCCTACGAGCAGCATTGGCCTTCGGCAGACTTCTTTCGTCATGCGTCACCGGATCGTTCTTCTTCTGGAAATACTAGCCAAAACACCCAAGACGAGCTCCGGTCACCACACATGCGCCATAGCATCCCGTATGGAAGCCCGATGGAATACTCGCAGCTATCGTTGTCATACCCACAAGCCGAGTATCTTCAGGGAGGTGTATACCCATGCGAGTCTCATGTCGTGGAGCGCGGCAATATCAGCCTTCGTGAGCTTGAGTATGACCCTGCAGTGCCTGAGGCAGTGGCCGAAGATGTTGAGGACGTTACTATGAAACAAGAGACTACCTGCGACCACCATCATACTGCCGTCAAGGAAGAGGCTGCTCCGGATTACAGGACGTACGCAGACTCGGGTATCGGCCACTCGGTGCGGGATGCACAATCAGTGGAGCCCGTTGACTTTCCTGAAGAGCCCGCCTCTGACTCTGACTACAGTCCGTCTTCCAGCCGCAAACGTAGACGGTCTACCACATCGAACAGTAGCTCAAGTAGAACACTGAAGCGACGCAAACCCATCCGCAAAGACTCTGTTGTCCCAAGCCCTACAGAATCTGTCAAGTTGGAGAGGAAACCTCGTCGAGCCTCTAAGACTTCGAAGGCTAGCACTGAATCAAGCATACAGGCTGAAGACCGCCGCGCATTCCCTTGTCCGCTCGCTGCGTATGGCTGTACGTCTAATTTCTCCTCAAAGAACGAGTGGAAGAGGCACGTCAGCACCCAACACATCAAGCTCGGCTACTGGCGTTGCGATCTATGCCCGCCATCGACTGATTCCAACGACGCGCACACTTTATACTACAACGACTTCAACCGTAAAGACCTTTTCACACAACATCTCCGCCGTATGCACGCTGCTCCGAAAGACAAATCCAGTCGTACTCAGAAAGACTACCCTGTCTCCGAAGAGAATCTTCCCAAACACCAGGCTCGCTGTAACTTACAATTACGAGATCCACCGCAGCACTCGACTTGCCTATTCTGCGAGCGAATATTCGTTGGTGCTACATCTTGGGATGAGCGCATGGAGCACGTTGGGCGTCATCTTGAGAAGGACGGAAGCCGCTTAGAAATGCTCGACCCGGCTACATGGAATGTGGACGAGAAACTAGAGCGATATCTTATCGATGAAGGTCTCATCGTGAGAGATGGCGCAGCATGGAAGATTGGTGATGGCAAGCCACGCAAAAGCGTACTATCAGATAGCGACGCAGACTCCGAAGAGGACTAAGCAACTGTGAACTGTGTATAAAGAGTTTGGGATACATAGACGGAGAGGCCTACATTTCGGACTCCAAGATTCATGACATTTACGACTGTCACTATAGCTTTATACCCGTTTAGGCGTTTGGGGATATTTTATGCAGATAGCGACGTCTTACGGCCGATCACGTTTTCGTAGTAGGATACCAAAAGCGCGGTCGTTATACATATGTTAAACTGCATTCCTTCTCACTACACCAACGTCTTGTCATCGTGAAACCATATAGCAGCCTTCCGGTGCATCTCCGTCCACTTCCCATCTCACGCCCCAAAGCCCGCTACAACGTCCAAATAGCCCCCATTCACGACTTCTCTCCCCTTCCCTTTCCACACGGCCACAGCCTCACACTAGCTAAGCATATTCAGACTGCATGGTACACCCAAACCAACGGTCCCGGCCCCCTCTTCCCGAGACCAAATCTATAACATAGCCATAGGCAGAAACGACGTTGCCAACGTTTACTTGATCGGGAATGAAGCGCAAAGTGCTTCGGTGAATATGGCGTGTTCACCGGACTGTGCATATGACATGCAGTGAGAACCTTGTTTTCTCACGTGGGGGTGGATGACTGGTGGGTTGGACCAGAGAGCGGGAAGATGGAAAGATGAGCAGGGAAACGATCGGTAAGCCTGGGCAGTGAAGGAGGCTTCGGAATTGTACAGTAGGATAGCAATTTTACATCGTAAGTAACGATGAACGTCATCGGCCTCGATGCCTGTTTCGGTCATCATTTGGGAACGTGGTGGTGGGCTAATGCGAGCGTGGTTCGAGACGCTGCACTTTGCATTAGTGTTACATCCATCCGTTTCGCAATAGGACATCTCAAGACCATCGAGTCGTAACCTCCAAAGAAAGAAACAAGGCAAAAGCAGGCAAAGACTTCGACGTGTCAACCTTAATTTCTGCCTTTTTCTTCAATCTGCTGCCTGAGGCAGCACAAAGTGAGGCTGAGACATGTACGTTCCCCTCTAGACCTACATGCAGATACGAGGTTTGTCGAGGTCCTTCATGCTGCGCCCCCGCTTCTCTTCTCGAAGCACTACGCACGCTTACCGAGAACCGGCTATCGGGCTCATCTGACATCCTATGATGAATGCATCTAAAGATGAAGGATCAGAGATGCAGACATGTCTTGTAGATCCAAGATTTACGTTGCGCTCGGTTGTGGAATGGTCCGGTATCCGGTGTGGAGAGGGCAACTATCTGCCTTCCAATTACGGGTTTCTGCGCGCGTTTCGTTCACTAATCCGATTGCTCTGACCCAGAGCTCTTGGTGCGCTATCGCACTAATGCTTTGTCTCAACGATAAGTGCGTTCGATTGTCTCGCCTTTAGGACGGAAGGATGCTCTTAGATAGCGCCCATGGGCCGATTTCGATGCATATTCGCTGGGATGATCCACGTGCGAGAATCCCAGATCCAAGACTTGGGCTCGGGGTGCGCGATGGTGAATCCTTCGAAGGTGATCCTGTGAAAGTTAGGGAGATCAGAATCAGATGAGATTTGGGGGGAAGAGACGGGGGCGACTGAGGCTCTGTAGAGATGAGTCAAGCGTATTAGGACTAGTGTCCCTGGAATGATGTCACGAGAGGAGAGGAAAGGCCAACGAGCTTGCTTTCACTGTGCTTCTCAGTCCATTCCCGAGGTCTGATTTACGCTTCTTGCGTCTTTGCGTTTGTGGTGCTCTTTCGTGGTCGCTCGAGAATCGGCAAGCCTTCTTCGCGCCTTCACGCGGGCGATACGATACGTATCTAGTTTACGATGCGCGTTCTGCTGTCTGTCTGACCGTCAAATTGATCAAAGTTTACGAGGCCGAATTATGTACATTGCTCTGATTTCCTTGCAAGAACTGCTCAAAGCTAGCTTTCAAGGATTTGAATGTGTTCTCTTCCTATCTCATCTAACCTACACTCCTAGAACCTCCTTGCGAAAATTGTTCGTTATGGAATTTTTGTGGCGTGACTGGTGGGTATTGAGTGAGTTGATTAAGTCTTTAACACAAAAAACCGAGATTAGGGTTGCCCAAGAAAGGGAGAAATGAGTGTTTCCCACCCGTCAAAGTGTGGGTCTCGATGGGTAACTGCGATGGTTCTCGAGTCGAGTGGGCTTTTCCTATGTGTGACGCTCCGTATCAGAATCTCTAGACATGTTGCCAACAGCTGTCGAAATGTGTATGAGTTCGCGTTTGCTATAAGGAAGTTCGAGGCAGTGAGTTTCATTTCTAGTACAGCAGCTCAGATAGTAGACGTTCATTCTTCGCAGAGATCATGACCTGGTACTCCACCGCTAAACTGTTTGTACTTTCTCACAAGCATTTAATGGACCCTGAAAACGTGCGCCTTCTCCTTCACCTGGATCACCGTTGCCTACAGGGTATTAAATCTTTTGCCTTTCTCACTTGACGGCTCTCTCTTCTATACTACCTCCACCGCGCTCTTTTGATACAACTAGCGAAGTACACAAGGTCCAGTCAATCTCCAGCAACAACCAACATGAAGACTACAGTTCTGAATGTTTTCGCCATTGTCCTTATTTGGGCGACGGCTGTCTTTGCTCTGGCCGCCGTTGACGATGACAGACAGCCACTGGTAGCTCTTGGTATGTTCCCGATTACAGCGCGTGTGAATACCTCAAGTTAACACTCTTCAGATCTCGATTCAGCTCATGGCAATAACCGCAACCAGGTCATTCCGCGAGTCTCACCTGATCAGACTAGCGACGCGGATATTCCATACGAGAGCTTTCCAGCTTCTGGAAACTCCACCGACGTTCACGCCTTCGGAGGAGACGGCGCCAACTGCAAGGGTAGCTCGCAGTGTAAATATTGCAGGGCGAGCCTTGACCAAATCCTCGAAACTCTCCACGAGATTCGTAAGTACATTCTACATCCTCTCATTCGTATTCTAGTCATGGGTGCTCTTACTGAAGCCATTGTTCATAGCCGATCATGTCACATTCAAGAACGGCGAGAAGATTGCGTGCCAAGTATGCAATCATGAATACTTTCAGGGCATGTGCATTTTCGCCCGAAACCTTCATATGGATATCAACGCCAAGGACGTCCGAGAGATCGTTCAGCGGCTTAGGAATCACCCCTGCGGACGTAAGTCAGACTAATCTTCTCGACGCTGGTAACTTGAAGCTGATGATTCTTAGGATGCGGAAGCGTTCCTATCCATAAGGGCGCAAGTCTCGACCAAGGTATGATCACAGCCAACTACATCAACCGTGCATGTGCTGGTAAAGCACAGGACCGCGCTCGGGGTTGCCCACCACCCTCACTATAAGCATAGGGACAAAGAGTCATTACTGTACAGAAGCAACTCAAAGCTCATCCTTGTACACCTCCTCACTTCCCTCGTGCATCTCATCCCCATCACCCTGCTCAGGCTCAGGCTCACGTTCCTTTTCCTTGCCCATGCCTGCGCTATCCTTATCCTTGTTCTTGGTCGTCTTTTTCTTCGTCTTCTCAGTGTCTTGATCTTCGGTGTCGATGATACCTCTGAACTCCCTGCCTCTAGGTGTATCTACAAGGTCTAATTTCCACCCTTTCTTGCCTGCTAGCTTCTTTAGATTTCCTTTCAAGGTCTCAACATCCTTGGGGTCGGCAATGTTGAGCTTCTTCATTTCTTCTTTAGACATTTGCTTGCCGTCACTGCTCGCTACTGTACCGACAAACGTCTCCTTGCCTCCTCCAACAACGACTGACTTCTCGATCACCTTGCCTTCGCTTCCAACAAACCTCTTCGCACCGACTTCAATGCCACCGATGACGATGCGCTTGGAAGAGCCCTCGAGGCCGTCGGCGAGCTCGCGAAGTGGGTTTGTATTTGCGTCGTCGGCTGTGTTGTGAGCAGCGATGAGACGTTCGGCTGCGGCCATCTTGGCGGAGACTTGTGCTTCTGTCCAAGCGTCGACTTCAGACTCTGGTATAACAGGTTCACAAGTTATAGGGTGCGCGAGGTTCTCTTGTGGTGGGGTGAAGGCGACATCGTGGCAGAGGCGAGGTGTATCGACAATCATGAGGTAGGAGCAGGTGCTTGTTTCCTTGATCATAGCGATTCTATCGGCAGACTGCGGATTGCAATGGAACTGAAGAGGATGTCAGGATGGCACGACATAGAACAGCAAGCGTGCAAGTACATACCTGTACATCAATCTTGCGCGGCTTGCCCGTCAAGTCGCATTCGGTACCGTCGGACAGGCGCTGCACCATGTACCTGCTCGACCCCTTGGTCTCTAGTCTTGATATCTCTAGGCCCCTCTCCTCCTCTTCACCCGCATCGCCCTCGTCGTCGAAAGCCTCCTTGCTGCCTTGTTCACTTCCAAGCGTTTTCTGGGCATCCGCTTTCTTGTTCTTCTCCTCCTTTGGATATTTGCCTAGTACAAAGCTGTGTACGCTCGTATCCTCGACGGGCGGATAGTGGGGGACCCCTCGGCTCTGGGGCAGTTGGTGGAACTGCTTGACCTCATCCTTGTAGCAGAAACTATAACTCCACCAGCCGCTCACATAGTATATGCAGTTGCCCTTCATGCCTTCGAGCAACTCCCATCCACGGTCTGCTGCGCGTAGGAGCTCCTTCTCCTCCTCGGCCTTTGCTTCCTCGGCCGATGTTGTGTCATTCTGAGGTATCTCTTCGGGTATCACAGGTATGCTGCAAAGGTACCGCTGTCCGTGCAGTACTACTGCCTCGTATGTCTGCTCGAGCGGTTCGTCCTCGTGTGCTATGTTCGCGGCTGGCTTATCACGCTTGGATAGTTCCTGCGTCTCTTGCGAACCCGGTGTGGCAGAGCTCGAGCTGGGTGATGCGTGGGAGAGCAGGAAAGTCGCATCATTCTCGGTCACAAAAGTGTCCGGCCATAAAACCTCATACTAGGTGTTCGGTCAGCGAGTGATGACGCCACCTAGGTGTGGGTATGTGCAGCGCATCGTACCTGCGGGAACGCGAGCAAGTCGTCGAAGACGCTAAATGCGTGCTGGTTCGCCAGCGCTATGCGCAGCACCGCTGGGAGTGCCCATATTCCCCTCATCGTTGACAAAATGCGCTACGATTTGCAGAGCGACTTGGAGGCTTGCGACGTGGAGCTGATTGCGGAGTTCTTGTAATCTTGGTTGGAGCCAGATGTCACTTCCGTGAAGCTAAACTGTATTTGGCAAGATTATTGGAGGACACGCGCTTTCGCACTACGGAAGAACATGCGCAACACGCAGTATTGCTCTACTAGCCATTTTTGAGAGAGCAGAATTACCGCGTGGCACACAGTTACGAACTCTAACCGCCAATTAGTATTGTAGGTTCTGTACCAGACCGAAGAAACTATTCAACCAAGAACTTGATCCTTTGCTTACACAGCGCCACCATCAATTGTCATCTACAGAATTTCTTTGTCCTTTACATTGTATCTGTATCTTACCTTACAAGCGACGATTCCGTCGATGAGCACTTACAGCTTCTAGTGTTTATCAAGTTAGGTGATGATGTCATGTCTTGGTCCATCCTCTTGATGTATACCAGTCAACAACTTCTTGCAAACTAGAAAAGTCACTGAACACTGATAAGGCTGAGGCGTCTCTGATGTGGTGTGGGGTAGTATGCGCAGTGCTGGCTGTGTACTCCAACCGGTCAGCTCGCGACCACATCTTCGAGCCGCGCACGTTGGGCACACGTTAAGCTGTCCTTTTGCTTGACGTGAGCTTTTATTCACGGAGACCGGATCGATTCTGTCGAATATGTCATCTTCCTTTGATATTCTACGAGAAACGGCTAACGTGACTAATCTGCGCCACCCACTCCAACAGAATGAGATCAGACTTGTGAGGTTGAAGTCTGCTCCATGGGGAGCACCGATCATGTGTGAGTTGAACAGTGTTGACATCAAGTACAGCCCATGGGCAGCATCTTCAGCAAGTGCAAGCAATGTATCGTGTACCTTGGGGACAAGCTTGATGGCTCTACCCCGTCTTTGAGTGAACCACCGCCAGTTTTGCACTTCGACCCCAAAAGATATTCTCCAGTCAAAGAGAAAAACGCGAGTCGCAAATCCGGCGCATGTGAGGCGTTTCGATTTTTCGTGGAACTAAACGAAGATCATGAGCAGTGTGTTGGGCTGTTCGAGAAACTCTGCAAGAGCTGCCGACAGATCAGTAGAAGGTCATTTATGGCAGCTTCAACAAGATCATTAGTATCGATAGCCTCCGCATTCGACAGCAAGATCCCATTGCCGATGCCAACTCTCGAGGCTTGTTGGATCTCTTGATCCAGTTCCGGGACCGTAATGCTTCCGATCCCAGAGACAAGGTGTACGCTCTTCTCAGTGAAAGTTTCATGTATACCATATGCGCAGGTGTGATACACTTTACAGATGCTGGTGTATACAGAATATAGAGTAAAGACGTTGGAACTTTCGGAAGCTAGGGAAAATACCCAAGGCTATCGCCATATCACAAAACCGACGGCGAAGAGGCTTCTGACGACGATATGTACTTTAAAGTGCAAAGGCTGCTCGAAGATGCTTATGGTCCAAACATCGACGTAGGTGTCCCCGAGAGATCTCTTGTTTCAGACATCGATAGGTCGATGTGCGTTGGAACGCTCTCACGGCGCCTGAACATCGGTGAAGATTACGCTGGACTAGGACCAGCGGGGACATCTGTTGGTGATGATGTGTTTCTCCTAAGTGCTGGAAAGACACCATTTGTACTACGACGGCATAAGGATCAAAGGGAAACGGAACCGGCACCGAGATATGAGATGATTGGCGATTGTTATGTGCAAGAGTGGATGGACGGGGATGCAGAACTTCTGAATTCCTGCAAGTGGATGGACACAACGCTTTCGTGATATCCCAGCTGACTCTGAAATCTTTGAATCGAGACGATCCCTGTCGATGTGAAGACTCTGTAAGGGTGGATGTGCTTTCGCAGCGATATAGCGGTAGGCAGCTGTCTTTTATATTTGCAAATAGGAAGCTGTAGGAGAGTAGAAATTGTTGTAACCAGGTGTATGAGAATGCTCGAAAACGCTTTCCTGAGTAATAGCTGGACAAGCCTGCTCTTGCGTGTGTCACGACGATGGAGACACTATGCCCTGTCAGATCGGGGTCCACTTGGTAAGGGTTAGCTTCAAGGATGACGTTGCTAGTGACGCGAAACTTTCACGAAAAAACGTGACAAGCTGCTCGGGCGACTCTCAGCAACGCTGCACTACTGCTACAACAATCTTTCCATATGCGTAGAAAACTAGAAGCACTTCTGAGAGCCTGCTCTCAATCTCCATTTATTTAGAATTGAGAACAAAGATTGTAAAAGTAGTAGTAGAGCACACTGCCCTCTATCGGCTTATTTCTAACTTTTGTTTTGGCGCTAGAGATCTTGCTGCCTTGTATGCTGGAAGCAGGAGGTGCCCAGCCAATAGCGGGGTGCGCGCGGGCCGCCCCAAAGCCTCATAACTCGCGACGCCTCGAGTCTGCGTCCATTCACTTCCGACGTTCGTGTTAGGTGTCTGTATGGTTCTGCTAGCAAGGTGTGTCTTGGTTCCAATCGCAATCGCATAGCGGAGATGATTGCCGACGTGTTCGCGCTGACATATTGCCTCAGAGCCTGTTCCTAGGGCAACCCTTCGCATCGTCTTCCTCGACGCCTGTACGCGCACGCCATCAAGGCAAACGTCTGCCTCGCTTTACCTACATACACATTCCACACCTTTCGCGACTGCGTCGCTGTAATACACACTGCATTGCCACTCGATTTGGAGTCGCATTTGCCTCATTCCATCCTACAAAAGTTGATCTGCATCTGAGACGGAGGCCCGGAAAAAGAAAGTCAAGGGGCTGTATACCCAGACTAGGATTCTCCATCAAGCCTGGCTGAAGAGCAGTTCTGTTCAGACTGGTTAATGAAGACCTGGTGGCGGACAGTCGCATTATAAAGAAGCCTTCACTTCCAGCCCTTGGCTGCTTGTGGTATACAAGAAATTGATACGTCCCATTGATTTGAAGCACGTCGCAGAGCTCTGGCGTCGGTTCTGCTTGCGTCTTCGTCTAGAACACTCTACACACGACTATCTGCGCAACCCATTCATTAAGCGCACGGTCCAACATCGTGCCTACGTTGTCCAAGTGATCACTCACTCTACTATCAGCGCAACTACCACCAGCTCGCGCTAGACCTACCTCGAATCATCTCACGAACCCCGCAATCTGCTGCATACCGTGTATAAAAGCCTAGAACCCGCCCTTCAATCACCCGCTCGACAACGTCTGTCGCCTTCCAAGATCCCACGGCCGTACCTTTCGCCAGGTCTCAGACCAAACCCACCAGGGCTTTACAGGACTATACGCCCTCGAAGATCCGCCTGGCAATCACCATGGACGCCGAACCATCTCAGCAGACTCAACCTGCGACTCAACAGGTCCTAGATCCACGGCGACTGGGCAGAAACAACTCCGGTCTTAACGACGGTGATATTGCCGACGTCTTGGTAATCCTCCACCCAGCCACTCCCACAGCCATACGCATAGTCGAACAGACAGCTCTGGAGCGACCTGAGCATGTCCTTTTCCGCAGCTCACTCGATTCCATGAGTAGTTCCATCACCGACGTCGAAGAGCAGGAGACATTCATCATCAACGCCCCTGAAGGACGGCAGGGTAGCAGTTCGCGTGCTGGCGCAGATCTGGCATTACGTATGTCGTCTGCAAAAAGGCTGAAGTTCAAGCCACTCGGATTCATATTTGGGCGCAATCACCAGAGCGCCGATGTCATTTTCGGTCAGGACTCCGGCAAGAGGATAAGCAATCAACACTTTCGCATATACCTCAACGCGGATGGCCTTCTCATGCTGGATGACATGTCGACCAACGGCACCATCGTTGACGATTCGCTTCTGAAGTGCAAGGACAAACGCTTCAGCAGGATGCGGATGCTCAGCTCAGGTTCAATCATCTGTATCCAAAACTCTAATGATGCAGAGATGATCAAGTTCATTGTGCGTATACCTTCTCGGGTCAACTACCTGGACCGCTTCCGTGAGAATTTGCGCAACTTCATCACCGAGTGCCAACCAGACTTTGGCGACGCACAGGGCAAGGCTGTTCAGCGAATTACAAAGCAGTATGGCGGGCCGTCGATGAAGTGGGACGGTGGTGAAACCTATAACATCGTCGGTATGTATTGCCTTCGTGGCTTGGTTGATACTTGCTAACTGTTCTCAGGCCAGATCGGTAAAGGCGCCTTTGCGACCGTCTATCAACTTGCTGAGAAGATGACTGGAAAGCTCCTCGCTGCAAAAGAACTGGAGAAGCGCCGATTTATGAAGAACGGTATGCTAGACAAGAAGATCGACAATGAGATGAAGATCATGCAAGATCTGCGGCACCCGAACATTGTCGAATTCGTCGAATACCATGACCAGGGTGATTATCTTTATATCATCATGGAGTTCGTGCGGCAAGGCGATCTGCAAGGCTACCTCAACCAGTACGGATCCATGAAGGAACATGTTGCGAGGTTGATGGCCCAGCAAATCTTGAGCGCACTCAGTTATCTCCACCGTGCGAAGATCACCCATCGCGACATCAAGCCTGACAACATCCTCATCTCCGATCTGGAACCTTTCACTGTCAAACTATCGGATTTCGGTCTTTCCAAAGTTGTCAAGCACGAGGAAACCTTCCTCAAAACCTTCTGTGGAACCCTACTGTACTGCGCTCCAGAAGTGTTTCCTGATTTTAGCGGCCAGTCGAAAGGTACCAAGCGCCGGCGTGGTGCCAAGACATACCACTCGTACAGCTCGTCTGTGGATATATGGTCCTTTGGTGGTGTCCTCTGGTACGCTCTATGTGGCGAGCCTCCGTTCAAAGGTATCGCAGATGCCACCGGCGAAGCCATGTTCAACAATATTATGCACACTCCCCTCGATCCGACACCGCTACAGAAGGCAGGTGTGTCTGCCGCTTGCATCGATCTTCTGACGCGCATGCTTCAGACCGACCCTGCAACTCGTCCCACAGATCGCGACTGTCTTAACCATCCATGGCTCAAAGATGGTGCACAATTCCTAGCCGACCCGACTCTCCAGTCCATCGCGGAAGAAGAGGAGCCAGAGGAAGCTGAGCAGCAGCTATCGCAGCTCAGTCTTCAGGAGGAGGAGATTCCAGAGTCAGACGAAGAAGGCGACATCCTATCTGATGACGAGCTCATGGCCTTTGTCACAGAGCGCCAGCCAAAGCGAGTTCGCGCTGATCCTTTGTACCCTCGAAATCAGGTGCGAGATCATGAGGATTCCAGCGTCGAGCCATCGTTTACTTCCTCACATCTTGTGAATGACGAGAGTTTTCAAGTTATTCCCACACCGAGGCAGCCTCGTTTGTTTGGTGAGATTGGACAGTCTGCTTTGCAGAGCTCTGGAGTTTTGAGTGCTCATGCCAATGATGCGCTCTCACAGGATGAATCTGTTCGTCTGGTTCAGAACGATGGAGCAGGCGACACTAGTTACACTACTCGTGAGGCAGAGTTTCAGGGTCCTTTTACTGCACCTGCGCAGCTCGAGCGCGGCTTCTCTTCGCCAAGCCTCCTTGGTGCGGAGTCTTTGGTACGAGATCTCAATATGACCTCGCCGCACTCACCCGTATCTAGAACGCAAAGCCCCGTGATGCCAGCGACACCGAAGACCCCGGAAGTCGTTCAGCATAGCTCTTTGGATCAGTCGTCCAAGGACTTTAGCCAAGATAGCGAGCCAACTCCGAGAGCACGACCTTCTGGGATGAACCGACAGATCAATCTTCCTTTGACTGCTTCCTACTACTACGACCCCAAAGATCCAACTACACATAATCTGGAGTATGCTTCTAGAGTAAGCGGATTCGATTTCGTGTCGAACAGCCGCGACGCTACAAGTAATACATCCGCATATCCTGACACGACAGCAGCATCGGAAGCAAGTGCGCTGTCGACAACATCGAGTGTTGCTGCAGCACCATCTACAGCGGTAGCAATTCCCTCGGTTCCGGTGGAGGTTGACATTCGTCCGCCACCACGGCGACTGGGTAAACTCATCGCAACCCCCGATTCCTTCGCGCCTAACCTTGTTCTCAACATCGATCAGAGCAAAACTTCCTGGGGCCGTTTGGGCAACAACACAATCGTATACGAGCACAGAGGTGATACACGCATTCCCAAAACAGCTTTCATCGTGTTCTTCTACTCGCCTGGTGGAGAGGCTCCGGAAACCGTAGAGGAGCTTTCGCAACAGGGCAAAGATTGGACCACCTTAGACAACCTGAATGTTGGCATCTGGACCTGCGCCACACACGGCATCTCGATCAACGGCAAGCACTTGAAGCAGAAAGACGATAAGGGCCGTGCTCTCTTTGGACATCTGCATACTGGTGACATCGTGCAAGTGTATCACGACGCCCGCGGAACTGAGTGCCTCAAATTCCGCTGCGAGTTCTACGTCGGAGCCGGCAAAGAGCCACGACCCGCAGGCAATAGCTTCGGCACACTGATCGGTAACAGGCTTTCACAGTAGACCTGTCTTTGCCGAGAAAGCATCCGCATAACAACGTTTGTGCATCACAACAGCATCATCTCATTTCTCGGTCATCATCATTCTGTTTGAGTTAGCGGGCGTTGACGGTTCCTGTACTACTATCTCCATGCTATCTTTGTGCATATTCTCTTTGTAATAGCATCACCTCGGTGTTGGGGCTCCAAGATCGAGCGAAAATTGTCATTCTTAGTCGTGAACGCACACTGGGTGGATGGTACATGAGCGACATAAACATACTGTTTTGTATTTGGTGGAACGTGTTACGAGCATGAATTGGGGAAGAGGCTAGAGACGGAGCTCGCATAGTCAGACGCCTAGAAAGGCGAGAACATCAATCGATCCATTGAGACAATAATACTGTCAGTATGACATAGCAGCCCTTGGTCCTTGTCGCACTTCTCAGATGGCCGAAATTGACCAAAAAGGGCCTTTGTTAAAGACTGGTCTTGGGATGACCAAGACTTGAGATTGCATGACCATAAGCAAGTGAGAGCCTCAACTTCAATTCTCGTTCTCAATACTGGGAAAATATATGACAAGCTGAACAAAGAGGTTGCTCATTCTTCCTGTATTAGTATGAATCAATTGGCGTACCTAGGTGGTGCTCACTGTTCGTTTCTTTCCTTGCTCTTGCAAAGTCCTTTCCGTCGTCCTTGCGTGTCAGATCTCGTAGCCTGCACGGAGTGCTACCGTGAACTGCTGACACGAACTGAGGATAACGGCATACCGACAACATATTGTCGATCTTAGAGCCCCCTCACTCATTTCGTATCTATGAAACTAGTTCATGGGGGCGCGGTTGTAATATCCAAGTCCAAGACCGTGAGATGGGGTCGTTCAAAATACCCAAGTAGCCCTGTGGTCTACATAGAAGTTTTTGGCGAACGATAAATGGTATTGTTGACTAAGCCTCTGAACTTACCACTAAACTGCTAGAATGTAGAACCACACTAGGCCGGTACGATCCGGTTCCACCAGGAGTGCCGGTGGAGCTTCGGGATGGTCGGATGCGTGCAGGCTTTGTCGTATCTCGCGTACTTGGGATACGATCACGAGGGTAAATTGTATTCAAGATGAGACACCCGCTTTGTCGTCGAATTTGTGACACAAAACCCATAGGTATAAAGCGCGATCGATTTGCCTCTTGCATCTAAACATACAGAAAGATCTTCAAGAGCAACTTGACAAGGCTGCTGATGTCTGTGAAGTCGTCTCCTTGCAAGCCGAATTGCACCCCGACAGACACGCTGTTCACAAGCGCCTCCAAAGGCATAGTGAGAGTACTACAGGTAACATTTATGGAATTGTGTTTCTTCTAAACCAGTGGAATATATGCCTTCCCTCTTTGTCGGGCCCGTCTACTCCTCAACCGAATAATACCAAAGATCGTTCCAACAAAGGCCGTGGCAACACTTGCGATCGCCCATGGTCGCTCTACGAACCACAATACCACGGCGACATCCCCACCATGCCATGATCCTCCAGGCTTATGACCGAAAAAGGTGTATTCTTCTGAGTAGAAGACTCGCGGTAGGACGACGAAGGAATCTGAGTCTGGGTGGAACAAGTCAGCTATCAGGATTGTCTTTGTTTGTTGAGCATAAGTTGCTGACTTACCAAGGTCGTCTCTGGCCCCGCGCTGCATACATTTTCCATCGGGACATTCCTCGAACCATTCTTGCAGTATCGTACTCGTGAACTGTGGCCCAGTCGTCCAGAAGATTGTAAGGTATGGGAACAGCAGATTCCAGTTGTGTGTCACCAGACCCTCTGTCATCCTCTTCACGATCGGATGCTTTGCTGCGGATGCCATCAGGTCGTTATTGACACCCAAAGGCGATGCTTCCGGAAACCAGGCCGGAAAATCAAGCAAAGGATCCAACGAGCGTCGACACGCGACATCTAGGTCCATGTATACACCACCAAAGTGATAGAGCGCGAAGTACTTCAAGGCGTCGACCTTCTGAATAGGGTACTTGTAGTTGTCATATGTTGGTAAAAACCAGGCGTACTCATTGGATAGAAACTCGCGAGCGCTCGTTGCATTCCACATGCGGATCTCGTAGCTTGGGTTGTGCTCGCGACATAGTTGCGGTGATCCAAATCCAATCGATGGGCCTCCAGAAGGCCCTTCATGGCCTGGGTAGATTCTTTCGAACCATATGTAGTGTATCGTACGTGCGATCTTGGTTCCGTTGTAGGTGGAAGAGTAGTCGGACTCCTGAGGCTGCTGGTTGTTTGCCCGCGATTCGTTCAATTTCTTCGCGTAGTCGGTGGGGAAATCGCCGAATGTGATTTGCTGTTCGACGAGGAAAGACTGAAAGACATATTGGTGCCAGATGACGCTCACTATTTTGAGCAACACTGCGGCAGCGATAACTCTAACGACGAGTTGACGGACAAACATCTTTCCACTATTGTATAGATGCTAGGTTTGGTGAGTAAGGGTTGGGACACACTGTTCTGACATGAGGAAGTAGGAGACTTTTCATGCTCTCCATCAACTGCATGCCCCTTTCTCCCATTCATACAGCCGTCTCGGGTACACCGCCCTTGACGCTAGCCTCGTACATACTACAACATTGATACATCTTGACACTTACGCCCTGTGATTGACAAGGCCCTCGTCAGCTGCTGTGGTCATCCTAGGGATACGAGTTTCAGGAGGAGAACCGTGGGTAGCATGCCAAACAGTGCACATCCTCGATCCATAGTGCGGTGTAGTGATCGTCCGAGGCTGGCAGGTAGTCAATGCTAGCGCCCAAATTGTCACCGTGCTTGGACAGAAAGAGAAGCGACATGCCACCGTGGATTTACTATCATTGCAAACTTCTCAACATAGGTTCCAGTTTAAATCTAACGAAGGAACCGATAAACATGATCTCTTATCTAGCCGCCCCAAGACTTGATGAGTTGCCTTGCTTCGTAGTAGGTATGAGCAACCTGACGGTATTTACCAGCGTCGGACCGAAAGACCAGTTTTGTCAAGCTTATTAAAGCTCCGAGTATGGTTCCATCGTCGACTTCGAGCACTTTGGGCACGGAAAGTGATGTTGTGAAACGTGGAGGGGCGCTCGAACACTGTGGCTATGCTACCTAGCTCCTCGCGGTCGCATAAGCCAACTATGAATGCAGGTACCGAGCTAGCTTCTGTTAAGCGGATATGTTTCTACTGTAGTAACGGCACGGTGAGATGTCTTGTGCCGAGGCTCCGTCAACTAGGGTTCGGTCCGTATTCAGTGATTTTCCAGATGCATCTCGCGTTTCTTTCTCCAGCCGTGATGCTTTAATGTTCGGCGGTAACAACGCGCGTACCTTAAAATCAACTTTCTTGTCTGTTCTTACCGCTTAACTTACAGCCGATTGGTTATAGACGACAGTGTACATGATCCCTTAGGGGCTCCTGTATTGAGGCCAACGGCGTTGCCGCAACTAGCAGTGAAGCGAGACATGACTTCTAGATGGAGAAATTACATAACACTGGGTCTGATCTGGGGTATCGCGACTATTAATAAAGTAGCGCTTGTCTTGTCCCTTGACGCGGCTTCGCATGATTTGGCGAACGCTTGTTTTGAACGATGGAGTTGGGTTGCGGTGAGAACGGCGGCCCTTTGGTGTAGCGAGGATGCCGGCTTGATGGACTAGAGGACTGCCTCACTACATGTTGGGATAGGCGCTGTACAAATGAGCTCTCTATGGTAATCGAAATGATTTGACTGCGCCACGGGTGTTTCAGAATCAGAATAAGTGAGTGTCAGTCAGGTGCGGAGAATCGAGCCGAAAGGAAAAAATTGCGACACAGGTCTGGCGCATGCCAGCTACTTTCGCATGACGCGGATCCACCAGCGGAATTCCCGATGTCTTCGTCGGTTCCTGGTTTAAGGTGGAGCATCAGCATATGTTTTTAGTGCGAACAAGACCACTCAGCTTCAACGGCGCCATCATCACAGGTAGCTTGACTCTAGAAAACTGACTTAGCCTGGATTCCACACCCGAAGAACATCGAGTAATTGTCTATAACCAACACTCAACGCGTGAAGCCGCGCTGGAAGCGAACTAGTCGACCGGCGAGTTCTGACGCGGCCCCCGTATCCGCTAGATGCGCACATTCGTGGGTACTTTAAAGAACTGAATGACCCATTCTTAGTGGTATCACCTAGACTCCTTCGTGTGTGTGGTAGCAGCTACCATTTGTTGTCAGCTCATTGTACATTTCAGGGGTTCCTCGTTCCGATGTTGTACGATCCAAGGTTCCCGCATTGCCAGGTGGTCTGTTCTCGCCAAGTCCGTCCGCGAAAATGTTGCTGCACAGCCCTAACCCTAAAGTTGCGCCTTCTCTTGCCGTATCGAGAATGGGTTGTGTACATAAGCTGGTTCAACTGGGATAGCAGGCGACAGGAGTAGATGCAACATCGGCCAGATGCGCGGTGTTGCGCACAGGGCAGGGCAGATTCCAATCTTCCACACTTAGGTAATACATTTAATTCCGCGAATCAGCGCGACACATCGCGTGGTACGTCTAGGTACTACCTGGGCAGTGTTATGTGTTCCTGCGCTTCATCCTTGCAACTTGCTTTACGTGATAAGCCACACGTATATTGCTATGAAGATCCCATATTCCTAGCTAGGCACTGTCATATAGCGACGATGCATTACCCTCTTCCCCAATCTTCAGTCCCTAGTATACGTAGATGAAGTCTTCGTTCTCCATGTCTGTCAAATCAGAGAAGCCATTGTCCTGCTCCTGTCTCTGGTCTTGCGCCTCCATTTCCACTCCTTTCTGTGTCATTTCCTTTTTCTTCAACATACTTTCGTCAATTCTCACTGCGCTCTTGCCTAACTCCTCTCTTCGCTTCGCATGTCTCTTGTTCAACAGTGCCAAGTACATAGGAATGAGGAGTGCGATGATAGCAACCAGCGCGAACATTACCAGGTTGGAGATAAGGCCGGGCCGGTATAGAGGTGCGTCGTCAACAGAGTACAAGAGTGGACCGATGACGTTGCCTGTGCACATGCCGATGAACACCATAGCCGACGTACACTTCTTCTTCGTGTCACCAGCGGTGTTCTGCACGTGCCAAGTGTATATCAAAGGTGTGATGGCAGCAAGACATGATACAAGGTAGTATCCAAAGAGCAAGACGCCTTTGTGCTGACGTGGTACGGTCAACATCATGATCGTGCCGATGATGGGTAGGATCGCGACAAGGGCAATGGCAAGACCTTTGCGACTCCAACGTGCCGCTCCCCAGGAAGATCCCAGGATACAGACGACCTGAATGACACCGAAGGGAATGTTGAAAAGAATAGATTGGAAGTTAGTATAGCCGAAGTCGCGGATGATGAGATTCCCAAAGGTGGATATACCGCCGCTTGCTATGCTTTAAGAGAGATGTTAGTAACAGGCCTCTGATGCAACTAGGTCAACTACTTACGAGATAGCGATGATGGCAATGAACCAACACCAAGTCTTGAAGTCGATCAAGGTCTCCCAGACCTGATCCCACTTCCACTCTCCAGACTGAATACCCATTTGGTTAGCCCTCAGACGCTCGACTGCAATGAATCGTTCTCGCTCGGTTAAGTATTTGGCTTTCATCGGGCTATCCGGCATCAAGACAAGGACGACGAAGGCATACGCTACAGTCAAGAGACCGCAGAACATGAAGATAACCTGGTACTTGTATAGCGAGTCGCTATTGATGTGTCCAAGACCGTAGGTGAAAAGGGACCCAACAATGAATGTGACACCGTTCATAGCGTTCCAGTAACCCGTTCGAAGAGTTTGTTCGGAACGGCGCCACCACATCGTTGTGGTCGCAACACACGCAGGAGCTATCATGGCTTCGAAGGAACCCAATACGAATCGCATACCGAGAAGGCTTTTGAAATCAGTACAGGCGGACATGATGGCCAGGCTGCTACCCCAGAGGAAGATAGCCGTTCCGATGACCTTTCCAGTGGGCAGTTTGACGAGGATGAATGCGGCGAGCGGTTGCATGACTAGTTGGGCAAGATAAAGGATAGAACCAAGCCATGAGTATTGTCGTCCTACTAGTCCTGCATCCTTTTGCAGACCGAAGATAGAGACGTAGGATAACGAAGACTTATCGAGCTGTTGGAAAAAGTAGGCTCCTCTGAATATGGGTGTACAAGGTCAGTGCATATCTCACATGTAGTTCGTATAGAGATACTCACAGCAAAAGAGGGAGAACTCGATAGTCCACGCGCTTGAGGAGTGCGTGCTCTTCTTCGTAGGAGAAAGATACATCATCGACATGCGCATTGGCTAGAAACTTGGCTGCAGCGTCGGCTTTCGCAATATCCTGTCCAACTATGGGGGTGGAGTGCTCGACATGGGTGATGGTGTCGTCTTTGGGAGTTTCAGTATAGGTTGTCGCCATGATGTTGCAGAGCGATGACTTTAGGATAGGTAAGTGTTCTTCGTAATTATCTCCTAGGTGGTGGAATCATCTACTTATTAGTGGAAGGCTCCAGTTCGGAGAATAAGAACCGACCGGTTGGGTCGACGATTCTTGCTCGCATCTTCGTGTTGGGTATTGAGCATCCACATGGCCATGCGTATCTCAAGCTTCCCGGTCGCAGTCAAAGCCCCTCATAGCCATGCTGATCCACGTATCACATCCTTCCATCCGTTGTCCATCCGCGCAAGTAGCACATCAACACAAGCTTTTGGGTAAGGAGTGAGCTTCCCCGCAGAGCTCACGCGGTAAACCCCATGCTTAGCTATGGTCGCCCCTGCTTCACTTTCCCCATGGGGGCGGATCCTGTGGGGCCTCTTCTCGAAACATTGGTTCACCAACCGGCTATAGTGGCGGCAAAAGGCAGGATCGACATCGCGATATCGCGTGGTGCAACGTTCGGGGTGAGATGCGCCGAATTCGACGGCCTAGCCGGGGTAGCGATACACCGATGCGTCGTCGTGGGAAGCTTCCTAAGAGGTTAAGAGGTGGCTGCAGAACAAAGTCTTGACCTACCGTACGCTTGGTTTAACGTTCATTCTCATATCTTTTATTGGCAAAAATGACGGGGGGGAACAAACAAAAGAGATATGCTCTGATTGGCACAGGGGGTCGTTCGTCCTTCTTCTACACAGCGATAGCGACGACCTACAAAGAGACCTCTGTTGTTGTAGCGCTATGCGACACCAACCAGACACGACTGGACTTTGCGAACTCACAGCTGGAATCTCTCGGCCATGCCAAGGTTCCCACTTTCAAAGCGTCGGATTTCGACCGAATGATTCGAGACACGAAGCCAGATGAGGTCATCGTAACAACCATCGATCGCACACACAACATCTACATTGTTCGCGCGCTGGAACTAGGTTGCAATGTTGTAACGGAGAAACCCATGACTATTGACGCACCACGGTGTCGTGAGATCTTCGATGCTGTTGAGCGAACGGGCAAGAAAGTACGCGTTACGTTCAACTACCGCTACGCACCGCACAACACAAAGGTCTGGGAACTTCTTCGTTCTGGCGCAATTGGAAGGGTGACGAGCATACACTTCGAATGGATGCTCAACACGTCACATGGCGCAGACTACTTCCGCCGCTGGCACCGGGATAAGCGTAATAGCGGTGGGCTACTCGTCCACAAATCAACCCATCACTTCGACCTCGTCAATTTCTGGTTATCCTCGCGTCCGGAAACTGTGTACGCGCAGGGAAATCTGAACTTCTACGGGCGAGAGAACGCTGAGAAGCGAGGCGTTCAAGACTTCTACACAAGAGCCCATGGCAGTGAGGTGGCGAAGAAAGATCCATTCGCACTGCACATGGACCAAAATGAGAAGCTGAAGAAGATGTACCTCGATGCCGAGCACGAAGACGCATACTATCGCGATCAAAGCGTCTTCGGCGACGGCATAAGCATAGAAGATACAATGAACCTCCTGGTAAAGTATGAGAACGGTGCGGTACTCACTTACTCCCTGACTGCATACGCACCATGGGAAGGCTTCCGCGTGTCGTTCAACGGCACTGGGGGCCGTGTGGAAATGGAAGTCGTCGAGAACAGCTACGTGAACAGCGGAGGAGACCAATCGCTCGAGGGATCACTCGAAAAGCGATCGATCACACTCAGAAAGCTGTTTGAGAAGCCCGAGGACATAGAGATCCCTGATTCTGTTGGGGCGCATGGCGGAGGCGACGAGGTCCTGCTAGCAGATTTGTTTGGTGAGCAAGGTGCGGAGATCGACCAGGATATGAGGGCTGCTAGTCACGTTGACGGTGCGCTTTCAATTCTTACGGGTATCTGTGGAAATAAGTCAATGGCTACTGGACAGGTTGTTAAAGTTAGCGACGTGTTCGTGGTGTAACTGGGTATGGCGTGTCGGTCGTAGTAGGATAATGAACCATCGAATTTCTCGGTATGCACGCAACGATACGATGTGGTATCTAGTGTTTCCGCATCTCAATAAAAGATCACGGTGGCTGGTAGTGAGTAGTGACTTCGTACAAGTAAGCGTCATCGTGTGGGGCGAACCGCGGCTGCCCCGAACCCTGACGAACAACGCTAAGATCGACGGGTCTCTCATTCCCGATGATGTTCGTGAGTAGCTTTTGGTCACCGACATGTTGTTTGCTTGTATCATCAGCTAGCTCCTTGACATTCTAGCGACATTGGAAATGTTGCGCCCCCTGCAATACCTTCCGCACATATGTCCACTTTCAGAGGCGTCATAGCTGGTGAACATTGTTGCGCTACCCTTCTCAATCGATATGCAGACTAACATCTTGCTTTAGAATTTCCCCACATCAGGATAGATTGTTTCCGTCAGCAACCGGAGCACAAGGCGCCGTTAGCATGCTTCTTGAGTCATGTACACTCTGATCATTTGGCCGGCCTCGAGTCGTTACGCGCTCCGTTTGTGTACTGTTCAGCTGCGACTAAGGAGGTGATTAATAAACTCGTTCGGCTCTGATGAACTTCACTGTAAAACTGACATGTCTTGTAGATACTGCTGCGACTAGAGAAATTTTACTATCGTGTCAACTTTGCTAAGGGTATCCTCGAGAGTAGCAATGTCACTTACGACAGAAGCATGCGCAAACTGGCTAAGGCGCTCCCTCTTGACACACCAACCTTGATTGAATTAGCGCCAGGAAACAGTATCAGGGTAACTCTTATCGATGCGAACCATTGCGTCGGTGCCGTCATGTTTCTGATCGAGGGCAATGGTAAAGCAATACTGTACACCGGCGATATCCGTGCGGAAGAATGGTGGGTAAACTCAATAGTACAAAACCCAGTACTATTGCCATATTCACTCGGAAACCGAGAGCTCGATTGCATGTATTTGGACACGACTTTCGCTACAAAAAAGGAGCCCTATCGACAATTTCCGAGTAAAGCACAAGGCATACAAGAGCTGCTGGACAAGGTCGGTGAGTATCCGCGCGATACAATCTTTTACTTCCATTCTTGGACGTTTGGATATGAGAACGTATGGATAGCGCTCTCTGCATTCCTACACTCGCGCATACATCTTGACGAGTATCGAGCGCGTGTATACGGTTCATTGTCTACGCTAGATAAGCGGCAATTGCGAGAAGCAGGCCTTGATGTCCCAGCAAGTAACAAGCCGCTTCAAGAATCTGGACTGGAGATCCGCGAGGCTCCTGCTTTATGCGGTGTTAGGAATGGAAATCACATACAACCGGGTTGTCTAACGTCTCAGGAGGACGTCCGCATTCATAGTTGTGAGCGTGGCATGGGTTGTTCTGTCCTGGACCGCGATTCGAACGCAGAGATCATACACATCATCCCCATCGTTACGCGCACCGACGGAGTGGATATCGCCGAACTAGGCGCTGGAGGTGGCAAGGGTGATCTCGATCAGAAAGAAGAGCTAGAGTCTGGTGGAGTGGGCGGCATAGATAAGTTGTTGGAGCTCTGTGCTGCATCCATAGAGGATGAGCGTTTGCTCGCGAAAGTAGTTGCGTTGGTACGGCGTACTCTCATCGAAGATGGCAAACTCGACCTGGACATGCAGCTTCAAAAGCACATTCATGACACGCAAGACGATGTGTCTTTGGAAACTCTCGTCTCTATATTGTCATCTAATGCTTCAAAAGACTCCGGAATGGAACTGCCGTCTAATGGGACGATTCGATTTCCATACAGCCGCCATTCTTCATACTCCGAACTTCGTGGCCTTGTTAGGGCCTTCAGTCCTAGAGATGTATTTCCATGCACTGTTGACGATGTTCATTGGACACCCGAGCTTAGCATGCGAAATCTGTTTGGCGATTTGTGCTCGGCTGATCTTTTTCGCCACGATACCATAATGATGGAGATTTTCGAAGCCAGATTGGCCTTCGAGGGCCGACAAAAGCGATACAGAGGAGAGAACCCAACGGATACGCAAATGACTGATGATGGGGCCTATGAACGGCATGTCATACTCCCCACCTCGAACGACCTCGCTTCAAGCACGCCAACCAAATCAGGAAACTTTGGGGTTCCGAGGGTTCTTCCTACATCAGAAACACCTTTTGCGCATAGTTCTCGTCAGGAAGTGGCCAATCAAACTCCAGAAGATCAATCTATCCACTTTTCATCGGTGGCCAAACAGCACACCACGGCTTCCGATTCTTCCTCCAGAATAGATTTACTGGCACCCAGCTTACACAAAAGGCGACGAAAGACAAATCGGCAACTTGCTTACGACGCAGCAATTGGAGCCAATGGTCTTTCTTGGTGCGACTATGGTGGTTTAGTTTCAACCAGAAGCAGGGCTGTCCAAGATGAGCCAGAGCTCTGAGAGAAATCTGATCTTGCGACCCTTTGCTAATATAGGCGATTTGACGCTCATATATGCTGCAGAGAACATGGTTTGTTGTAATGCGGTGGCAAAAGGAATAGTGTGGGAAAGCCTTTGAGATGATATGGTGTGGTTGCTGTACTCCTTCGCATTGGCATCGAGGGTCCTAACTTAACAATGTATTTAAAGATCAACGTGGTTCATTTTGTGCAAAATATACTACCCTCACCTTTGTGCTTCTCTCAGATCCTTTCGTGTTCTCTCTCTACCTCTCCGTCAGACTGTTCTTGCTCGCGCTCCATCCCTCCGCAGCTCATGTCAGCACGACACACCAACGTCTTTTCTTCGAATAAACCTGTGCCATCTCCCAACCTCCCTTCCTTTGCGATAAGTTCAGCCTGCTTCGTGTCTACCCACCAATATTCCATGAACCCTCTTAGCGGAAAGTCTCTAACTTTATCGTCTCCTCCGTCTAGTCCCACGTACCCCCGAACTGCCTTATGTAAATCATTCACGTAAATCGGCATCAATGTTGGCCTGTCTAGCTGCCAGTCTGCTAATTCGTGAATACTAGGTAATGGCCAGCAGTCGTCCCAGTGCGCTCGTAACGAATCGAGACGACCAAGATCAGCCGGCAGGCCTGTGAACTCTACAAATTTGCGTTCCACAGCCGACGCAAGAACTTGCCATGCGCGCCTGTGTCCCACTGTATTTAGGTTCCATTCCGTACTCCAACAAGCTTGGCAGGCATAGTAACGAAGGAATATATGACAGGCTTCGTGTAAAAGCGTGCTGAGCATCAAAATGCAGTCTATAGATGGTAGTATGACGATGCTGTAGCGAAAATAACGCACAGACGCCACGCCGATTGCCGTTTCATATCTGGGGTGTAGGGGAGTAGTAGCCCAACGAAAGCAGGAGAGGCGACGTGGAATGTCGGAGCCGAAGAATAGAATGTTGATATGCTTCCAAAGCTCGCGCATTGAAGATTCAGGGAAGATTGTGTCAAGACTTGCAGATGGTGTGGATGGTGTGATGGCAAAGAACAGTGACATGTGCTCTTGAACCCATATTTGAAGGTTCATCAAAGCGGCTAGTTGCGTGTTATTAAGAGATTCCAGTGGGCGGTCGAAGTATTTCACTGCTGTTCTAGTCAGTTCCATTGCTTCAGCACGGAGCGCAACGTTCATTTTCAAGGGTTTGTAGCACTGATTTCCGAACTCGTTTTCGGTGCTGTCGGGTTTGAGTTTGGGATGGTCGTGTGGATGTATCTTGCAGTTCCAATGGGACTTGTAGAAACGCGGATCACACTGATCACAGTTGCATGCTGGTTGGGGATCCTGGGCCTCGATAACTGCGCGAAGACCGTCAAGGGTATCTGGGCACGGGAACGTCTGCTTGCTCCTACGCCGAAGAGCGTCTTTGATGGTAGATTTGATGTGTAACTTGATGTAATCCTGGGGCATCTCCATGACGCAGGAGTAGGTTGGTGGGAGTCGATATGTTGTGTGCAGGCAGATCTGCGACTCCCCCACAATCCACTCTATTTGTACCCAGGAATTGGTGTAGAGAATTCAATTCACCCAAAAACATGCAAGCTTCCTCATCTGTAGATCACGTTTGTGCAGTGAAGGGCTACGTACGTTGACGAACTACCGTTGAATTTTTGCATGGAATCTATCGTTGCTCGTCGGCTGCCTAAACGCCATGTAAGAATGCTTCAATGACCTACGCCACCTGCTACCCAATTCATGAAATCAGGGTCGTTCGGATTTGGAAACAGTCCTCTGTCTGGTGGCGGCTGTCCTTCCGCCTGCTGTTGCTGCACCGGCATTCCCTGATTCAGCTGCTGTTGTTGTTCCTGTTGCCGTCTTCTCTCTTCCTCTTGTCTTCTCTGCCTCTGTGTCCTGTAGTACAGCAAGAATGCCAAAGCGCCGCTCAGAGCCAGAATGATGAGCGACTCGAGAATATCCGAATCAATATCGTCGCCGTGGTAGCCGTCACCGTAGTAGTCGTCGCCGGCTGTATGTGTGTCATCGAAGTCATCAGGCTCGTATTCATCCCAGCCGGCGAGTTCGGCTTCGAGGAAAGCGTTGAGCCACTCCGAAAGTGTCCATTGTTTCTTGACGACTGCAGCCAGATTAGTACCAGATCGGTCGAAATGTTTTCAGAAGTGGCGTCTTACCGGGCTCCTCTTGGATAGACTTGATGTTGCCATTTGTGAAGGTATTCCACCAACTCCGGATCCTGAGTTTGTACAACGCTAGGATGACGGGTAGGTAAGCCTCGCGCGGATTTGTCTCCAAGGCAAGATCATAATGTCTTTTGGCAAGATGGAAGTCTTGATCAATGCCGATGCCATTCTCGTGCATCCAACCCAAATTCCACATGGCTTGTGCGCTTCGCATGGTCTCTGCTGCTGCTGTATAACAAGCCACAGCCTTTTCGGAATCAGGATGTGTTCCGAGACCCATCAGATAGTAATCTCCCATCTTGACCATGGCGTCGACATTCTTCTGTTCTGCAGAGCGCGTCCAATATACTAGCGCCAGGAATGCATCGCTAGCCAGCGAAGGCTTCTGCTTCATGAAGGGAACGAGCGAGTCTAAGGTAAAGCGAGGCTTGACTTGGTCGAGAAGGTAGGCGACGTTAGCCTGCCCAACCTCGAAGCCTTGTTCAGCTGCCATCATGTAGCTAACGAGTGCAGTCTCTAGGTCGCCATTCGCGTAAGCCTCATTGGCTTCTGGAAAAGATGTAGAGACAAGCTCGGCCTTCTCTGCGACGATCTTGTAATATGTGGCCGCTAGAGGACAAGACTTGGTGCGAGCGATGCCGTTGTTCGTCATTTCAGCTAAGTAGTAGAAGGCCTCGAGATGCCCATGCCTAGCTGCAAGCTCAAAGTATTTAGCCGCGATAGCGATATCGCCTTGGTCCAGGAAGAGCGCACCAAGTCGGACTTGTGCTACTGCCAAATCCTGGTCTGCAGCTGCGCCGAACAGTTCAGCAGCCTTTACAGCGTCCTGAGGCACGCCTAGGCCTTTCAGATACATGATACCCATCGAGTACTGCGACAGTGCATCACCTAACTCCATGCCACGTCGAAACCAGGTTCTCGCGATCTCGAAACTTTGTGGCATACCCTCGCCGCGCAGGAACATCCGGCCAAGATAGCCAGCGGCCTTCGCAGCTAGCTTCTCGGTAGTCGGCGATACATTTGCGTTAATCTTTCCGTCCTTTGTCCAGTACATGCGGGCAAGTTCCAAGAACCGTTTCTTAGCCGCCGGAAGGTCTCGCTTCAACGTTCGTGCGCCGTCGTAATTGAGTTTAGCAAGATTGAATGTGGCCCTTGCATCACCCTTTCGGGCCTGCAGATCCATGTATTCGAAGACGTCGTCGAGGGAGGAGAAGGCATCAGATTGAGCGCTTGCAACCTTGGCGTTGGGTCCCGAACTGCTCGTACTTGCACCTTCGCCATACACACCGCCTTGATCGTCGGCGATATTGTACGACTCTCGCGGCATAGAATGCCCGCCTGGTGGACCAGACCGCATGTATGCAATAGCCTTCTCAGCCGCCGCTTTGTAGAAATGTACAGCCTCGTCACAGTTCCGCGGAGTTGATATGCCCGCCGAATGTCTATACGCAACAGCCATTTCTGACCGTACGTCTCCACCTTCAGCGCCCAACGTGTAGTATAGCATAGCCTTGGACTGGTCTTGCTTGACTGCCCCGCCGATGCCAGTCGCGTGCATGAAGCCAACCATGTGCTGTGCCGAGGCATTTCCATTCAGAGTCGCGAGCTCGTGGTATCTTCGAAAGGCCTCGGAGTAGTTGCGCGGGTGCGTGTAGTTGCCGTAGAAGTTCATCTCGGCGAGAGTAAAGATTGCATCGGGGTTCTTCTGGGCCGCGGCTTCTTCCAACAAGTCAACGGCCTGTGACAGGGAATGTCCAAGTTTCTTGGGCTGCGGGTTCGTGGTCAACAGCTCCTGCTGCGGCGGTCCATTCATGAAGAGCAGGAAGAAGACTTCCTTGGCGTAGTACGCGCTGGTACCCAGTATGCCAGACTTTTTATCGAAATTCCACCATGGCGCCGCAGCCGGTTTGATCGTGTGTAGAAGCGCCATAGCATCGTCAAAGGCCAGTACGCCCTGGTCTGGGTTCACATCTCCTTCTATGTTCCCCCATCCCGACCTCCAAGCCTCTCTGGTCTGCCCCGAAGAAACGCATAAGAATAATGAGAGAAAGACTGCGGGTCTACCAGTCAGTCAGAAGCTACTTCAGTCGCATGTGCAAATACGTACCAAAAAGAAGCGGCACAAGCCGCTGTAGCTGCGGCCTCATTGCGGGTATGTGTCGAAATTCAAAGTAATGGGAAGAAAGGAACTCATGGCGTCATCTCGCGGGGGTCCGAAGCAGAGGCGCGACTACTTGTACGCAGTCGTGGTGCAGTTGTTTGTAGAGGCCAGCTTTCCACTATCACGGCAGTTACGCCCCCCGATGCGTGGCTTCTGCAGCCAATGAGCGTTGACGTCACTTATGTCACACGTTCGCGCGCCGCAACATCGCCGCGTACTTTCCCGGCTTTCACTCATAGGAATCTGGCAAACGTCCTCGCTTGCATCAAGCTTCCGCGCTCTCGCGATATTTCTCCGTCGCTTTCTTGCTTCTTTCGCGGACGAAAGCCTGCGGGCAAGGACAACCGACCTCTTTCCGCATTTGTCATCGATGGAAGCACTAACATCCTTGCACGTATCATAATCATGATTCCCGTCTTGTTCCTACGCGTTTTCCTACGCGATGTTCATCTTCCCACTATCGCTCTTTGATAGCACTTTTCTTGTCCCCTGAAATCGTATCGAAGAACCTACATCATGGCAGTCTTGAACGCCTCATCAGAGCGCGCGCCTCTACTTCGGCGTTCGACGTCGCCAAGCTTGTCGGACAGAGATAGTAAAGATGGTGAAGCAGCCATCTCGACGTTAAGAGGGTCACTTATTGTCGGATCTGTCGGTCTTTTGATTTTTCTCCAAGGTATGTCTATCCGATGTCTGAAGCACCATCAGCATGATTTCTCTTCCCACTTTGGACTATGTGTTGTGCCATGCTTAGATGAGTGAGGTTATGCACCATGGCAAACTAGTAGAAGCCATTTGGTATTATATTCTCGCGGTACTTTTTCAAACGACGTTCTAATTGCTATGGTAGCCACAAACATCTCCATCCTTACCACAACCCAGTCATCTATTGCTGCAGACTTAGATGCCTTCGAAACCGCTAGCTGGTTTACTTCTTCGTACCTCATCGCCATGTCCTCTCTCGCTCCCTTAATGGGACGACTATGTCAGGTCTTTAGTCCGCGTCTATGCATGTTCTTTTCCACCATGTTGATCTGCATTGGATCGGTCATAACGTCCACCTCCGTATCTTTCGAGCACTTCATTCTTGGTCGCGTGGTGACCGGAGCTGGTGGTGGTGGCATCTTCATTGTTGCTAGTATCATGGCGATTCAGATGACTAGCCCAAAACGGAGAGGCCTCTACATGGGTCTTGCCAACACTGCAATGACGGTCGGTGTCTCGCTAGGAGCGGTGATAGCGGGTGCGCTTGAACCCAGGATCGGATGGGTAAGCTGTTACTCTAACTCCAAGTCATCGTCAGTCGCTTATTGACACGTGCAGAAACCACTTTTTGGTATACAAGCACCAATAAGCTTAGTGGCCGGCTTGGGTCTGCTGTTCTCTATTCCAGCTAGCCATACATCAAAGAACATCAAGTACGAAAGCCTCTCGATTCGTGAGAAGCTCGCCCGCATCGACTACTCTGGAGCGCTCCTCCTGACCACCACCATTGTACTCTTTCTTCTCGGCTTGTCTGGTCCAAAGGTCCTCCCAACACCCATCATTCTATCGGCCCTCGCTCTGCCAGTCTTCGTTCTCAACGAGGCCTACGTCGCTGGTGACCCTGTCATTCCAGTCTCTGTGCTGCGGTCGCGCGGTACCCTATTGACCTGCCTCGCCACGACTGGTTTCATGATGGCTCGTTGGAGTATCCTTTTCTACACGCCCGTGTATGCGCTTGCCGTTCGAGGCTGGGCGCCCGCCGTTGCTGGCTCGATTCTCATCCCTACGAATACCGGCTTCGCAACTGGCGGTCTTCTTGCTGGCATCTTTCACATCAAACGCACAGGCAGCTTCTACCTCCATACTGTTGTCGCCATGGCACTTTTCCCAATCACGATGGCTGTGCTCGCCCTCATCTCCACGCCCACAAGTCCATGGGCTCTATACGTTGCCATGGTCTTCCTCAACGGCCTTGTCACCGGTGCTGCAACAAACTACGCATTAGTCCATCTCCTACATCTTACGCTGCCAGAGGTCCATCCGATTGTCATCTCCCTCCTTGCTACCTTCCGCGGCTTTTCTGGCTCTTTTGGCTCAGCGATTGGTGGTGGCTACTTCGTCCGTGTGCTGCACAAGTCTCTGGACAGGGGCTTTGCGAAAGCAGGGCTGAAAGGCCGCGGTGAGCTTATTAGGAGGTTGCTGGGAAGTCCTGCACTTGTGGGGAAACTGGAAGGTAAGGATAGGATCGTTGCCGTTGGGGCATATGCGGATGCACTCAAGGCGTTGTTTCTCTGCGCCGTAGGGCTTTCGGTTATTGTTGTTCTTGTACAGGCCGGTACAGGTTGGAAAGAACCGATAAAGAGTGAGAGTCAGAGGGAGGAAGAAGAGGCTGATGCCGAAGATGGGGTGCCTGCAGGTGCTTGAGTACCACATAGGTAAAGCGGTCCTTGGAACAAATGTACATCGGAACTACATTGACATCTGCATGCTGAACCGCATCCTTCATCCTGTCAATCTCCAAGCATCCACTTTCTAGTATTCCAAGGAACTCCACGCCGAAGCACTTCGAGAGACAAGCCCTTGAGCGCAGGGACTTCTTGTAAGTATGTAGGTCTACACATACCATTCAATGGTTCCATGGCTGTATATACGCGTTGAGAGGCACACTTTGATGTTCTCCAATCACCTCGTTTTGTGGCTCTACTATTTCTCATCACCAGCTCTCGTGTAACCCTTCCCGAGTGACCTGTCATTTTTCATCCGGTACTGTTGGTACCCGACATGCATACTGGCGACGCTGTCTCCATGCTCTCTTTCCTTCCACCACCTCCCATATTGCATCTTCCGGCTTATGTTCGGTCTCGCTTCGAGTGTTTGTTGTTGTCGGAGCAGGGTCCATGCTACGTCGCGCCTGCCTGTATAAGATTTTCCTCGCTCACCTTCAGTCTCTACTACCTCGCCTCACGATATCACCAACGACGTACGAGATTGGTTATACTATCAGCAGACGCCGATTGTATTGCCGACTGTCTACGATACCCACTCTCACCGCACAATGTAAGTCTCTCTCCCTTCCAGTGTCTAGACTGTAAGTCTCCAAGTTGAGACAGTTTGCTCCACGAGTTTGCATGAGCACATTACCGACTTTAGCCCTCGGTCAAGCATAGCACACGCTCGAAGCTATACTTCAGCAGCAGCTATCGATGCCACGTCCTACATCTGCTGCACCTCAGTGAACCGCCACTTCTTTCCAAGGCACAAACAGCTAACCTATACTACGCCCAGACTCAGTCCCTTCTTTCTCAAAGAATCCGCATCATGGCTCGTGGCTCAACTGCTATCATGTCAAATCTTGTGGCCAATCCCTACCCCAAGGCGAAGGAGCATGTCGCTCGCATGTCTCTTTGCGAAGTCTGCGATCGCCAGATCCTTACTAAGGACTGGGCCAGTCACAAGAACTCTAGGAAGCACCGTGCGGCTGAAGCTAAAGAACGTGAAGAGCTAGAGAAGTTGAAGAATCCCGGAGGTAGCTTCGGCGGCGACGCGGCTGGCTTCGGCGACAGCAACGAATTCGGCGGTGCTGGTCAATTCGCAAATGCCAACGAGTTCGGCGGTGCTGCTAATTCTACCAACGATGGCTGGGGCTCTGGTGGCGATTTCGCTACTACCAACACTTCAAGCTATAACAACACCGGTGGTGGCGATCGGGCCTGTTACGGGTGCGGTCAAACTGGACATCAGAAGCGCAACTGCCCATCTGGTGGAGGTGGCGGTGGCGGCGGCGATCGTGCCTGCTACGGCTGCGGTCAGACCGGTCACCAGAAGCGCGACTGTCCTCAGGGCACCGGTGGTCAAGCTTGCTTCAACTGCGGTGAGACCGGGTAAGTCTAATATCTTCGTACTATTTACTAGTGCCGTGCTAACGTCTCATCAGCCATCGCAAGACCGACTGCACTCAGCCTCGAAAACCTATGGCTGGTGGTGGCGGCCGGGCTTGCCATAACTGCGGAGATGAGGGCCATATGTCACGTGAGTGCGACAAGCCTCGTGTGATGAAGTGCCGCAATTGCGATGAGGAGGGTCACGCATCGCGCGAGTGTCCAAAGCCTCGTGACTGGAGCCGAGTCAAGTGCCGTAACTGTAACAACTTCGGTCATGGCGAGAAGCGATGCCCGGAGCCTCCTGCTGAGAACACCGGCGGTGACTGGGGTGGTATCGGGGATTCGACAGCTGCAGCTGGAAGTTGGGGCGTTGCTCCTGTTGAGTCGACAGGCAATTGGGCTGATGATACCACTGCGGCGGTCGATGCCGACGTTTCTTCTGCCTGGTGAATTATCCTGGAGATTTACAACTGCTTGTTGGCTCGATGATGTTTTAGCATCGCCCAACATACGCAATATCTTCAGCGATAACTGACCAACCTGGGAATCTATCGATACGACAGCTATAGGCAAGGAAGAACTCGAAGCTTAGTTGAGCTCGCAATCAAATGATGGATAGGGGCTGGAGAGAGTCGGGCAGTCTACGGATACGCAGTATCATGCGAAGCAGGACACAGTCCTATACAGCTAGGGACTAGAATACGTACAACGAAGTATTCTCAAAATGACAACCAAATGTGAATTACCACACAGGCTCGTACATGACAGCCTGACCCGCCCGCGCTCTCACAGACTAGTGCTGTTTCTCGCTCGCTACTGGGATCACTGCTTTCCTCAAACTCCTTGATCTTCGGCATGAGCATTGCAATAAGCCAGGCTTCAACACGTGTTCTCATCCATGACAGTTGGAGCACGGGTAGGTTCGTTTGTATCCAGCACTGGGAGCCGGTAAACCGAAGTCAGGAGACAATGGACCCCACATCAGATTGGTTGCAATGTTTGTCCTAGTCAAGAGTTTATCAAGCCACAGTGAGGATAGACAGTCGGTCAGTAAATTTCTGATGCGAAGAAGAATAAAATTGGTTGTGTAGAACCTGCACGCGGACTGGTGAACCTCACAGGGATACGGATAAACCTACATGTAACGTGTCCGTCACTCACAAGCGTCTCGAAACGTCCTAATGTATATAACTAAACAGAGAAATATTGAGGAAGCAGGGACATGAGAAGTCTGGCCGAGAGAAATCGGAGACCGTATGTTTGGAGTGCGAATAGAATCTAGATTGCGGAATGTTTTCTAAACAGAAACTTCTGGTTTACAATCTTCACCCGTCCTTGCGGCTTTCGACATTATCGTCCTCTTGCATATGCTGATACCGGATCCGAATCCGAATCCGAATCCGAATTTAAATTGAGCTCTTTCTAAGTAAACCAAATACAGTTTCTCAACTCTGAAACCTTGTACAACGCGCAGATAGATTCACTGGTTGACTTTCGTGCAAAATGTAAGTTTCAGCAAGCTCTAGAAGAATACCAAAACCAGACCGCAATCTGCTTGTCCCGTAGTTAGTCAACTTAGGTCAAGATAGTGGAGGATAAAGCGATAAGAGTAACTAGAAAGGATGCGCATGATGCATCGTATAGCGTATCTTCTGTCATGGCGGAAGCGGAGTCGGAAGGAGAGCCACAGCATGTGAAAGGCAAAGAGACAGATATCAATGACGACCAAGACCGGTGCGTCATGGTGCGCGGGCATGTGCAAAGGCTAAAAGGTAGAACGCGCCGCGAGAGTTTCCTTCGATGTCAGCAATGCGAGTCGGGAGCGTACGGACATCCAATGTATTCGCAGCCCTAGATTAAGACACCTCTCAATCTCACCGGACACTTCGCCGTTAATATCCAGACATAGTTTTCTGTCTGAAAGCTACTGTAATACTTGAGAATCAGGGTCTATACCATGGTATTTTTGCGACAGGAACATGGCTGAAGAGACTTCCGGTGTACGTGAAGCAGCGGTCAAAACTCTCGTGTCGATCCGGGCTTTGAGAGCCCAACGGTGTCGATTACTATAGGTGAAGTGCAACGTCTCCGCACATGGCGCGGCGGAAGGATCGCTACGGGGTCCACGTTTGGCGCTACGGAGATATCTCCATCTCACAAGTCCTGGCGCTATTGCAAGTAAGCTTCAGCGGTGACACTCTCGGAAATGCGCTAATCTCGCGACAAATCGGTCTATGTACCACATAGATCTAGTAGATTGTTTTGATGATGAACACTTGATCTGAGCTCCCTTTGTGGACTGACAGTATATGTCCTGACATAGTCCCTGTGTCTCCACAGACAGCTTGGCAACGATTATGCGATTTCCCATCCTTTCGACCCTGTTCGCATTCACGCAAATCGCCATCGCTCATGGGGCTGCGCATCCGATGTCTCCACTCACCCTTGTTAATCGGGACGACGTTTATGTCAATAGACTAGATGAACGCCCACCCCATCGTGTGTTAGTTGTTGTAGTATGCATCTTGTTTGCAGTCGTTCTTGCACTGGCCCAGGGTAAGTGCATCTCGTCGTAACTCTCTACTGTTTTGTATATAAGTACCGTTCAAACAATTACTAACTGTCAATCAGGGTACCGAGCTGGCCGTCTGGCCGGCCAGAAGTCAAAGACTCGAGTTTCTGACGTGCTCGTCTTCGCGCAAGGCTTCGTCTGCACAGCCTTCTTGTTTGCCACGGCCATACAAGTATCGGGACTGGGCTTGCAAACTGATGGCCAGTGCCATGCTGCCATAAGAGTCTGCATCGTCATGTACGGCGCGGACAAGATAGCTCTGTCAGTGTCCTTTTGCGCGCGACGTCATCTTGCAGCACACACGCTGACCCCTCCAGATATCTCTTTTTACTAGAGCGAGTCCATATCGTTCGAGCTCCGTTCGTCGATCGTACGAGAGATAGATTATACGTCGTTGGAGCGATCCTGACTACCGGCGGGTTCTTCGCCATCATGGCCTGGCAGTTTGTCAATCCGTTTTCTGAGTTGAACCATCAGACTGGTATATGCAGGATCGGCATCGAACCACAGGCTGCAATGGCGGTCATTGTGCTGGATATTCTCATCAACACCATTCTAACAGGAATCTTCGTGTGGCAGCTTCGGCCAGCTTTAGGCTCGGCCGCACCTAAGATGCGGAGTCTCGCTAGCAATACCACTTGTGTGGAATCCGACTCTCCAAGCCATGGACTCAGACAATGGATGGGCAAGACACGCCACTCGATGCGAACGTCTTCTCGGAGCGACCTGCGAGTCATGCTGGTTCGAAACGTTGTTGGCTCTGGCTTCATGTTGATGGTCACTGTATGCAACAACAGCTTGTTCCTCAGCTGGGCTTTTGCGAAGATGAGCCATGCATGTCTGTTGATGTGCCTGACAGACAGTAAGTTTGCACATTTCAGCACGATGGACAAGGCTAACATGTAACTCAGTTTGTCTCGGTATGCTTGTGACCCAATGGTTAACGATGCGTTCGGCTGAACCCGAGGTGATTCGTCCTTCTCAAGTTTCGGTTTCAGGCGAGCGTACAGACTCCATGTTACTCGTGAATGAGAAACCTGTACACATCAGCCGTGTGGTGGATCAGGCACGCTTCAACCCTCGTTGAACGTTCTGTTGCCACGAACAAACTACTTCCTACAACTTATACCCCACAGCCTTCTATTATGAAGGTAGCGCACGCCACCCGCAAGTTGCCGTTCTTTTAGGAAAATAGGAGCTTGACACAGAAATGTCAAAATGTACGCATCAGTTGTGTTACATGCGCTGAACGAGAAATGGTTCTCTGGGTGCCAATCGCCAGGCTTGATGCACCCTTGCTGTGCTTCTAGGCGAAGCACTTGTATTCGGTAACAGTGTCCAAGCTGCCTCTAAATAGCCAGTTTGCGAAGGGTTCGAATGGCTTTGGCGCCGATAGCGCGAGATGGACGGCCAAACGCTGCTCGTGTGGGGAGGCAGGGAGGACTTTATGCAAGTATTCTGAACACATTCTGAGCGCTCGGAAATGTAGTTCGTAAGTCCGAATGTTGTTCTCGGTGTCCAGCAAGTGGATGTGAGAGTAAGCAGAATTAGATAGACCGACATATGAAGAGGGAAAAGTTGGTTTACGTCCCATCGAAATCTACAAACTTAGCTATTGTTGAGGAGACAAAACCTGAGATGTCTGACCATGGTCCTGTTGCAGGAATGCTCTGGATGGTTCGCTCACTGTGCCTCCATGTTGTCGAGCTGCACATCAAGGATCCTACAGGCGACTTTTCCGGCAGAAGTGAAATCAAAATGAATGCTATTGTGATATTCTTCTGGATATACATAACCTGATTGCATGATATTCTGTCTTGATGATCATCCCGAAATCGTGGGGTGAAAGCGTGCTTGAGTGATCTCAGAACCGAAATAGGGCATTCGACCGCACTTGATCTCTCAATTACACGATAACGAATAATAGCTACGCGTGCTACATGACAGTTCAGAATGAACTTGATGATGACGTCAACACAGGACAACAGTGAAGAGTAGGACTAGATGCGGAGTAATCATAACGGTGCATTATTGGTGACGGGCGAGCTTTTGATTGCGGATTGACTCTGCATTACAAGAATGAGTTGGCTAGATTCTCGAAATATTTTCTAGCAGAATCCAGATCGACGTTCACAGTGGCCTTCGATCGCTCTTTGTCAGTGAGTGTCTTTCCTAAGGAGACTTGCAACGCCTCTATAGTGGATTCCTCGTTCGGCTGATTCATGATCTGGAGGTTCATGCTGCCGCTCTCAACCTCCTTACCACCGACGACGATGATATGGTTGTACTTCTTTGTCCTTGCTTCAGCGATCTTCTTGCCGAGCGAACGGTCGCTGGTGTCAACGTCTATGGGAAGGTGTATGGTCGACAACGGGAGTGGCTTAGGTGACGATGCGGAAATTTCTGGTGCGTCAGATGGTGTGAGCCCCGAGAGGACAGACTGAATGCGCGAGACATGTTCAAGGACCTTTGGGTCGGAATTCAGCGACAAGACGATGGCAGGCCGGGGAGACAGCCAGAACGGATATTTGCCGGCATAGTGTTCGATCAGCAGAGCCATGAAGCGCTCGATGGATCCGTAGATAGCGCGGTGGACGATGACCGGGCGGCGAAGGGCTGGATCTAGACCTGCGTCCATGGACGATTGTGGCCCCGCCTCTAGTTCTTCCGGCGATGCCTGGTATTGTAGGTCGAAGCGCTGCGGAAGTTGGAAGTCCAGCTGTATGGTTGCCGTCTGATGCTCTTTGCCATTCGAATCTTTTAGGATGATGTCAATCTTCGGCCCATAGAATGCTCCGTCTCCTTCGTTGATCGCCCATTCGCTTCCGATGTTGTTCAACGCAGTAGTCAACTGCTCCTCTGCACGATCCCATTCCTCAATAGTGCCGATGAAGCTATCCTTTGGCCGGGTAGAGAGAAGCAGCTTGTAGGGACCTAATCCAAACGTGTTGTATACCATGCCCACAAACTTAAGTGTCTGCTCAATCTCGGCCAAGATTTGATCTGGTCGACAGAAGATGTGCGCGTCGTCCTGGTGAAACCGCCGGACCCTGGTCAGACCTGTCAAGGCGCCTGAGATCTCGTTCCTGTGTAGAGCACTGAAGTCGGCAAGTCTGACTGGCAGATCCCTATAACTCTTGATCTCATCCCTGAACAGCAAGCAGTGGCCTGGACAGTTCATTGGCTTCAGGCCGAACTCTCCGTCCTCTCCACCTTCTGCTTCTGGAATTTGCGCCGTTGTACCTCGCCCCTGCACACTGAACATATCCTCGGCATAGTTCTCCCAGTGTCCTGACTTCTCCCATAGCGACTTCTTATATATTATGGGTGTAATGACCTCCTGGAAGCCGAATTGTGGATACTGCGCTCGGAGGAACGACTGCAACTTCTGAAAGACATAGGCGCCGTTGGGAAGAATGAGCGGTGAGCCAGGGCTGTACGGAGATGTAATGAAGAGGTTATGTGTCTGCGCGAGAGTTCGGTGGTCGAGGGAGGGCGTAGGCGGGGTGCCGGTTGTAGGGTTCAATTGCGCACTGGCGGGTGCCTCAGATGAGACAGTCACTGTGTGCTGTAACTGGTGAGGCGCAGAGCAAGAGCAGCTCCGCACAAAGAGACGGCCATTTTGGCGCCACGTTGCTGATGCTAGTTGCGCCTGTCGTGCAGTCCGTAGCGCGAACGAAAGCTGGCGTAATGACATCGGAAAGTCCTGATACCTGCAACGCCTTCGCGTGGTGTTCAGGATGCACTTTCTGGGCTAGTCGTCTTGGCGGCCGCGAGCTCCAACATGACGTCGACGCGTCCACAAGTCAACACCAGAGTCAGTAGTGCAGCCAGGCACTAGAGGTAACGTGCTAGAGTCATTCATCCGCACGGAAACTTTACTGATGGCAAAAGCACTAAGTGTCTCGGCTGCGAGCTGATCGTGGTATGCGCTCGAAGCCTGATTGGTATGCCCCACGTCACACGTAGGAAGTGGCAAGCCGCCTACCCAACCTCCTACAACTACACAAAGGGCAGTTGGTGAGACAGTTTGGACTGTCTCTAGAAATACTGCTACTCCCTAATCCTATAACTACCACTTAATCCGCATCCTTACCTTGCCCCACGCGATCATCGCCCCCACTCACAGATACTACCAACTTAGAACATGAGCGCACGTTCCCATCGACTCGAACACAGCTTGGGCAGTAGTTGGGGTGACGCTGACTACGCATCCGGCGACGAAGGATCGATTCACTCCGCTAGCGACGAAGCCAGTGAAGTGGAACTGGAAGGATCCGACAAAGAAACGATACAAGAACCCCAGACACCTGTGACACCGAGACCTAAGCGTGACCACCTCAGTCAATCAACACCTACAGATCGAACACAAGTTCGGCCAGTACGACAGCCAGCGAGTCGTACTAAAAACAGTCAGTCGCAGAGAATAGGATCAGACCAAAGGACGCAAAGGCAAGACGCGTTCGAGCCAAGCTTCATCATGCCCTCTATGGCCAACTCGCAGAGTGGATACAATGGGTCACCAGGGGCAAAGCCCCAGCCGCGAAACCGAGCAAGGAAACCGGCCCAAAATCCTTCATCAAATCCACCCCATGCATCTGGCATTTCTTCTATGAGAGGCTCTGCCAGCGAACATCAACAGTCGTCACCACAAGAGCAGGGGGAGGTGAGCCCATGGCATTACGTGAGTCTCTTCTGGGACAACGTCGCCGCACCACTTCTTGCTCATTTCTTGGATATCTTCTCCTACGCCCTGCGCCACTTCATCAAACCGGTCCTGGGCGTCATACTTGGTGTTGGTATACTAGTTTTCAGTATCCAGATAGCATCCGGCATGCTACGCTCCACGGTATCAAATGCCGTGATGGGTCCTGTTTGTGCTATACCCGGCTCTTCTTATCTCATCGCTGCCTGTGTTACGACAGGCACAGAAAGCCCTCAAGCTGATTTTGAGGAACTTATCAACGTCCAAGGTAGATTTGAGGATATCTTGGATGCATCGAAAGATACTTCTGCGTTACCTGCCACGATCAAGAACTCTGAACTTGCTATTCGCGATTTGCGAATCCTTGTCAAACACTCTCGTCTTCCAAGCCGCAAAGCACTGGAGAACGAATTTGAGTACTTTATGCAAACAGCTAATGAGGCTTCCCTCGATCTCTCCCGCTACAACAGCCGTATAGGAGCAGCCATGGACCGCGTCATCGCAACAAATACCTGGACCATGAATGTACTGTCTGGAATTTCGGAGAAAGAAGCATCAGTTGGCGCTGTTGGCCGAGTCCTCAACCAGCTCACAGGCGCATTTGTGGCCCCACCACCAACACTTCAACAGCAGATCTTCGACCAATATGTCCTACACGTCAGCAAGAACAAGGACGAAATCACCGGTCTCATCCAAACTGCTCAAGCGCTCCTTCTTGTCCTACAAAATCTCGACGAGCGACTAGGTACCATCTATGAGATTGCGACAAACGACGACCAGACGATAACGAGCAGACAAGACGAGCTTCTCTCTAGCCTTTGGACAAAGCTCGGTGGAAACCGCGGGGATGTGAAGGCCAATATCAAATCCCTCAACCTACTCTCCAACATCAACGCGTACCGCAAAAGAGCCGTCAATCATGTAACGGACACGCTCCTCAAGCTACAGGAAATCCAGGCTGAGTTGGAAAACCTGCGGGAAGGCGTCGCGGCGCCGGAGATCTTGGGATATGCGAGTGGTTACTCGTTAGAATTCCACATTGATACTATTGGGAAGGGTGTCGAGAGGCTGCAGGTCAGTCGTGGAGAGCAGATGAGGGAAGAGAGGGAGACATACAAGAGGCTTATGCGTGGTGGAGAGGAATCTGACGGCAGGAGAGAGCTGCCTGGACCGACGGTCACGGTCAGGGCGAAGTAGTAGAACTGTCTCGGCATTGAGAAGGTTGGATAACTCTGCGTTTGTGCTTGGGTATGGCATGATGGCGTTCATGAGATTGTCTTTAGTCTCTTGGCTTCCTTTTCCCCCTAGTATGTGCCTAGATACCCACGCCATTCATAGCTTATGACTTTATTGAAACTCCATTGTTTGCAAATTCAGTACATCTGCACCTCGACCAAACATCTCCTTACGCCCCCATCGCTACCATCCCCTAATCCTTCAAACTCCATTTCATAAGCCACACATCCTCTCTGTGCACAAGCCTCCCTGAATCCATCCACACTACCTCCAACACCAAAGTAAACTCTCTTCGCCGCCACCATAGTCTTGCCTGTCTTGACCCGCCCCATCAGCGCAACGATCGCATCCGTGAACGCCGTAAGCGAAGCCGGCGAGTAGATCGTCTCGGAACCAAGGATGAAAGTATTCAAGTCTGGTGACGAAGGAACCATCTCCAGAAGCGCATCAATCGGTGTCCAAGATCCCGAAATAAATGTCATGGTAATTCCAGTCTCATTCATTACCCTCTTGAAAGCAGAGAGAATCTCGGGAGTGATGTACAACTCGCCATTCTCCTCTTGTTCCAACAGCGGGTTTCCAGTTTCCGAGAACAGCGTTTGACTATCTCCAGCACTCAGTGTACTCACCCATGTCAAGAGTAGATTGGGGAGAGTAACGAGTCGCATGACATCGGCGTTATAATCTGTCAGCGTGAAGTAAATTCCAAGTTGATTTTTCACTGCGTATTGGAATAGGAGAAGAGAAGGAAGTGCGGAGCCACAGCCCATCTCGATAACGTGTCCAACGCGCATCAGGTCATCGAGGTCCTTCCGCGGACCACGATCCAAGAGGTATCGGACAAGATCGAGACTGCATTCCCAAGTCTTGTAGCCGCCTTCATAGACGTTTTGGCGGAGGTCCGAGTCCTTGGTTTGAGTGTTAGCTTGGATGAGTCTGTGATGGGAATTTTGGTGGGAAAGTGAAACGTACATCGAGACCTGTTAGGGGCGTCTGAGAAGATCCATCGTCTTCGGCCATGAGCTGAAGGCGGACATCGAAGAGCTCGCGGCGTGGAAGACGGGCTGTGAAGCCTTTGGGACTTGTTATGCTGACAGTTGAGTAGGAAAGCTTGTCTGGCAGGGTTGATAGCTGTGGTATGTCAGTTCGGTACTCAGCAATGTCAACGACATTCCAAGAAGGGAAGGGATATTGAAAATTTCAGAATGAGAAATCATTATGCGCATGCACTTGCATTACACAAGCACCAAAAGCGCATACTTACCAATTCATCTAGATCATGTGTCTTTGCCGGGATCGGTGGTGGCACATCACTGTCCGTGGTTGCTGGCTGCTGTCCTTGGTCTTGCACATCGTTTGGATCTTCTTCTATATCGTCACCCGAGAAGCCGAAACTGAAGGCCATTATGGGATACTGGACTGGGGTTGAATCAGGTTAGACCGGTATGCGAGGCGTTAGTATGTTGGATGGTGGGGCTGCTTTCATGTGAAAGATAATTTTGGGCTTATCGATAAGACATGTGAGGTGCACGGGTGAATGTAAGCCGTCTAAATGTACTCCCATCTTGAGTTGTCACAATGGAAGCTGACTTGATCATTATGTTTGTTTTGAATGCAACGATTAGGCGCGATGGTCAAGAACAGTGCAGTAATCTCCGTTAACCTTTCTCATAATCCTTCGTAGGCCATAGGAAGACGCAGGCTGGCGAATCCATGTCTTTGCTGGTGAACAGCAAAGTAGGGATGTTCCAACACTGTGCCCTCGCCTCGCAATTTCAGTCCATGTCTACTTCGTTCTGCATCTGTATGCCTACTCCTTCTTCACCTCAATCCCATTACCGTTCTCCTCCTCGTTAGCAGCCTGCCTGTCCTCGGCCAGCGTTCTCTCCATTTGTCTAGCGCACGCCTCCATAGTCTCCTTGTCCAACTCCCATCCTGTTGTATCAATCCCCTTTGCCTTGGCGTCGGCGATGATTTGTTGTCGCTCCACAATCTTCTCGCGCATAAGCTTGATCGCGCCTCCCAGCACGACTGCCTCGCTTCGCCCTTGCCCCTCTAGGCCGGGTACTATTGAGGCAAGTCGGTCGAAGCCTTCTCTTATGGCTTCGCGACGCTTCTGCTCAGAGCGGATGTGGTTCTCCTTCTTTTGAGCTTCGGTGAGGCGGGGCCGGTCGGCAGCGTTTGTGGGACTCTGTGACTCCGGCATGACAGTGTGTAGGTAGTTGTACAAGTGTATCGTCTAATGCGAACGACGAGTCTACTGGGATCGTGGATTGGCTCGAGTGGTACGAGTCGATTTGGCGGATATAGATGCGCGTGATAATTGGTTGAGCTGTGTTTATCTTGCTGAAGTTTGAAGTTAGGTTTCGGTTCACAGGCTGCGATTCACGATTGCTGTGGTGTAGTAAAAGATATCAGGCGCTCAGGGTTCCTGCCCTTCATGTGAATGGGCCGACGAGTGCCGAGCTTGAAGGCATACTGTCAGCAGCACCACCATATGCAAGTGACACCGGGCAGCAAGAGAAGGCTGTGGTAGCAGGCGCGATAGGAATGTCGTGTGTGCTGTGCAGCGCAGCGTGTGATGCGCTACCGATGGGCGCATAGAGTAAAGCGGAGGCTCTTCATACTTGACATGTGCCTGGCGAGAGTGGGCGGACAACGGCGTCGCTGCTAGTAAAACCACTATATCTATGGCAGAGAGGTTGACATGGCGCTACGAAACAAGAAACTCGCGGCTAATTAAAGCGTTGTTTCAAGGTGGCCGGGCCCCAGTCAGCGGATATGAGGCTCCTGGCTCCCTGCACAGCAACAACGTGTGACGCACTCCGGTGGATCTTCCGCGCCACCAGGAACCCCGTCGGCCACGACGCGACGCCCAAAGATTACCGCCGATCGTAGCAACCCTCCGTGAAGCGTGCAAAAGAAGCCCTGGGGTGAATTACAGAGTCGCCGCGTGCCAGGAGAGACCACAAGAGAAGGCACGACCCCGCTAGGACATCCCACTGGGCAGCTGCAGCCCGGGAGCGTGCACTACACCACCACCGCCTTGATATGCGCCCAACCACAGCCAAACTCGTCCACCCACGCCATTGAACCCTCCCACCTGCTTCACCATGGACGGCACCCGGGGGAGCAATCGCCGCATCAACAGCCTCCAAGCACAGGACCGCCTGCGACGACACAGCTCGGCCAACGCCCGTGGGAAGCGCCCCGTCACCGCCCAAGATGCCTATCTCTATGCTCTGCGTGCAGCATACCTCGCATACCTCCTCCAGCCCCGACAGAAGCGAGTGCAGCATGTCCCTGCAGCGCCCAAGCATATCCAGCGCTCGTCAACCTCGATCAACGACCTCATGAAGGACTTCTCCCTCATACGAGACTCCAAGAGCACGCGCTTCCCCCGCGACTTCATGGCCGCGCTCGACAAGCGGATAACAAAGGTGCTCATGGGCCAGGAACGCATGCCCGAGTTTCAGGATGCCACGGTCAAGCGGACGTTTGCTGTCTTCTTGAACGCGTTCAAGGACCCGTCTTTCAGGAAGAACATGGACAAGGATAGGAGAGTAGAGGACCTGCTCCTGATTTTCTACTCCAACGCCACAAAAGAACTACAAAAGGGCAAGGCGCCAGGAGACGAGGGCTGGAAGCTCATGGTAGATCGACACGTCGCTCTATTCCTGCGTCTTGTCAGTTCCACCCTCAAGGACCATGACTGGCAAAAGGACCGACCAGAACTTGCGCATCGGCTGGCCACCATGGAGAAGAAGCTTCTCGTACACGACCAAGATTTGGCGGCAGAGAACCAGCGCAACGGCGGACAAGGTGGCACAACAGTCGAAGTCGAAGTTCCACGCAGCTACGAAGTCAAGGACATGCCACTTGTCTTAGTGGTGTCGCGTATCTTCGCCGTCGGATACTCCGACGTGCAGGCCGACATTAACCGCTACAAGGCCGTGTGGACAGAAAAGGCTGCTTTGCAGGATCTCAAGACATACCAAGCCCACCTCAGTCTCATGACGAAGAAGACGCTGAACAGTGATGACTTCGATACTGAGGAGGCGTACGAGGCATGGAAGAATCAAGAGGTACCGGATCTCTCACAGATGATATTGGCCATCATTCAGTCAAATCCCGAGCTCGCAAAGAGCTCCCCCGGATCTGTGCCACAATTCAAGCCGAAGGCGTCTTTGGACCCGGGCTACTCAGATGCTTCGCGGCAAGGGTCTTTGTCTTCCGAGAACGGCTCCTCGTATGTCATTGACCAACCTGTGGATATGAGTGGGCTCAACATCAACGACGACCCTAATGATAGCTCATCCTACACCTTCATACCTTCAGATCCACGTGCCACTTACCGTGCGATACTGAACGAAGCACTGACGTACGACCTTGCGGACACTGAACTCGAGCCAACTGAAGCTACGAGCGAGAACCCGTCCGTCAAACTGCTATCGAAGCAGTCGGCAGAACTCTTGAACGAGATAGCTCTCCGATGGAGGATACCCCAATTCTCCCGCCTCGTTTTGTTCCTAGATGTCATCAGAGACAAGTACATCAACCAAGACATCAGTCTCGACACGCTCGACGCTGCCTTCAACTATGTCAAAGAGCCGCCGCCAACAGATAAGAAGTCACATCGAATGAGTCACGTTCCGGTGCAGGAATCCTTGTTCGATCGAACGAAATGGACGATCCAGGACTATACTCTCAACCAGCAAATTCTGTCAACATTGCACGATTGCTTGCTGCGAGAGTTGTACGAGCTGATGATGCATGTGTACGATACCAAACCGCCTCCACTCGGGCCGGTCATGTATATCCTAGAGTCACACATTTACGACGACCCCACGTTCCCTGGCACTGAAGAAGACATGGATCAGTTTACCGAGCAATTACGCCAAGGTCTGAGGGAGAAGGCCGGTGATGTGTATCGGGAGCTTCTTGCCAAGCACATTCCAGACACAAAAGAAGAATGGGAGTTCTATCACGTCATTGAACTTGGTCGCGCCGTGGTCAAGCTCTGCGAGCGGATACAGAAGCGTTATCGCAAGAACCCAGAAGTCATGGGGGCTAGTCCCATGATGTGTCTGGTCGAGAAAATGTTTCCTTCGTACGCCGCAGATGCGCGAGACCTAGTCGCTCGAATCATGGACGTTGCGCAAAGCAAAGAAGAAGACGTACCTGTGCAGGATGGGTTCGACTTGTACAAAGAGCTCGTTGAAATCCGCCGCATACACAGCGATGCTCTGCCAAACAAAAATTTCGCTTTCAGTATCGAGGAACAGCTACAGGATTTTGTATGGCGATGGATTCAAATGACGGACCAGAACCTGATTGGGTGGGTTGATAACGCGTTCAAGGCGGACCAGTTCCAGATCGAGTCCCAGAACCCCATTCCTTCCGACGACGAGCGCCATAGCGTATCGGTTGTGGACGTCTTCCGATCCTTCAACCAGAGCATCGAGCAGATTGTTTCCTTGAACTGGGATAATGATGTTCAGTACGCCAAATTCATGACTGCTGTCTCCAAGTCAATAGGCGTCGCACTCGCAAGATACTGCGAGCTTGTGGAGCAGAAGTTTGCTAAAGAGATGGATCGACTTACACCCGAACAAGAGGCTGCCGCCCGTCAAACCAAATCTGAAAAGTGGCTGTCGACAGTCAAGGACTTCTACAGTCAAAAGGAGAAAGTCGAGCCCTTCCAGTTCTACCCTGAGGTAAGTCATCCACTACATGGCGTGGTCTATGCTTACATGTTTAGTCACTTGTCAAACTCAACAATATTGAGTATGCGATGCAGCAGTTAGACAAGCTTGAGCGCGAGATCGGCGTCGATGCCTGCGCTGAGGTCATTCAGAAGCACTCACCACCACCAACGCAACGCGCTCGAAACAATAACTTTGTCTTCACTATTAAGATCATCGAGGCTGAAGATCTGAAAGCATGCGATATGAATGGACTTAGCGATCCATATGTTGTACTTGGTGATGAGTACCAAAAGCGCTTGGCAAAGACTCGTGTGATCTACCGCAACTTGAACCCACGTTGGGACGAGACGATTGACATCACGACTAACGGCCCGCTTAATGTTGTTGCGACAATTTGGGACTGGGACGCTATGGGCGATCATGACTGCGTTGGTCGGACATCTCTCAAGCTCGATCCATCACATTTCCGCGACTACATGCCCCGTGAATACTGGCTTGATTTGGATACCCAGGGTCGTCTGTTACTACGTGTGAGCATGGAAGGAGAGCGAGATGATATCCAATTCTACTTCGGCAAGTCGTTCAGAACACTTAAGAGGACTGAGCGTGACATGACACGGAAGATCACGGACAAGGTAGGCATATTGCTGTCGTTTCAGATGGGTTGAGCTAACAAAGACAGCTTTCCTCTTTCATCGGTTATAAGCTTTCTCGCCGATCACTTGATGCTCTGCTAAACAAAGGAGTAGCATCGAAGGTAACGAACTATCTTGGCAACTTCAGAACAGCCCGACCTATGTCGGTCATCCAAGCTCAGGGTCCCACGCAGCAAGATGTTACCGAAGCCCTTGGTCCTCTCTTTGTCTACTTCGACGAGAACTTTGCCATCATGAAGCAGACATTGACAGATGCTGCAATGATCATGGTCATGACAAGACTCTGGAAAGAAGCGCTTGCAACGATAGAGTCGCTACTCGTACCTCCTCTATCTGACAAGCTGTCGCAGCAGCGCCCATTGACACAGCAAGAGCTCGATATCGTCTTCAAGTGGCTGAAGATGCTGTTCGACTTCTTCCATGCTGTGGACGAGGATGGTAACGTCGAAGGTGTGCCGATGGACGTTCTTAAATCGCCCAAGTACCATGAGCTTCAGAACCTCAACTTCTTCTACTTCGAACCTACCGAGGATCTTATTCGCACGTCCGAATCAATGGCCGCTGCCAGCGCAAGGCGACAGCAAGAACAGTCACAACGTCTTAATCGCATGTCAGCACCGCCTGCTATGGGTCACCAGTTCGGTGGCGCGGCAGGACTTGTCGGAATGCCAACTAGGAAACACAAGACCATTATGTTATCGAGGAACCTGGGTACAATGAAGAAGGCCAAGGAGGAGAAAAGAAAGGAAGCACAGGCTGAGCCTAATGACGACATGATTCTGAGGATATTGAGAATGAGGCCTGAGGCGGAGCGATACCTCAAGGACAGAAGCAGGCAAAAGGTATGTGTCACTCCGTCGTTGTCGGAACTCGAATTCGCTAACGCACAACAGGAACGCCTCGCTGCTGCGCAGGCCGCAGAAATGATCGTCCGACAGAGTCTCAACGCTGGTGGTGGTCGCATGACGGGCGGTATGGGCCCACGCCGATGAAAGAAACCTACCCTTCTTGTCACATGTCACTGTTTTGGTGTTTGTTTCTCCTTTCGATACCTCTGCATCATTGTGCGTTGTTCGGGCGTTGGGGGCATACTTAGCTAATGTGTTATCGGTGGCATCCGGACTTCATGGGATGTACAGCGAGGCGTCTATGTGAGCTTTCGCAGATATGAGATGACATGAAGTAGGATAGTTAGATAGATGATGTCTATGATGTTTACGTAGGCAGGTGCGCCGCTCGTCATCGTGAATGCCCTACGTATGCTAACTCCAGTGACCCTTCCGAGTCAGTGTTGACTGAGCCAAGCATCAGTGGGCCATCGATCTTCGATACTCTAATTCATAAATGATCTATATCTTCTGAAATTCCATGGACATAGCATAAGGAAAGATGGCCTTCATCGGTTTTTCGTGCTGGAGTCTCGCCAGCTCGTCTGAGTACGCTCAGACTGCTCTTAGGCATTAACTGTGGGATATGTGCGTGTAAATGCATCATCATCCTATGTTAGATACCGGATGTTGCTTTCGTGTCTTCCTTCCGTGTGAATAAGAACACGCTGTCTCGCCTCTCTATACCTTCCCTTTCGACTTCTCTAGTACAGTTCTACATATACCTGTCTGGCAATGGGTTTCTTCACCTTCACTTGGCCGTTTGCACTTGTCAAGGCAACCCCACTTTAACGCTTTTTGGACTTATGTTTTCCATTGCGACTTCGTCTTCTCCCTCGCTACCTCAGTACCCTCATGCACGCCTCCATCAACACTGCATCTATATTTGAAGTGCGATGTCGAGCTCGCAATTACCCTGCAGCGACCCCTATATGTACCCTGGATCACGGTGTGCCCCCGAGATCGTGTCGCTGGAAGTAGGGAGTGGTAGCGATACCGAAGTGCTCGAAGCGCCTCTAAGGTACCTGCGCCTTATATCATACTACTTCAATGATCAGTAAGTTTTTATCATCGCGTCATTCAGCACTTCATCGTGGGGGCATCCACTGCACTATTATACATGTTTAACCTTACAAAAGTACACTGACATACCCCAGTCTACATGGAACATCAGAGTTCTTCATCGTTCCCAATAGCTCGCCCTTTCTCTTCCGCATCTTTCTGAAATTCCTCAAAACCGGTAACCTCTATCGTCTGGACTCAGATGAGACGATGGACCGACGTTTCTCTTTCGGCACACTGATCGACATTTTTGAATTCGCAAAAGACTTTGAGATCGATGCACTGCGCAACGCAGCCCTGAACGAGTTCTTCCTCCGCATTGTCGACAATCCAGATCGAATGCCGTATAAGTATATCTCAGACATATACGAGGCCACCAGCTCGGACTCATCTCTTCGAAGTCTCATCGTCGATGTCATCGTGTACATTGGAACGAAGCAGGAAATGAAAGAATGGAAGGACGACCTCCCAAAAGAATTCATGATGAACTGCTTGACTGCCGCAAACGAGGATGAGATTGTGCCGTTCTCGGGAGACCGGTCCGAAGTCGAAGTCATGGAATGGCTGAACGAGATGAAAGGGAAGCTGTGTAACTTGTTCCATGTTCACGATCTCGGGCCGGAGCCGGAATCGCGACAGATGAGACCTTTCGTAAAGAACAGGAAATCAAGGTTGGGGAAAAGGGCGAGAAGGAGGCAGGAGGAGGAGACAGCTCGTGAAGATTCAGATGAAGAGGGAGAGATGGACCCAGAGAGACAAAAGTTGGCTGATGATGACGCTGCCGAGAGAATGAGGTATCTGATGGAACCTTTGCCTGCCAGGGCAAGGTATTAGGTCTCGTCCTGCTGCATGTTCTCCTTGCGGATATCTTCAGCCTGCACCACTCAAATTCAGACACCATCAGCCCAGCCTACGAGCACACTACTGCCCACCAACATCAACTAGACTATCAAAAGCCCCTTGCCAACATGAAGATTGTGCTCGCGACTCTATGCCTTAGTATATCCACTGTAAGTAGCTTCCTGTTCTCTCTAGCTATCTCATAGCATTCATACCAATCTGTACGAACAGGTCATGATCAACGCAGTTGCAATCCCCGAGGAGAACGGCTCTTACACGAGTCTCGCCGCCCGATGGTCCCTGGACGATCTGGTCCTCGTCAACATGACGGTGTATGATCCACGATTTCCTGGCGTCACATTCACAGGTGATGCAAAATCTGTGAACCAACAGATGGGGCATTTGAAACCCGGCGATTTTCCTGATCTTTTCGAACCTTCTGAAGCACGCTCACTGGCAAAGTGGTCTACTGTAGGTCTTTAATGTTTCGCCCTTCTGCTATTTGCGACATACACTAATGTCATGGAATAGCTAAACTGCAATTATGGAACGGATATCTTAGGCCCTAAGTCCTGTCATAATAACCTCGGTTACCTGAGGGCACTCAACCGTGCAAACTGCTGTGTGAATGGCGGGTTGGGAGCATGTGCACGAGTAGCCTGCTCAAATACGTGCGGGAATTTCTTGTGTAACAAGGTATGTTGAATCCCTTACTTGTTCGGGCTCCTTCTCATGACTCTTCCAGACAAATAGCCAATTCTGTGCTTCTTGTCGAGATATTTCGACCGATCTACAATATATAAAGGACCACTGTGAGCATGCTAAAGTTGCCACGGCTAGTGGCGCAAGAGACTTTGACACGCACTTCGTTGAACAGAGTGGTACCAATGGTTGTTGAAGCTTGACTACAGCAACTGATTTTGAACGTATGAAGCTTTTCCCAGATCTACGACGGTCTGGGGAGTATGTACTTCTTCTATAGAAATTAAACAAAGCGAACGTCTGCTTGCTCACAAATGAAGCGGCGTCACGTCTGTTCGGTCTCCTTTAATCACTATTATTCTTCCATGGCTTACAACTTGCGCTCAGGTTACTCGTAAGTGACGGCCGGCCCACCAGGCAATTCATCAAGCCATCCATCGACCGGCTCTTTCACAGCTTGCGGCACCCCGCACTTTGTCGACACATCAGCACCCTGAGTCGTCAGTCCAGTACAGGTGTTTCCAAAGCAGCGTTGATCCATAGCCTTTTGCAGCGCGCCGTCTTTCCAGCCAAAGACATAGTCGCCATGTTGGCCATAGCCAGTTCTATAGTGTTTTTAGCATCGTTTTCCCTACTATCTTCGCAGATCACTCACGCGTCACCCATGCTGTACACGAAAGGCTGCGAGCCGTCATCAGGCCAGAGAGCCGCATCATTGAAAGGGGTGGTGTCCCACATGACTTCGTACATGAGTTGTGGCATATGTATGGGGTGTGTCGCTGGGCAGGGACCGTTGGACTCGAAGGAGCCAGTTGTTGGGTAAGCGACGTGGTCTTTGTGGTTGGGGGAATCGAGGTTCTTGCCATCCCAGCATCTATGTTCAACATCAGCATCGAAAACAAGGATACGTAGGAAGGATGAACGAACGTCGGAAACGTAATAGTCGTCCGAATTCCACCGCCACACATCTTTGGTGGCAGTCCCGCAGTATCGAATTCTCCAATACATGGCGCGCCACCGAAGGGATCCTGTTCTTTGTTCGTAAAGCACCGATGGCAAAGCTGCTTTTGTTGTCCCTCCTGGACTCTCAATCCTGGATCACCAACCAACATCCTGAAGCCTTTGGGGAAAGCTGTGACGGTGCTCTTCCCATCGTATGGCGGAATGTAGTACACTGTAACGCCTTCTCTACCCTGAAGGCCCAAATTAACCATCTGAGGGACGCGTTGGAAAGTACCGTTGCGCGCTTTGAAGTATAGGTTTGCGGTCCAATAGTTTGAGAGGTCTTCAGCGAAATCACAGGTTGTGCATGTGGCTTCCGTGCTGGGATCGAGGTCGAGCGGTGGCATAGACACGTTGAAGGCATTTCCACCCACGATCTGGTCTGGATAACGGTGTGCCGGGTTAGTTTAGGATTCGTGTAGAGCCCGCAGGTGGATGCTGCTTACGCATGTGTGCTGAGGGTGCAACGCCAGGCTGAACAAGTGGGTCGATGCGATCGTAAACTAATTGAGAGCACTGGAAGCGCAGCATTGCAGCTGTCGCAAATTGGCGCGCTTTGAGGTTGTGAGCTGGCGAAGCTGCGACATTGTTGAAGAAAGTGGTAAGTGCAAGCCCAAGTGAGGACCAGTACATGGCGACGATCAAATACCGTGAATGACTTTAACAATTACGGATGACAAAAACGTAAAATACAGATGTGGAAGTTCAGATGCGTACTCTTGTACCGCATACGCCTACCAATATATAAGGGGTAACGTCCATAGCAAGGTCTCCACATGGAACTCACCCCACATCATCTTCACGGTTCGCCATGTCGAGTAGTTTCGTCGAAGGATTGTAGCCTGTAGAAGGTTCCAAATCCAACTGCCGTACATGAGTATGTTGATTGCTTGTATACAATATGAGAATTGACCAATCAGATCCTGGCAAACATCCTGGCGGACACCCGACAGAGCGAATACCAAGCAAGGATGAAAAGACACGCAACGAATAGAGTGCTGAGCTCCCTCGAATCCTTGGGGTCAAGTGTGGGATACATGGGGCCCATGTGCTTATACTAGTGGTTTGCTGTAACGCTATGAGGTCCTGGGATGGGGCGGAATATTCCTGGCTTCGCATGTTCCACGACCCACTATATGGGGCCCATTGCAGAGGACTCGCGGTCAAATTTCAGGAGTCCGTTTTGATAAGCTGTTTCACAGTCCTTAAGTAGGCAGTACACCGAACCAGAAAAAATAGTAATAGACTATCACTTGAATCCAGGCAGTGGCGTAAAGCATCATCAGCAAGCCTAGGATGGTAACTGGGTATTGAATTGACATAGAGAATTCCATTTGTATATATCAGCTGAATCTGCATACAATTTACCAGCCCTCACCGGGCTTCCTTGCCTGTACACAGTTAGCGATAGTCCTCGACTTCTCAACATAAACTCACCAGCAATGCGCCCTTTCCACCCAGCTCAGCCTCCAGACCGTCTGGGTATGTCTTGGGAGCACTGAGCTTGTCGGGGTATACGGTGCCAACAGCTGCGCAAAGTCCAAAGACGGTAGCGATGAATGTGCCCATCAGGACGAAACCCCATTGGGGACTGAAGTGGTTGTAGTCGTGCAGGGCTAGTACGCCGAGGATATCGTTGTCCTCGTGGCAAGGCTCGCCATAGTTGCGGCGCTCCTGCTTGTCCCAGTAATCACCGTATGGGTCGCGGTTTCCTCGCTTCTCAGCAGGAGGGTTGATGTAGCCGCCATTCTATCACTATCAGCACTACGCCCTTCATTGCTTGCATATAATTCGGAGGCGTACTTGGTTCGGGTCAGCAAGCTCGACGGCGCTCTTCTCGGCATCGGTAAGGGCGGTTCGGATCTGGATGAATTGGGGTCGTGGGCGTGCTACGGCGGGGACAATGGCTCGAGCCAGCGGGCGGGCCGCTACAATGCGCCTGGGAAGCATGCTGGGGTGCAGTGAGTACCTCTGCGATACAGGTGCTCGGTGTCTGCTTACGTTGTGGCGCTATTCCGGGGGTTGGTGGATATGAGTATTGGTGTGTCGTTCGCGATGAGCTCAGTTGCGGCACCCCGGTAATGCTTGGCGGAGAAGTGGGTCCAACTGCTCTGCGTACTACCACAATCGGTCATGAATATGTAGCACGAAAGGCGTCTACGCGACCGAAGAGCCTGACGCCTGCCTGGGAGAATTTGCGGAGACTTTAGACAGCCACAATCACAGCATCCAGAAGTGTAGATACTACCATCTTGTTGTATTTCACGTCGAGGGGATAGCATGCGCGCCCGTGCCGGTACTTAGCGTGTGATCCCTACCAAACATTATCGCCGGCTCTGTTTTTAACATCTCACGACATCGACACATTACAGCATCATCCCAACGCGAACAGATATTTAAAATCTGACCCCTTCACCGCTATCAGCACGCGTCAGGCTATCTTGCGACTCCGAATTTGAGCTGATATATGTCGATTTGGCCGCGCGCCGGGTGGTCTCCAGGCTCCCCAGGCCGCCTCTTTCGCCCTTCCTGAATGGAAGAAGTTACCGCCGCGGATCGCGACATCGACTCCATTCCACCACGCGACTCGATCGACGCCCACGACGCATCCGACAGCACACAAAATGGAGACAGCATCGAGATTGATAGCGCAACTGTGATCAAGGACGAGGATCAGCTGGCGCCAGTAAATGGCGATGATGGTGGCGTCATTGAGCGCCCGACAAAGCGGCGGAAACTCGAAGATGCCACACCGCGTCGCTCAGCATCACGCGCCGTATCGCCGCCCTGGAAGTCTTTCGTGGCTGATGGGCCCACGACTGTGTTCGAGAATGGCGTCAGAAAGTCGTCGCGTGTAAACAAGGACACTGCACCGCCGACGCCAGAGCCTGTAAAGCGGAATTCACGACCGGCTAGTAAGACGACGCAAACGAATGGCACCCCTAAGAATGGTGTCAAGCGGGAGTCGCGCAATGGCTCAGGGCCCATGTCTGTCCCGAAAGGAAAGACGCCGTCCACTATCACGAAGAAGGCTTCTGCACAGTCCTTGGTAACCCCGGCGCGCAAATCTGAGCGCCAGAGGAAGCCATCTGGACTTGCGACAACATCCCCAGTCGCATCGCCAGCACTTCAAAATGGGTCGCCCGAAGGCACGCGCAAGCGGGTCGGACGCTCTCGGAGGGGCGCTCAGGCGCCCACTGACGATCTAGGTGACGAACCCGTGGACGATGCCGAAACCAATGGACATGACCCCTATGCCGGCCTTTATGGATCGCCCGACGACTCGAATCCGGCAATGCCCGCCCCTCGTCTTCGCCTGCGACTGCGAAAGCCCGACCCTCCGAATCGACATCCCGCACATGCCCCGCCCAAGTCAGAGTACGCATCCCTCGAAGAGTGGTTAGGGCAGGACGACCCACTAGACGGCGAAGAGGCGCTCAGGACAACACAAGAGAAGGCTGAGGAGGAGGCCGAGCGTCGCTTACAGATCGTCGAAGCTGCTGAGCATGGAGTTTTGAGCCAGACACGATGTAGTGTGTATGCACCTGAAGCAGCCCCAGAACCGCCTCCACAGTATGGTCATTGGGATCACGTGGTGGCGCATGCTCTACACTTCGGCAAGCTGCTGAAAGAGGAAAAGGTGGCACATCGGCGGACGGCTAAGATCCTGGCTAGGGAGGCATATGACTTCTGGAAGAACAAGTTCAAGCGCAAGAGTCAAGATGAGATTGAACAAGAAGAAACTGAGCGACAGGTGACAAGGTACAAGCAGCTTGTGAAAGATGTCAAGGACGCGTGGGGCTTGGTCAAGGTTGAGATCGATAAAGAGCGTGTGGCCAAATACGAAGAGGAGCAGTTGCAGCTCGGACACAAGGCTATGGATGACATGTTCAACCAGGCACAAGAGATTCTGGGTGGCCGTAATGCGGGCGATGGCGCATCTTCCCTGGTCAGCGAAGACCGCGATTTCGATGAGATGGAATCTGAAAGCGGGGTGTCGCACGCCTCAGAACAACAACACGACGATGACATTATGTCTTCCAGCTCCGATAGCGAACAAGAAAACGAACAGGATGAAGATGCGAACCTCACAGCCGAACAGCTACGCGAGAAATATGGACAACTTCCCGATATTCCAGAGAGTAGCTCCGAAGCTGAAGCGAACTCAGAAGATGACGACGATGAGCAGGCTGATGCGGAAGAGGGTACTCCTGCGCCAACGCCAGACCCTGATCTTGAAGACGAAGATACCAGCGAACCCCCCGAAAATACTTTCCAACATACCAACGGCTTCAATGACAACGAAGAAGATGAGGAGAAGAAAAAGCCAGGTTACATCGACCCTGCTACGATCGAACTTGATCAGGTTGATGATGCTTTGCTAGATTCTGAAGACGACAAGGGCTCAGAATCCGGTAGCGAGGCTTGGTCAAGCAACGAAGGCTCGGGAAGTGACGACGATGGTGAAGAAGCAGGCGAATCGGAAGATGACGATGATCAAGAGAGCGAGGAAGAAGAACTGGGCATGATGGGCTTTTTGGCACCTAAAGACATCAAGAAACTGAAAGAGGCTGCCAAGACCACGATTGACGACATGAAATCAGAAGAATCGTCCCCCCAAATAGAACAGCCAAACGGTCATGCTCCGTCGCCTGCGGAAACCACTGAAGAGAAGCCTCGTGTGAACGGCCATGATTCCGTCGCTGAGGTAGATGAGCCACATGTCAATGGGGACACTGCGGCACAGCCGGCTCCTTCCATCGAGATTGCTGAGTCAACTCCAATGGAAGATGTAGTACGATCCAAGAGTGCTTCTAGATCTCGGCACACGTCTTCTCCACCAAGAACCGAGGTGCCGTTCTTGCTACGCGGTACCCTCCGAGAGTACCAACACGACGGACTAGATTGGCTAGCGAATCTATACGAGTCTGATACTAACGGTATCCTCGCAGACGAGATGGGTCTAGGAAAAACTATACAGACGATCTCGCTCCTTGCATACCTTGCTGTTCGTCGCGAAATATGGGGTCCGCATCTAGTCGTAGTGCCCACTAGCGTCATGCTCAATTGGGAGATGGAGTTTAAGAAGTTCTTGCCAGGCTTCAAGATCTTGACGTACTATGGCGACATCAACGAGCGAAAACGAAAGCGCTCAGGCTGGCGCAACACTGGAAAGGACATGTACAATGTTGTCATTACTTCATACCAGCTCATCCTCCAGGATGCAGCAGCATTCAAGATGCGGCCCTGGCGCTACCTGGTGCTCGACGAAGCCCATAACATCAAGAATTTCAAATCACAACGATGGCAGACCATGCTTAACCTTCGGACAGAGCGGCGGCTCCTGTTGACCGGTACGCCTTTGCAGAACAATATCGACGAGCTTTGGTCGTTGCTGTATTTCTTGATGCCAGCTGGATTTGCTGGAGAGGGTCGCATCGCGGGTCTAGAAGAATTCACGCTAGCGTTGAAGAATCCTACGTCGCAGATTCTCGACCAGGGAAGACAACAACTCGACGCAGAAGCGCAGAAGGTGGTCAAACGGCTCCATGAAGTACTTCGGCCATATCTGCTTCGACGACTGAAGTCGGAGGTTGAGAAGCAAATGCCTGGAAAATATGAGCATGTTGTCTACTGTAAGCTTTCTAAGCGGCAACGACAGCTTTATGACGGATTCATGGGCCGTGCTTCGACCAAGGAGATCTTGTCCTCCGGAAACTACATGTCGATTATCAATTGCTTAATGTCATTACGAAAAGTCTGCAATCACCCCGACCTGTTCGAAACGCGAGCTATTGTAACGTCCATGGCTATGCCCAAGTCGGTTGCCGCTCAGTACGAGATCAAGGACTTCCTCATTCGGAAGCGCTTGCAAGAGGGCATGGAAGACAAGCAAGTAAACTTAGACGCTCTGAATCTGGTATTTGCGCGACGGGAACAGACTCAATTAGGCCATGCTCGACGTACCTATCCTATTCGTGCCACACGGCCTCTAGAAGACTTGATTGAGCGCCAAACACGGCGCATCAACAAACCGACCGACAAGGGTACCTCCCCACTACAATCGACCATGGCAGCCATGGCCAAGCGAGAGCAAGTGGCTGTTCGAGATCACCTGCAAACTTGTCTTAATCTCACTCGCGCTCGTACTCAGTTTATGCCTATATACGGAAAGGACATTGTCGAGGCGGTCACCGTTGATTGGCATGATTTCACGTTCGGGGCTATCACAGAAGGAAAGAAGGTACCTAAGCCGCTCCTGTACCGAACGCACCACACTACGCATCCGAATTATCATGGCTTTGGCCAGGCGCAAATGCAACCGAAGCAAGAGGAGGCAATCCATTACGACATTGTTCGCCAACACCATGGCCTTCTCGGCTTCAGATCACCACGCTCCCATCGTGTGTTGTCACACTGGCACGATCAACAAATTACACACTTCCACGACATGATCCCTACATTGGAACAGCGTGCTGAGGCCATGGAGCCTCTCATCACTCGCTTCACATGTGTTACACCTGCTGTTGCAGCGGAGGAGCTTGCTCCTCTGACCTTGTCCAGACGCGGTGTTCAGCTAATCCAATCGTCGGAGGCAGCACATGAAAAAGATCCCTTCCATGCTTCACGCATTAGACAATCCATCGCCTTCCCAGACAAACGTCTTCTTCAATACGACTGTGGCAAGCTTCAGCGTCTTGCAACGCTACTACGAGATCTGCAAGCTGGTGGTCACCGTGCGCTCATCTTCACGCAGATGACAAAGGTTCTCGATATCCTCGAGCAGTTCCTCAATATCCATGGGTATCGCTATCTACGTCTTGACGGATCTACCAAGATCGAACAGCGCCAAATTCTTACAGACCGCTTCAATACCGACCCTCGCATTCTATGCTTTATCCTGTCATCCCGATCTGGTGGTCTCGGTATCAATCTCACAGGTGCTGATAGCGTCATCTTCTATGATCTTGACTGGAACCCTGCAATGGACAAGCAATGTCAAGATCGAGCCCATCGTATCGGTCAAACACGCGACGTACACATCTACAAGTTTGTCAGCGAATACACCATCGAAGCCAACATCCTCCGAAAGTCCAATCAAAAACGTCTTCTCGACGACGTCATTATTCAAAAGGGTGACTTCACCACAGACACGTTCAACAAGGTTACCTGGCGCGACGCGCTTGACGAGAATATGGGCATCGACACTACCGACGAAGCTGGCGCAGCCATGGAACGTGTGCTCGGCGAGAAGATTGGACTCCTTGGCGACGCACGTGTTATGGGCAACGTAGAAGATACGGAAGATCGTACTGCAGCTTCCATTGCGCAAAAGGAGATTGTGGATGAAATTCAGGAAGATCAAGTCGACTTCAACGAGAGCCTCAACGCTACGAGGGCTGTCTCTGAAGCCGCAGCTACCACTAAAGCGGACGAAGATCTGGATGTTGACGGCAACGAAAAGGAACGGAGACACGTCGATGAATACATGCTGAGCTTGTACCGAGAGGAATATGGCAAAGAACCATACAGACCGCCAACGGACAGGCAGAAGAGGAATCGGAAGGGGCAGGATCCTCATGTACGGCATCGAAAGAAGAAATACTAGTAGACGGCCTTTGATTTTTAGCGAGCGTATTGAAGCGTAAAAATGTATTAATAGTTGTACAATCGTAGTAGCATTTGCATGGTCTGGCGTTTCCTCAACAGAGAGGAAGAGCAATAAGATAACTGTACATTCGCGTTGAAGTCGGATGCTGCCCGCAGATTTTGTTTCTGGTATACGCTGACCACACCAACACCCGAGGTTTATAGACCGGTCAAATGACCAGTACTGTCACATACGACCATAGGATCTTGAGATCACGGCTTCCCGTTCGCTCAGCCCTAGTTAAGCAAGATACCGGCGGATTAGTAGTCAGGTGGGTGACCACTGGCGAATCCCCGCTGTTGTATGTTTTTGCCCGCTCTCTGTTCTTTTTTTGTGTCTTGCACCAAACAAAGATCAACGGCTGAGGCACTCTTAATGCAGGGCCTGCCTAGCTCTCGTTGCAGTAACAGAAATATATATCTCTCTTTTTTCTACGTTGTTAGATAGATGCAGATGTGTCTTCACTGCCACTCTGGACCGCCTCTTCCTGACCACCATCATCTGCATTGATCGCATAGTCTTCCTCTTCTCTTTCTAGATATGGCGGTGGGGCCAGTTCTTGACTCTCTTCGTCGCCTTCTCCATCTTTGGCTTCTACCCACACTCTGTTCAACTCTGCCTCGATCTCCTCTCTCCTCTTTTTCCACTCCTCCACTTTAGCCAGCCTCTCCCTCAGCTCTGCGAGTTCCTTATCCACACTCGATTTCTCAGACTGCGTACCTATGCGTTGGAAGTCCCACTCATCACCGTGATCACCCATGCCAAGAGTCAGTGTGTAATCGTGGTAACGCTTTAGGGATGCGCGGGTGGATATTGTGATTAACGCTAGAATCAATAAGTTAGTCAATGTTATATCGAAGAAAAAAAAAGAGATAACTAGAGAACGTACTTATTCCCTTCGCCTTTGCGCGTTCGTAGAGCAAGCCCTCCACATCACTACTGACCGCACTTGTTCCTTCGTCCACAAACGCATACCGTGGTTCATGGTAAAGTAATCTTGCAATGCCCATTCTCTGCTTCTCACCACCACTGAAAACGTCTTTCCATACTTTCTTCGTGTCCCAGCCGCCTTCCCTGTCAGGTAGATAGCCAAGTTTCGCCTCTTCGAGGACCTGGGAAAGTTCAAAGTCGCGGCGGCCGGCATCCTTCATGTCGGCATCGGTGTGAGGGTAGATGACTTGGTCACGGAGGGTGCCAGTGGAGAGGTAGGGTCGTTGAGGGAGGAACATGATGCCATCTACGCCAATGCTACGTGGACGACTAACAAGACCACGGTATGCGGGCCAGAGACCGGCGACTATGCGTGAGACGGCGCTCTTGCCGCAGCCATTGGGACCAGTGATGAGAAGATGCTCACCGGAATGAACAATAAAGGACAGAGACTCTAGGAGTTCTTCGCCGCCCATTGGATGCAAGGCTGGGGCAACAACTGGAACGTGTTCAAGACGAATTCCGTCAAAACCCTTGTGAACTGTGCCTTGAATGTCGGAGACGGAATAAAGTTCAGGTCGCGTACCGGGCGGAGGATAGTATGCATCTGCATGAACGCGATGGAGTGTGCTGATCAATGTATAGACGCGGGATGTATAGCCGGCCAGTTCAGAGAGGTCTTTGATACTATACATCATACGACCGCCAGCGTCTGCAAGAGACAACATAAGTCGCTTGTTCGTGATGAAGTCCTTCATGCGACTTCGCTCGCGGTGTGATTTCTCGCCTCCAGGCAGCTCAGGTGTGCCTCCTGCACCGCCCCATTCAGGCAAGAAGACGGGAAGCGACGTAACGAGGTATCCGAAAGCTGACCATGAGTATTTGAGGACAAAATCTTCGAGCATATTGTACCGGATCTTGAGGCTGTAGATGCCTTCCATCCAGTGTTTAAGATCCTTGAAACCACGTTCGAGGAAGTGCTTTTCCATTTCGTCACCACCGTAGAAAGCGACTTCTTCGGCGTTTGCGATGAGACGAGAGTGCAGTGCGCGGAACTCGCCTTCTCTTCGACCTTCGACGGCTTTTAGTTTGCCAAATGGTGGAGAGAGTTTCCGTAGCACTGTCGCTGTGAGGAAGTAGTTGCTTAACAAACCAGTCAAAGCCAGAGGTCCTAGAGAACGGTAGAGCTGGTAATTGAAGACGCATAGATCCACAAACGGTTTTCCCAGGCTCGAATACAACGACGCGGCACTCGCGCAGAACAATGTCAGATCTTGCGTGATATACTGGTCTGCTCCAGCTCCTACGCCTCCATCCAGATTTTGGAGCTTGTAGTAATTCAAGTGATCGTTCAGGTACAAGTCGTGAATGTATCTCGTGAGCCGTGTCCGGAATGCGATGGAAACCTTGCTCTGCAAGAACTTGATCATGGCATTCGTGTACGAGGAAAATGTGCCTACACCCAGCCATTGGACTATACCCCACAAGAAAGCCTTTCCATTGCCCGCGACGAGATCGCGCACGATCTCTCCATCGAGGCGCGCTACGACGAGGGAGAGATATGTCCGCAGCATGAGGAAGACGCTATGGCTGACCAAGAGACCCGTCTCCTTGCTGTTCCAACGTGGTATCATGATGTTCAACAGGCTTAGAAACTGGTGTAGGAAAGCCAGATTGAGACCCGGCTTCGTTTGTGGCGGCGGCGCTTGCGGATCGCTCGACGTGGTATCAGCCATGCGGGCTGCGCGTGGGGGCTGGAGGAAAAGTCTACGATGAGCATCGAATGTGGTTTGTTTGGTGGGATGGATGACTACTTTGGACGTCGAGTCGCGGTAGGGAACGTATATTGTCCTGGAGCCGTCTTTGTTCTTGAGTCCGGAGTTCCTCCTCAGCAAGCGTCGGCCAGTCTCTTTCTCTGCACGCCGGCTCTTGTACCATCGGGTACCTCCATATCCTGCGCCTATTATGGTGAGTAGAAGGGTGATGGTAGTCAGAAGCTTCGTGACCTTCGAAGCGCTGCGGACGCGGGACTTGAGGCGCGTCGCATAATGGTCGTAGAGTGCTAAGAGAGGGTCATGAGGCTGGCGTAAGGTGGACTGGGCGGCCATGGTTGACCGTGTACATCCTCCCTAGGAAGATTTTCATTTCCCAATCGTAAAGTCGATGGCGGAGGTCTAGTAATGGTGTACTTGGCTGGCATGTGAGTAAGTGCTATGAGGCTGGCTGCGGTTTGAGCCGAGGCATGTGAACGTGCCACGTGCACTGGGGTAATCCGGGGTGTGGCTCCACAGTAGCTCATGAACACCGCCACTAATGTTATCTTCATTGTGTTCTTGAACTATACGCCGAGAACAGACCAGAATAAGCTTCACCGATGCTATAGCTTCGCAAATTCAGAATTGTTTGATTATGATTACTATTTATCAAGTCTGACAATTACCAGCCACCTGAAAGCATGATGATTACAATGCATCCCCTCGTTCAATTCATAACTTCATTCCGTTGGAGCACCTCAACCCGACTGAGAGTTCCTGCTCTCGATGCCTTTGACTGTTTTGTGTAGCTCGGTCTTCAACCATCTGCCTAGTATGTTATACAGGTGCTCTGCTTGCTCGCAGGCCGCGCTATTCCCTCCCCAATTAGCTAGTGCCCTGACGAGTTGTTCACAACCTTGTAGCTCAAGCAATATCACCTGTCTTCTATAGTTCTGCTGCTCAAGGTCTTCAAAGTCGTAGTGTTGATGCTGAGATTGCTGCACGTACGGATCGAAGCTCTCACCCTTAATGATGCTCGGCACAGATGGAGTTGGAAAAGCAGGCTGCGAAGAGCGTAATGACTGGCTGTTGCTCCAACAAAACGATGCTGATACCAAGGTACTGGATTGGACAGGAGGGTGTACACCAGCGGCAGTCTGGTACCAGGTCAGAATCTTGGATGTTATACTTGAGTATAGCATAGCGAGGTGTGGATCTGACGAGCAAGGACAATTAAGAAGCTCCAAAACGTTCCTTATGGCTGATTGAGAAGTCAGGAGAACAGCCTCGAACGGACCCTTGGTAAATGCCGGATGTGTATGCCTGACGTGCCTCAGAGTATCAAGGATTGAGTAGGCCGATGTATAGCAGCAATGAAAGTTGTCCATCGAGGAGTTGAAATATGGTGCCATTGCATCATTCGTCCCTGTAGCTTGACTGATCGGGCTATATGGTATGGAGACGGAAGAGACGGAACGTAGATGCTCTGCGTTCTTTGGGCCGGTCGAGTAATAGTCCATGGGGTTTATGTCATTGCCGCCTATGTATTCTCTAAGAGCTTGCCAACTAGAGTGGTCAGATTGCGCTGTTTGCTCCTCTGTGAACGGGTCTCGGAAGAGACGGTTTAATTCGATGGTCGATCCTGGTCCTGGTCGAGCTGGTTGTGTTGGTAGAACAGTATTATCAATATGGGTCGTGTCTGAATGAACGTCGCTTGCGTATGATAATTCTGGTACAGTTTCGAACTCGAAGCCTGGAGTGGCTGACAAGCTTGGTGTAGGCGACCAGTCAGAGGCCCAATTCGATGCGATTTCTAGATCCGTCTGTTGAAGGGTAGGTTCCGGTTGGAGGCTGAACAAACTGAACTCGCTGCTCCCTGGAGATAGACACTGCTTCGCGGCTTTGACGAACGGAGTTCCGTCTGCGTTTCTCTTCCTCGTCCGGCCTGGTTTTCCGTGTTTTCTCGAAACACCATATATACATGTCGAGTTGATGACGGAGCATCGTGCACAGATCGGATGCTCTTTGCTGCACTTGACTTTTGACGCAGCGCAAGAGTCGCATGAAGCTCTGAGCTTCAGGTTGTTGATTTTCCTAGGTGTGGATGTCTTCGGTGCTGATGTAGGTGAAGACATGTTGAGTGACGTTTTTTTGTTATCGATTATGACTGGTGAACGCCAAAGAAACGGCCGTGATGCAATAGACATTATAGTCGACTATGCAGCCTCTTTCGAAGAGTCGGTGTCGAGTAGAGAGTAAGCTGAGCGTTGTACTACCAGCCATGTGTAGCCAAGTCCAGCTCTCGAGCACTCCACCGCCTTTATATATTAACCAGCATCCTACGATACTTGCCTTACCCGGATCCATCACTGTGGTGTAGGTAAGATTTAGATCTTGGATCTGCTGCATAGACCTACATCGCAGTATTACCATCTGCCATGATTAGCGCACCCGCATGTCTCAGCCCTCATACCCTGCTACCCGTCAAGCCACCTACACATGCCTCAATAAGGTCTGTTCACTGCATAACGCATGCTTGTTGGCCGCAACAGCGGCTGCAGCTATCCTGATCCTTGACTCCACGTTCTTGAGGTGTATTGGTGGGTGGGGAGGATTGCGCAGAATAGTTCATGCCTCATGCAGGTGTAAGGCGGGCTGTGCGAGAGAAAATATGTTTTGGTATCTGTGCAGACACAACGTCCAATGAGCGGCCGATGTGTCAGCCTCACTGTGCTTACAGACCTGCATAACCTACTTTTCAGCGTTTTCTGGATAGTCTGTTACCAAGGTAAGAGATCCAAAGCGGACGGCAACCGAAGTGAAGGCAGTTATGGTGGTTGTGTGTCGTTTTGAGTATTCTGAGTGCGCTCACCATTGCGATAAGCTGCCGCACCCGCTCCCCAAGTAGCGAGTACAGTGTTCAATAAGTACCGTACAGGTAACTCAAGTGCATGGCATACTTTGAAGAATAAGAAGGAACGGAAGGTATCCAGGTACCTGTGCGTTGTTCGTTCGATTGATCGATCGTGCAGTGTAGGACTGCCCTCCCTGATTTCCCCACGGCTAGCGTTCTGCTAGCCGAATTGGGCAAGCACCGCCTGCAGCTCAAAATAACTTCCCATGTCACTGGGCAGCACACCCTCCTACCGCCTGCGCGTCTCTATCATGCTCCTACAGACATTATCCTGCATATCGCTAGAAAGCCCTGGCACACTTACACCAAGGTGGTAAGTCTATGTGTATTTTCTGTCCACTTGCGAACGTTACTGCGCAGGGCGAAGCAATCCGTTGCTATATGCAGGTCGTGATACTGGTCCATGGATCAGATAACCTAAAGAGGACGACCTTACTTCCCAATCGAGGGTCTTGGGAGAGATTAGATGCGGCTCTGCGGATCAGGCTTGAAGAGATACGATTCATGAGTCCGTGGTGTCTGACCGTGGAGACAGGCTATCCAATCACACGTCGCATAACGGGGCTTTCCAACCTCCATACAACGAATAATCAACAACTCAGTTGACTTTGTAGTAGTTAGGAACCTAACAGCGTTACCGATTCGTCCATAGGATTTATCGTAGAAACTATCAATGGCCCAAAGCTTGACTTCTATAGCAATAGTGCGTCCTGACCTGAATCGATCATCAGGTCAGATAGATCTGAGTTGCCATGTCGAGTTCACAAACCCCATTGAGTCAACGCAAGTGGGTAGCTTCCAAAAGCATAAGCGAGCACCCTACTGTCATTCGCTCGCTCGAAGAGTCTTGACACAGCCCCAATACGCACGCCGCAACCATCTTTTGACGCCGGTTAAAAACGTGGTGAGCCAGGTTTCTATCTTGATGGTTGGAAGCGATTTCGATATTCACCAATCTCGTGAACTGCATGCATGCGTCATCTATACACGTGGGAAGCTGGTGAGCAAATAGCCATGGGTAGTGTTCAATCGAAAAAGGTAAGATAGCGGCTCTGAAATGTCCAGAGGCTAGCCAACCTGTTAACGCCTGACTTTTGAATACAGTCTTATGCAAGTCCAATCAATAACCTCAGATCACATGTGTGATCCTGATACCTTTACGCCGTGCTATGCCCGAAAGACTGACCACAGGCAATTCCCACCTGGGTGTGTCTGTTTTGCGCCATCAAGTATCGTCATTTTCAACAGTTGGATGTGCATTCAACAAGGCCGACGCTTCAGCCCTACGCCTAGCATCATCCTGCTCCAATTGAGTTTGCACGTGCCGGGAAACCTACTCATCGGCCTCTGTATTCCAGATCTCCACCTCCCTGTTCTCCAGCTCTTTCATCTTCTCTTCCCCGAAGATGGTCTCGGTTGGCAAACCAGTCTTTCCGTAGTTGACAACAGGTCCTATCGTGTTGATCCATTGTTGTCTTCTTTCCATAAGAGTGCGAATTGGCTCGCCCACGCCCGGCCTCGAAATGCCAGCGTTAGCCACTGGATGGCTTCCACCTCCTGCACCACCCGGCCGCTTGTTTTGTTTCTTGCCTTTGCCAATATTGCGGTTACGCTTGAGGTAGGCGGCGTTGAGTTGGTTGTCGAGATCGTCGGCTATAGTGTTGTACTCTTGCTGAGCTATGCGCTCTTCTGTGAGCTCGAGAAGGCGCTGTTTTCGTGCGCCATTGATGATGGACTGCTTGCGGAGTTCTTCTTGTAGAAAGCGGAGGCGTTGGGCTACTTCGTCATCGAAATGAGAATCGTATGATTGCGACTCTGCGTCTGCTTCGGAGATCAGGCCAAAGTGCTTCAGCTCCATTAGTACGCGGTCCTCCATGCCGACATAGTCGGTGCGGCCAGTCTGTGGTGGAGGTTTCCAGCCCGGCTGAACGAGGTCGGGAAGTTGGGCGGCGGCGGGTATCGAATTCGTGTTGGCCGTGTCTGCAGGCGCACCTGCGCCTTCATCAATATCCATGGCGTCTCCATTGACTCCATTAGTTTCGCTCTGGCCGCTCTGATTACCGCGTCCCTCTGGTCGTAATGTAGCTAGGAGACGCGACAGGAGGGGCCCTGTAGACACTTGATCTGTCTCAAGCACGTCGTCTGAGATGTCCTCTGCTGCTCCACGTGGGACGTTGGGTGGTGGTCGTTGGTCATTCGAGTCTATGTGCATAGAGCCATCTTCCTCGGCCCATATCTCCTTGTAGTGTCGCTGGCCGCGTCGAGGCAGCACGAATGGCGCTATACGGTCTCCGCGCTCCTTCAAGAATGCCACGTCCTCTTCGGTGAGCGGCCTTATGTATGGTTCAACGTAGTTGGCGAAGACGGTGGCATTGACCTGTGACGGCGGTTTGGCATTGGAGAAGTCCTTTGCTGGTGGTGAACCGGCTATCCTGTCACGGAGATCGTGCTTGGGGAATTCGGCGACACAGTATATCTCCTTTCTCTCCTCAATCGACATGCCTGGTGTAACCTCGCGTATATGGTATACGGTAGGGTCATCGAATTTGGCGGGGTCAGGACCGAAAGTCTGGAATTGCGGTACGGCTGGGGCAGGGGCGGGCTGGTGAGAGACATCAGAGCCACTGGGCGAGGGAGCATCCGCCGGCCCATTGCCAGCAGCGGAGGGCGGGGCTTGCGATATTGGCGATGAGATGGCCGAGGAGTTGTCTGTAGACGTGGTTAGATGTCTGTGAAGTCCTCTCATGTTGAGCTTGACGATCAACTGCTGTTGGGAAGGAGCCATGTTGGAGGGTATTCGAAGTAGTGTATACGAGGAGGGATCGTATATGTAAAGTCCCAAGGGAAATGTGATTGCCTGGTATCAAACTCACCTTTGCCGTCACCGCCGTCCTGCCTGGCCAGGCCGTGGGCACCGGTCGCAGGCGGATGCTTCCCGTCCTCGTCGTGTTTCTTGCTCACCTTCTTGAGCTTATGTTTGCGCTCGCGCTCCTCGCCATCCTTGTCCTTTTCCCTTTCACGCGGCGCCCGGTTCTTCTTGTTGTTCATGAGTTCCCGCAGCGCACCTTCGGACTGCACGCAGCGTGACTCGACGTTCTTCAGCACAGTCTTCTCGATGTCGTCGCGCATGGACAACAACAGCTTTCCGGTCGGAATGGAAGAGCCGTTGGCGCCCCCATCGAGTATGTCTTCGACTGTCTTGGGGCTCTTTCTGAGGTAGGAGCTCAGGCGGTTTCCAAAGTAGGACGAAGAGGAAGAAGGCTCGACCGAAGTGCGTACGTTGGGCAGCGGCGTTGTGTTTCGGCTGCGCGGTGCTTGCGAGGGCTTGCCGGGCTTGGTCGCCTTGCCCTTGCTGCTCACGCCTGGAGGCGCCATATTGCGCGTCCACGAGCGTCGTCGTCGCTATGGAATGCGGGGGAGAAAGTCAGTCGCGTCCACGACGCGAGATGGGCGGCCGACGTCTGAGAGCTGGCAGAGAGATGTCGCAGGCGCTAGACTAGCCAAGGGCAGGTATGCAGCAGGATGGTAGCAGGCGTCTTGGATTGTCGCATCGCCGGCGCATTCGTTTGTTGGTGTTGTTCGCCGTCTGGGGAACTGGCTCGTGCTAGCCCTGAAGACAGACGCCAAGGTCGCGAAAGGCGTGCCGTCTGCGATACGACCATGTCAACGTCATTACCGACGAGCAGGGCACTATTCATGCACAACGGCATCCTCTCCAACTGTCCAGTCCAGTGGGGCCTGCATCCATCCTATGCTGCCCTTCTTGACGCAATCTCCTGTTCGCGCCAGGGAAACAAGCTTTTTGCTAAGCTCGGCGCTTCTCCATTCTCATCCGGGAGGGGCGGCAGTGTTGACGAAGCCGACCAGCCTTCATTCCTAGCCACCCGCTCCCGCTCTACAACCACCGCTGCAACCACCCACAGCCACGCCATTCTCTTCTTTCCTCTGCATACCCTCCTGCTTGCGCCCACACTGCCTTCCCACACGACTGCCGGCAATGAATTGTAGTTGGCTCACATTAGCGGCCCCTGTGTAATCGTCCAGTGTCGCCCACCATGTGTACGTCACACCACTTTGCCGCCCGTTGGCACCAACTCGCTGACCGCACGCTGACTGTCGCACAGCTGCCCAAAGGATTGGTATCTTTACCATCGACTTCCCGGACCCTCTTCGCATCGACTACGACAACAACCAGTTCATTACACTCAACGATTCCGTCTCGTTCCAGTACCGCATCCTCAACAACATCCAGACCTTGTCCACCAAAGGCGTCGACGGCAACCAAGACCCCTACGGCATACTCTACGTACCTGATGTCTACACATCTGGCTGCAAGCAACAGGAGGCAGACTACGTCCTCGAGAATGCGACACGGATAGCCAATCTCCCGTCCGACAAGGATTACGCACTCATCGCCGTTGCACCCTGGTACTCGGCGCAGTGTACCATCGAATACTTCACCGCAGCGCGCAACCATCCCACCAAAGCCTTTCTCACCTACCTTCCCGGAGACAGCAACGCCAAACCACCGGTGCTCAACGATGCGGCGTGGAACCTTCAAGATGGCGGTAGTTGGCAGACGGCCAATGACTTTCCCACCTATGCGCTGTCTTCAATGACGGGGAGGAACATCATGGAGCAGCTGGACCAGTATTCTGGAAACTTGAGCCAGGTACCGCATGCCGATCAACTCTCGCAGATATACGATTCCACCGACTATGTGCGCTTGTGGGCAACCGTCAGTACTGATTCTGGTGGCCAACTCCCAAGCCTATGGGTTTTCCTCGTCATCGTCTTAGCAGTCCTACTCGTGGCTGTCAGCATCACTTCTCTCGTCATGCATATCATCCAACGAAGACGGCGCAACGACCTGCGCGAGCGCGTTCTCAACGGCCAGGTCGATCTCGAAGCATTGGGCGTCAAGCGTCTCACAGTCTCGCAACAAGTTCTCGACAAACTACCCATACACACACACACTGCTCCCGCCGTTGCTGCTGCTGCTGCTTCGAACGAGCCTGAGAAGACCACCGCTACACAAGCGCCGAACCACGCACACGATCTCCCACACGCCGCCGTAGATGCTGAAACTGGCTACAAGGGACCTCAGCTGCTCCGCCACTCGTCTGCACCCACGATACCTACAGTACCCACGTCTGGTACGTCTGCATCATGGTCCCAGCCCACATGTCCAATCTGCATGGATGACTTTGAAGTCGACGAAACACAAGTGCGCGAGCTTCCGTGCCACCACATTTTCCATCCTGAGTGCATCGATACCTTCCTCCTCAATCACTCATCGTTATGTCCCATGTGCAAACAAACTGTATTGCCTACAGGTGCTTGTCCGGTCAATATTACCAACGTCATGGTACGGCGAGAGCGCCATATAAATCGCATGCGAGCGCGCAGTGCTCATACAGCAAACACCCAACCAAGTTCCGTATCCACACCTCCCTCAACAGTGCCAGTTTCACTAGCGCGCCCAGCGGCCGCTTTTGGGTCGCTTGGCAACAGGATAGGCGGAGCTATCTCTGGTCGACGTATCTTCAGCGCACCTGAGCGGACGCAGTCACGACCACATGATATCGAGATGGCCACTACGCCGCCACCTGATGCCCCACCACAACCTCAGCCGGCCAGTGCACCAACTTCACAAAATCCACAAGACTGTAGTCCTACTCATAACAGACGAGAATGGGCACGGCAACGAGCATTGGCTATGCTTGGTCCCCGTCATGCGCCTGCTAGTGACGTGGAAGAAGAAGAAGAAAATGTGCCAAAGTGGCGGCGTGTGTTCCGCAAGGTCTTTCCCATTTGATCAATAAGCGATTTGTTTTATCACGATACCTCAGCATAGATTCGGCGCAACACTTTCATTAACGTAATGTATTACAACGGTGTTCAGGAGATCACGGAAGCGGCTTTGGGATCATTTGGAAAGGGAGATACCAGGGCTACATAGCGACATTACTGCTGCATACAATTATCATATTGTATTATTCTTGAACCTACTACCTGATGCTTCTTGTCTTATCGGCTCCCGGATGTACCGATTTGGACGCTCATGCCCTGTCGCGACTTCCCAATCTATTTATCCAGATCATGCACCTACAATAACCATTTGACCCTTTATCTCGTCGCCTCCTACCCGACGCGTATCCTGGACTACAGTGCACTAGTACCAGCATTGCTCACCTTTCGGCCCAAGAGTACCACGCACAACATGACACTGGACAAACAACGAGCACTACCTATATTGCCATTGATGAGCCATACGAACTCTAGAACAACGACTTTTGCCCACATACACATGTCCGTTCCGTTAGTCAAAACAAGTCTAAGAATCTCACTCGCTCGCTAAAACCTTAAAGCTTCCCCAGAAAGCCCAGCCCATAATCAGCCGTCGCGCTTCTGGTTCGTGACCTCGACCGGGTCTGTCAATCTAATATATACAACATTTGCCTCTGCCGCACCCGCCTAGTACTTGTCACGCTACAATAATTTCCACAATGACTATTTTTGGATTGGAGTTTTCTCAATCGTCTTCACCCTACCCCAGACTCGACATGTTCTAGAGCATGATTGCCCTGCATTCGACGGCTATCGTTCTCGCTTGCTTCTCGGCTGTCTCGTAAAGAAGTCTACGAGCAATATCGACGGGCAGATCTCATATCAGGAACATGGCAACCTTACCAGCTTCGTTGCCATGTCCGAACTAGCAATACAGCAAATGAATGCAAGGTTTCCGGTTGGTAGCGAGTGGCCATCTATCGCCGTCCTCCACGAGTATGTGGCCAATGAGCAAACTTCTCCTACCGGCCACAAGACTCTATGGTCTTTACAAAGGGCTTCCTAGAGTATGTGTGGTGAAGAATGTACTGCTTGCGTTCTAGGTCTCGTACTCGGACAATACGTGGGCATATAAGATGGTCGTGGCCCACAGTTGCTCTGGTGAATAGCAGCACTACACTTTGACCAGAAAATCATCATCTAGCATTCGCTTACCACATTGTTTAATTTTTTCCCAGTTTGTCAGAAACAAGGCTGAGACACCACCGCGATGAAGTACACACTTACCGCCATAGCCCTTGCGGCGACAACGATCGCTGCTCCGACTAATCAAGCACCCGACTCATTCAAGATCACTAAAGTCGTCTCTGGCGGCTCGGGTTGCCCCCAAGGCAGTATCGATATCAACTGGACTGACAATGGCATCTTGCCCATCTGTAAGCCTCCATTACACTGGTTTACTCATCCTCGTTCTCGTATTGATTATCACATGCAGACTTCAACCAACAATTCACAGCCCGCGTCGGCACCGGGAAGACGGCAGAAGACTCGCGAAAGAACTGCCAAATCAACCTCGGTCTCGAATTCTCCCCTGGCTTCTCCTTCGCCATCTTCAGCGCGGACTACACCGGTTGGGGCGACCTTGATAGTGGTGTCACTGGTGTCGTAAAGTCAACGTACTACGTCTCTGGTCAGCAAAGCCAGTCGTCGTCAGAACTCAGCATCGACGGTCCGTTCCATGGCAAATACTACAAGCAGGATAACGTGCCGGCTGCAGTCTGGTCACCCTGCGGTGGTGATGCCCTTTTCAACATCAACAGCGAAGTAGCGCTAACACCATTTGCTACACCGGCTAATGGTGTGCTCGCTGCAACGCGCGAGGCGGGTCGCTTTACGTCGAATTTGTACGTTCAGTGGAGAAAATGCTAGTAGTGTACGTGTAAGAAAGCATCGTGGTGGAGCCTGTAGTTGTAGATCGTCCTTGGTGCCAAGTCAAGATATCAAATTTTCTCCTGATTGCGAGAGCTCACAATTTTGTTGACTGTGCATATGCGTCTTATCGGTAATTCTGCATATATTTGTGTAACTTGCATGTTACTCGACGCATGACGCTGTGACCAATAAGGCGTTCCACGGCGTACCTAGATCTGCAGAAAATGTGGCGCGTATGCTGACACAAGAACATCTTATTCTTGTAGACCTTCAACATCAACTCATCGCCCAAACCGTTTCCGCGACGCTCTAATCGCCCTGCCATTGCTTATCCACGACCCCATCTCTTGTTGTCTCAGCAAGACGTATGCAGACGTTGGCGATAGCGGCCAGACTGCATGACCCGCTTCACTAACGTGATCATCATACCCAGGTAGGTCGATACGAGGAGCCCCGGCTTCGACTATAATGCTGAAACCTTTTAGTGATCCACAAGGAAATTCCACAGGGTACTCGGGAAGAGGTTCGTCCGTTGCGAAAGGCGTAAACTGGGCACAAACTGGGCAAACTAGTCTGAAAGTCGATACATCGAACGCTAGTCAAGACTTTTGCAGTCGCGCTGTTGGAACCCAGCTCCAGCCATGTCAAATGCTGGTCCCGCTGTTAGTGAGAGTAATCCACTTTTCGACGGAAGACCCCGAAATGGCTCCGGCGGGGTGTTGCGGCATGTACACACACCCGATGCACATGATGCTGGGCAGACGGCAGTGGTGTTTAGCATATCACCCGTACCGTGAAGACCCTACCTCGGATGATGACGACCTCGTGATGGACTAATCGCCGGCTCATCTGGGCAACACCTCCACCCGCTAAGCCCCGACCCTAAAATCCGCAAAAGCTCAGCCAATTGATTTTACTGGGGAATGGACGATGCAAGCCTAATCTGCTACTCGAGCCCCGCGATTCTGCTGCTGCAAGTGGGGTCGAGGGTCGCAGCCAAGAAAAGCCAGATGCTACAAACCCACCAAGAATGTGCCACCATACAGCAAGCGTATTGACTACCGAGGATGAGGCAAGCAGCGAGGTAGTCGCACGAATGTGGCGACTCGACTTGTTTAAAGGCACCCTCACCCGTCGTGCCCATACCGGACAAACCAATACCTACATCATCATATCTCCATAGCCTACTACATTAAACACCAATATGTCTCCGGGAAAAGTCTCAACCCTCGATTTCGAGACGTTCTATAACATCGTCGATGGCAAGCAGCGCAGCTCAGACAAGATTCACCATGGTATCAATCCCGCGACTGGTCAGGAGCTCTGGGACGTACCAATTGCGAGCGAGCAAGACCTGAATGACGCAGTTGCGGCTGCGAAGAAGGCGTTCCCCGCATGGAGAGATACCCCGATTGAGAAGAGGAAGGAGCTGCTCAACAAGATTGTGGAATCATACCAGCAACACAACGATGACTTCGTCAACCTACTGTGCAAAGAGTCTGGCAAGCCGGTACGTTGCAACAATCACTAGAATATTCCGAGCGTTGTGCTAACATGCGAGCAGAGAAAATTCGCTGCCATCGAGGTTGGTGCCGTTGCTGGATTCATCGGTCACCACTTGACACTTGATGTGCCATCTGAGAAGTTTGAGGATGATGAGAAGACAATCTACACAGAGTACACGCCTCTCGGTGTTTGCGGTGCCATCTGCCCGTGGAATTTCCCTCTCGTCTTGAGCACCGGAAAGGTCGCGCCAGCTCTCATGACCGGAAACTGCATCATTGTCAAGCCCTCACCCTTTACACCTTACACGGCTTTGAAGTTTGTCGAGCTAGCTCAGGAGATTCTGCCACCAGGCGTTCTCCAAGTAGTTGGCGGCAACAACGAGCTCGGTGTTCAGATGTGCCAGCACCCCGACATTGCCAAGATCAGCTTTACCGGCTCTATCGCTACCGGAAAGAAGGTTATGGAGACATCTGCAAAGACCCTCAAGCGCGTCACACTCGAACTGGGTGGCAACGATGCCTCCATCATTCTTCCTGATGTCGACATCAAGAAGACAGCACCCGAGATCGTCATGGGTGCCTTCCAGAACAGCGGCCAAGTATGCGTCGCTACCAAGCGAATTTACATTCACGACTCCATCTACAAGGAGTTCCTTGAAGAGATGGTCAACTTCACCAAGTCCATCAAGATTGGAGGTCCAGATGACGGCGACAACCTGCTCGGACCTGTTCAGAATCAGATGCAGTACGAGCGCGTGAAGGAATACTTCAGCGACAGCAAAGCCAAGGGCTACAAGTTCGCCGCTGGTGAGCCCGACGTCGGCAGCGGAAAGGGTTACTTCATCAAGCCAACCATCATCGACAACCCACCAAACGACTCCCGCATCATCCAAGAAGAGCCATTCGGTCCCATCGTGCCCACACAGCCATGGTCCGATCTTGAGGAAGTCATTGCACGCGCCAACAACACAAACACCGGTCTTGGTGCTTGTGTCTGGGGCAAGGACGTCGAGCAGGCACAGAAGGTTGCGCGTCGCCTCGAAGCCGGCTCAGTCTTTGTAAACTCATGGGAGAAGCCGACACCACAAGCGATATTTGGAGGACACAAGGAATCTGGAATCGGCGGCGAATGGGGCAGGACCGGTCTTCTTGCGTACTGCAACCCACACGTCATGCATGTCTACAAGTCATGATATGACCATGTGGATGATGGTGGGAGATCAGATAGATGAAATAAATTGACGATCATGACCTAGTCAATACAAGAATGTTTTGAAATGCTTGAAATGCTTGAGTACTTTAACCTGTCGGTGATGTGGCGCCATTTGTTGAGCGAAGGAACATGAAGCATTTGATAACCGGTGGCTTTCATACAATCGTCTGTTCGCATGGTGTTTGTTCCTAAAAAGGTTAGCTGACATCTACCTCTGACAGGCTTAGCGCTTGGCACCCCGGTCGCACGGATCCCGCATGAAGCTTCGAACCTGGATGTCGGACCTACTGTCACGTCGCATTGTGGCACCTTATCCACAGGTAACATCATTGCTTTGCTCTGCGCCGCATCAGCCCACTGTTCGTCGACTTGTCGTTCGTCAGACCAGCGGAACGGTTAAAGTCGTTCTGTTTCCGAGGTATCTTTGCCCTTGTAATGATCTCCAGGATGGCGTTTCATGGTTTCATGAAACAATGCTCTCTCAAGGAACCGGCTACCCGCCCAAATTTGACCCACCATGCAGAATCGTTCCAGGCGCATTGCAGCAGTGGCTGTTCTAGTATAAGATGAATTCGCATCCGCCGCCATCATGTTTCTTCACTCCATTCGGTCATCTTCATTCCCTACATACACACTCTCTCTATCTTTTCTTCTCTTCAGACTCTACTGGAAGCGTGCTTCCTGACATTCTTTTCTTGAAATCCCACATAGAAGCTTGCTTCTTTTCCAAACCTCCATCGACCGAACACTTTTGAACCCGAACCGAACCGTCCCAATCGAAAAGTAGCAACCATGCATTTCCGCGGATCCTCCATCTACTTCGGCATCGTTGCCCTCTCCTCGACTTCAGCTGTCCTTGGAGCCGTCGCTCCCTACGGACAATGCGGTGGTAACGGCTTCCAGGGCGAGACCGAGTGCGCTCAAGGCTGGTCTTGCGTCAAGAGCAACGACTGGTACAGCCAGTGCATCAACGGTGGTGGAAACGCCCCGGCTCCTCCTGCTGCTACTGGCGTCGCGCCGGCACCCGTCGTTCCTTCTGCCGCCCCTGTACCGTCGATGAACGCTAGCGAGCCCGTCGCCGCCCCTGTTGCGGTTGCTCAGCCTGCTGCCACCGGCGGTGCCAACGGCTCTACTCCTGATGTTGCCGGAACCGGTGCCAACGGTGCCAAGTGCTCGCTCGATGCTGCATTCAAGTCGCACGGCAAGAAGTACATCGGTGTTGCTACCGACCAGGGCGCACTCGGCAAGGGAAAGAACAAGGAGATCATCGTCGCAAACTTCGGCCAGGTTACTCCTGAGAACAGCATGAAGTGGGATGCCACCGAGGGTACCGAGGGCAAGTTCACTCTCGACGGTGCCAACGCGCTCGTCAGCTTTGCCACAGAGAACAAGAAGCTCGTCCGCGGTCACACCACCGTCTGGCACTCTCAGCTTCCCACCTGGGTCTCTTCCATCACCGACAAGACTAAGCTCGAGGAAGTCATGGTTGCTCACATCAAGAAGCTCATGAGCACCTACGCCGGCAAGGTCTATGCTTGGGACGTAGTCAACGAGATCTTCAACGAAGACGGTTCTTTCCGCTCTTCCGTCTTCTACAACGTTCTCGGTGAGAACTTTGTCGCTACCGCTTTCGCTACTGCCAAGGCCGCCGACCCAGAGGCCAAGCTCTACATCAACGACTACAACCTCGACAGCCCCAGCTACGCTAAGACCAAGGCCATGGCTAGCAATGTCAAGAAGTGGGTTGCCGCCGGTGTTCCCATTGACGGTATTGGTTCCCAGTCCCACTTGTCCGGCAGCTGGCCCATCTCCGACTACCCCGCTGCTCTCAAGCTTCTCTGCGAGTCTGCTTCCGAGTGCGCCATGACTGAGCTTGACATCAAGGGTGGTGCTGCCGCTGACTACAAGACTGCTGTCACTGCTTGCTTGGATGTTGAGAACTGTGTTGGTGTTACCGTCTGGGGTGTTAGCGACACTGACTCTTGGATCGGCGCTGCTGCCACTCCTCTGCTTTTCGACGGCAGCTTCCAGGCCAAGGAGTCTTACAACGGTCTCTGCTCCGCTCTTGCTTAAATGCACAGGGTGGGAACGAGGGCATCCGATTAGATCTATCAGCTTAAGACAGACAATTTGGTGCTTGAAAGAGGTGTTTGTTTCTTGTAGGAGATGGGATGAAATTCTACCGTATATATATCTACTTTGCTAAGATGGTAAACTCCATCTTCCAATTGATCATTTTATTGAATCATACCTAACTGCATGGGTCTATGCTAGAACTTTGTGATGATGAAAGGGTATCAGGTTGCGTTTCGATGACATTTACGCTACGCCCAATCGTAGACTGACAGCCCTTCGATGAGCCTCCAATTCTTCAACGCGCGCAAGTTCCATCACAGCAGGTCCAACATTTTCAAGTCCTTGCCTAGTAAGATGGGAGCTAGTAATGTGCTTAACATAAGACGCCAGATTGACGCCCGAATATTGCTTGGCATATCCATATGTTGCTGGTCAATGTTAGCAGGGCTCCTTGAAGAAGTGTTCACAATGTAACTTACGTAGAGAGTGGTTAACACCAGCAGAGTAATCGCCAACACTTTCAGGGGTCCATTCACCGATGAAGACACTTCCAGCGTTCTCCACCATTTCGGCTACCTTTTCTGCTTCGTCGACTTGCAAGATAAGATGCTCAGGCGCATACTGGTTGCTTAGCTGCATAGCCTCCTCCATCGTGTTCACCGCAAGTGTGAAAGAGTGTTCGATTGCTCCACGAACAATATCTACTCGTGGCAGAGCAGTAGCTTGCTTATGGAGCTCGTCTTCGACTGCGTCAAGCTGCGCCTCGTTCATCCCGACTGCAATCAAAATGACCTGAGAATCAACACCATGCTCAGCTTGACTGAGAAGGTCAGATGCGACAAAGGCAGGGTTGGCATTTGCATCCGCGATGACGAGTACCTCGCTCGGTCCCGCAGGCATATCGATGCTTACACCAGCGTTCGTGTCGTTGGAAACATGCATCTTCGCTGCCGTGACAAACTGATTTCCGGGGCCGAGGATCTTGTCGACTTTGGTAACGCTTTCAGTACCGTAGGCCATTGCTGCGACAGCTTGTGCGCCACCAGCAAGGACAATAGACTCTGCACCGACCTTGTGGGCACAGTAGACAACCTCCGGAGTTACTTGACCGTTGGCCCGCGGTGGTGTTGCGAGAACGATCTTCTTGCAGCCAGCAACCATGGCAGGCACACCAAGCATGAGCGCGGTAGACGGAAGCACAGCGGTTCCTCCAGGCACATACAGACCGACCCTTTCGATTGGTCGAGCAAATCGTGAGCATACGATGCCAGGCATAGTCTCTACTCTTAACGGCTTGTCCTCTTTCTGCGCAGCGTGGAATTTTCTAATGTTTTCAAAAGATACGTCGATAGCTTTGGCTGTCTCAGGCGATATTTGCATAAGTTCTGGAGGGAATGGTGCTCTCAGTACAGGCGATGTCAGTGATGTAGCTTTTTCGAACTTGTGCGTGTACTCTAGCAATGCGGCATCTCCTCGAGTCTTGACTGCCTCGATGATCGGCAGACATATATCTAAAATCTTTTGGGTCGAGCGTTGAGATGGTCGTTGTAGCGCAGCGTTGACAGTCTCGGACGTCTCGTTTGCGGTCACGTAGCGCTTCATGGCAATGCGACCATCCTTCATACCGGCGGGATCATCCTTGCTCTTGGGTACTGAAGCAGCTTCCTTGACCTCTTCTTTAGTCGGTCCGTTCGTTGTACCGTTCGTTGCACCGTTCGTCGCTGCTGCTGCTTGCGCGGCAAAAGCTGGCTTCGCATCACCCTGTCGCCTCTTGACCTTGATGCTCTTAGCGTCAAGGTTGCGCTCAACATCCTCCAATGTTACACCAGATGCAACGCACTTTGTCAGCGCAAAGTAGAAAAGATCGGCAGCCTCGAACGCGACTTCTTCTTTAGTGTTTGCGTCGCAGAGCTCAGTGGCTTCTTCCAGTATCTTGGCTCTCAAGAGTTGTGAGTCATTGAAGAGGCGTGCAGTATATGAGCCTTCGGGCGCTGAAGCTTTTCGGCTTTGGAGTGTCTTCTGGAGTTTTGACAAGCCGGTATACTCGCCGAAGCAGGTGGGAGTTGCAAGGTGGCAGAACCCTCTGCCCTTTTGTCGCACTACAAACTGCAAGCAGTCGCTGTCGCAGTCCAGCGCTAATGATACCAACTCTTGGATATCCCCACTGCTTTCGCCCTTGTACCATAGCCCTCGCTTTCGGCTCTGGTACACACCGCGACCGGTCCTCAGGCTTTCTGCGACGCTCTCTTCGCTGCTGTATACAAGTCCGAGAGCAATTCCTCGCTCATCGGTGACGAGAGTTGTGAAAAGGCCGTCGGATCGGTCGCTCGTTGCGTTGGCCATGAAGAGCTTCGCGACGCTCAGTGCACTCGTCTGCTTCGAGGGGTCGACTGTGAGGTTTTCGGCAGAGATGATGGGTATCGCGTTGAGTTTTGAGAGGCGTAGGGCGCTCTCAATGTCTGGGTTCTTGAATGAGACGAAGACATTCGGTCGGTCTGCTCCGTAATCTTTCAGCCATGCTTCCAAGTAGCCAACGTCGTCGACCTGGTGGGCGTAAATGTCCACCTGTGTACCTGAGATGGCTTCGATGATCTCTTCCTTTGTGTTTCCTGGCAAGCACAGGACTATCCTGTCCTGGTCGATCTTCAAGTTCTTGAGCTCGTCCAATTGCTGGCGAGTAACGAAGACCTTGGCGGCGCCGGCGTCGAGGAGGGAGACGATGTCGTCAATGGATGTGATGGAAGCAACGTCTAGGTAGTTGGCAAATCGGCCTACAGATTGCTTCAGGTGGGCGAGGGCCTGGTCGATGGTCTCGTCGGTGACTCGTACGAATACATTGCCGATAAAGGACAATGCTTGAACATCAAGGCCTTGGGTCGGTTTCGTGTAAGTGGCTAGGTCAATTGCAGCGACCAGATTCGGTGCCATTTTGTCTAGTTTGGTGCGATTGGGACTTCGGAGAGAAGTTTGAATCACAGTACATGTGTCAAGGTGTGAGTCGTGAGTAAAAAGTTCCAGAACTAGCAGATGCCAAATCGCGGGGCGATCCGCCCCACCATGATGACGCCTTCAGTATCGACGCGCTTCACTCGCGTCGCATTGCCCATAGACGTCGGATTCTGTACCATCTGCGTCGCTACGCTTTTCACACGCATAAAAAGTACAAGTACAGTGCCAACTGATCTCTCAACTTTACCCATCTCAGAGATTGTAGCCCAAACTTGTTTTTTGCTGGCAAAACGTACATGCCGAGGTCTGAATTGAAATATTACTAGCTCAGAAAGCATAAAGTCCAAGTTTGAGTTCTTTGACACAGTCCTGCGCGTCAGATAAGACCTGAACTTACAATAAACATTGGACTACTAACACCCGGCGAATTACGTCTGACCGGAAAGATATTCCACCCGGATGGTCGGAATTGTGCGACCCGGATTACTACATAATAGTACATGTATGTACCCCACCTTGCCTGACCACTGACATAGGCCCAGCGAGTTTCGGTTACATGCATGTCTTCGTACGAACATAAAAGGATCAACTGATTCCCGCTCTGACCTATTCATCCAACTACCAAAACATCAGTCTGAACCTGTTCTTCTATTACAAGCATGTCCTACTCACCACCAGACTCCGCAAAGCCCTTTACCCTCAACGTCTCTGACCAAGACATCTCAGACTGGCGCCAGCTTCTTCAGCTCTCAAAGCTCGCCCCTGAAACTTATGAAGGACGGCAAGAAGACCGCCGCTTTGGCGTATCCCGCAAGTGGCTCTCTGATGCAAAGGACTACTGGCTGAACAAGTATGATTGGCGTGCACAAGAGAAACATATCAACTCGTTTCCAAACTATAAAATGCAGATCGAGGATGTCGATCTACATTTTGTCGCTGTCTTCTCTGAGAAGAAGGACGCAATCCCCATCATTTTCATGCATGGATGGCCAGGAAGCTTCATCGAGTTTCTACCGATGCTGACGCTGGTCAAAGAGAAGTACTCCACCAAGGACCTACCATATCATCTCATTGTACCTTCCCTGCCTGGTTACACTCTCAGTACTGTACAGTCGACCGAGAAGGAGTGGAAGCTGGAAGACACCAGTCGTGTCTTGAATCAGCTGATGCTGAACCTCGGCTTCGACAAGTACCTTGCGCAAGGAGGAGATGTGGGCAGTTTCACATCGCAACAGATGAATAGGTCGTACGATTCATGTGTTGGGATGCACCGTAAGTCAAGGCCATACCCGTGGGTTCCGCAGTTCTGATGTGCATCAGTAAACATGATGACCGGTCTCTCACAACCAAACGAAAACACTTCCATGAATGCTTTGGAAAAGAAATCGCTGGATCGTTCGATAAAATGGCGCGCAACTGGAACGGCGTACGCACAGGAGCATTCAACAAGACCCAGTACCATTGGTAACGTGCTAGCATCAAACCCGCTCGCACTTCTTGCATGGTAGGGTCCATTCTCTTCATACAGCGATGCACTGACTAAGGTCAATCAGGATTGGCGAGAAGTTCCTGCAATGGACGGACGAGGACCCTTCTCTTGATACAATCCTCACGGATATCTCTCTCTACTGGTTTACGGAAAGCTTTGCTCGTTCCATCTACCCTTACCGTGAGCTCTTCGGTGCAGGAGCAAAGGACTTCAAGCAAAACAACAAACCTGTCGGTTTCTCTTTCTTTCCCTATGAGCTAGCTCCAGGTATCAAGAGTATCATTGAGAAGGAAGTTAATCTGGTGTTTTACAAGCAGCACGAACGCGGTGGACATTTTGCTGCTTTGGAGAAACCCAAAGAACTCTTGGAAGATGTCGAGGAGTTTGTTAGCAAGGCTTGGAAGGTATGAGGTTGAAATAGCACTCAGAGTCGTGTCCAATGCGTGGAGAACGGCTGACATGATCAAGGGATCCGCTGTGTCGTCGAGATTGTAGAAATGCAATCGTCTATCCGCGGAGGGTGAATCCTACAGGTGCTGTTATTGCTTTGGAATTGGGTTGCATTATAGCTCTTATCTCTCAGGGGATGAAAACCTTGCGAATAAATACTGTTCCTGTTTCACCTACCACAAGTCGCTTGATGTCCGCGCGTCCAGCATCCCTCCCGACCATCGCAATTTGGGTGCAACGCCCACTTGTTTTCAAGAGGCTGTTTAGGTCCACCCTTCACACGGAGATCATTACTGATTTAGCGGCAAAACTCCGCACATCGGCGCCACTGTTCCGCATGGCGCAGCGTAGCGGTATTGTTTGCCTCCCAACTCTCAATGATGCAGGTGTCACGATCGCGCTCCCAGGGCAAGACACCAAATCGGACCGGATCTCCAAGAGGGCTAACCACCCGTATGAGAAACCCCCCGGAGCCCTGAGCTGTCTCTCTTTCTGCAACCCTGCATCTCTTTGAACATATGCTTTTTCTTGCTGTTTTGATGAACCAAAATGTAGAGAATTCGAAGCGCTATCTTTGTGATAGTCTGTATGTGTTCTCTTGTTATTGTTGCAGCAGAACGAGGGCGACATTGTCAAGTTCGCTGCATTTCAGGGAGCTGCAGCCCGGGATGTTTCTACGACTAGGTACAGTCGCGACTCCGTTAGCCCCGCTCCAGCACCATGATCGGCAACACATTCGGCAGCTTCCAGACTATGGAATTACGCATACGCAAGGTACTGTTAACCGTCGGCAATGCAACGAAAAAACAAAACAACGCTCGAATAAACGTATGATCACGTGGATTTGGCTGCGTTGCCTCGGTAATTCGTCACCTTACCCTAGCTTTTCGCATGCTTGCCATGGGTTTTCAAGTCGCCAAACATCGTTACGGCATCCACGGGCGGCACGTCCCTGCAGCTGCACGACAGAGCAACCCCATATTATGCCCCAGCTTCTGTTATTCGTTTAGTCTGCCCTAATCAAAGAGAGAAACACTAGTGATGTACCATGACGGAGACCCAGTTTTCGGTAGAATAAAGAGAAGAAGCATTCCCAGAGTCTTGGATGGAGGCTGGGAACCAAGCTTGCTCATCAATTTATTGTCAAGATGAAGCTCGAACAACCACTGCAGTGTGTACTGCTTAGTGCATCCTCCGTCTTCGCCGCTCCTCAATCATACCCCGCGAATGGCACGACACCAGCTGAGTTCAGCTCAAAATGTGCCGATGTTGCTTCTAAACTCGCTGTCGATGGTGCTTTCGTACACACGGCCGAGTTTGTCGCCGCCGGCACAAACTTGACACTCCCTCTATACGACCAGACATGCGCTGAAGCATCGCCGCCTATCACAGCAGACATTTGCCGCGTCGCGCTTTGGGTTTCGACGTCCGAGCGTTCTGGCCTCAACATGGAGGCATGGCTTCCGGCCAACTGGACAGGACGATTCCTCTCTGGTGGCAATGGTGGTCTGAACGGCTGCATCAAATACGAAGATTTGGCCTACGCGTCTGGTCTGGGATTTGCGGCTGTTGGAACCAACAACGGTCACAACGGCACGAGCGGCAAACCGTTCTACAACAACTCGGATGTTGTGGAAGATTTCGCATACCGAGCGTAAGTAGTCTTCCCCCATACTGTTCGCGTTTAACTAAACAACTACAGCCTTCACACTGGTGTTGTGGTCGGAAAGCAGATCACCGAAGACTTCTACGGCAAGCCGCACGACAAGTCCTTCTACCTTGGATGCTCCACCGGAGGAAGACAGGGATTCAAAATGGCTCAGGACTTCCCAGACGATTTTGACGGTATTGTTGCGGGAGCACCAGCCTTCTCTTTCAACAACCTCACTTCATGGAGCGGACATTTCTACACTCTCACGGGCCCAGCAAATGCTTCCACTTTCGTCCCCATGTCAAAGTGGGCGGTGGTGCACGCTGACGTCCTGAAGCAATGCGACAAACTTGACAACTATGAAGATGGCATCATCGAGGCTCCCTTGCATTGCAAGTACGACCCTTCTGGCTTAGCTTGTGTTGAAGGCAGCAACACCACTACCTGCCTAACACCAGAGCAGCTCGAGACCGTGAAGGCCGTCTACTCGCCACTCTTGAACGACAACGGAGACCTCGTATATCCCCGTCTGCAGCCCGGTGCTGAGCTTGGCGCAGCCGCTGTTCTCATGAACGGACAGCCCTTCCCATACACAACGGATTGGTTCCGCTACGCTGTCTACAACGACCCTACCTGGGACCCAGCGACAATCAGCTCAAAGGACTACGACAATGCCGCACGACTGAACCTCTTTGGAATTGAAACCTTCAAGGGTGACCTGAGCGGAGTGAAGGACCGTGGCACTAAAGTGATTCACTGGCACGGTGGTGCCGACTTCATCATCTCATCTGAGAACTCACCTCGGTACTACGAACACGTTTCTTCTACCATGGGTCTTTCTTCCGACGAGCTCGACGAATTCTACCGGTTCTTCTATGTCAGCGGAACTGGTCACTGCGGTGGAGGAGATGGCGCGCATGCCATCGGTCAAGGTCTTGGCGAGATCAACGGCTACGAGCCCAGTCACAACGTACTGATGGCTCTGGTCGACTGGGTAGAGAATGGAAACGCACCCGAGACACTGATCGGCACAAAGTTTGTAAACGACACGGAGGCTCTTGGCGTTGAGTTCGAGCGTGCGCACTGCAAGTTCCCCAAAGTCAATCAGTACCAGGGCGGCAACCCGGATGTCGTTGAGAGCTGGGAGTGCGTTGACCCATAGATCTGATCGAAGTATGATATGGGTAAATGTAGCAAAAGTGAATCGAGACCCTTATTTCACATCCAATAAGAAATCGTAAATCCACATACATCGTTTCAACGTGCCATATTTATCACTCACCAGCTGTCGTTAAACGCACACAGAATGAAGTATGGACTACTCTAGTCGCGAACCTATGATTTATAACTCTCAATATGAGGTATAGGTGTCGCTTTACGTCAGGCATCAGTATTCATCTCATAGAAGGTAGTCTCTAACACGTGCAGTGGATATGATTATTGCAATCCAACTTCTTTGGCAACAGATGACAAGTCACTCAAGATTCCCATATTTCAAGAGGCTGGCGTAAGACAAATTGCAGATATGACGAAGTCTTATCAGATGCAGCTGAAAACAGTTGTTCATACGGTAACGGTAGTGGAGTAACTAATTGGAACAGAGATGGATTGCATCCTTTTGCATTTGTATACAATTTCAGCTCCTACGGGTTTTTTATAGTTCTACTGTTTTCTTACATAGAACTTGCACTGTCTCTATAGACCCTGAAAGGTGAAAGGGAAGTACAATAAGTTTCACTCCCCGGATAAGAGTACTAGTTGATCAGCACAATAGTGTAAGCTGGACAGAGTTTGACGTCATCCACAGCTGCAACCCTAGCATTACTTCGCTCTATCAGGGCATTTAACTTGTTGCCTTCAATAAAAAGCCCTACCTAAGCTTTACTCAAGTGCTCCAACACGCCGGTTATTCTAGACGATCCATCCTCTCCGCACAACGCGACCCATCAAAGAGTCCCTAATAACCACCTCAAGTTTCCCTCCACCAAATTCGTCTCCAAACGAATCACTAAAACGGTTTCGTTCGTCGCAACCCCTCTTCGAGACCCAGCGCAACTCGTGCATTCGTCCGAGTCGGATCGTTACGAAACACTCGTTGATAACACAACCACCATCCATAAAGAGTCTGCGTTCAAGTCTCGAAGCCCAAATCCTTTACCGACTCTTGGTGTATGTGCAAGCACAATGTCTTTAGGCAAGCGCAAAGTACATCCTGAAGACGAGATCGCGGGTAACAGCTCGGATCAACAATCGCCGGCGAGCAAGAGAACGCGAACACTGTTGGACGATAGTCTTTCACAAGATTCGTTCACACACCCGTCTACGCCATCAAAGCAGTCCAATGATCGTCAAGTAGAAGCGTCGCCGGGAAGCTCTTCACCACTGTATGGGTTCCCTACCACGCCGACACCTCAAACGAAAGTCGCCGTCACCATTCCTAAAACCGTCTCCAAGCTGACCCCCGCTTTCACCACTCCACTTTCAACCGTGTGTGGACACTCAATGCATCCCGCATACGGAGACTTCTACGCCAAGACCATATGTCCAATGTGCCTTGCGGAAGCTTCTATGAACGGGCTTCAAGGTATGCAAGACCGGATCAACGATGTCGGCGGTCTGGTCGAATGGCAAAAGATGCAGAACAAGTACCATTACAAAGCCTATGAGTGGATGCCGACCAGTGGCAAGGAGAAGAAGAAGAAGAAGCGAACCGCCTATACAGATGCAATTGGAACAGATGTTAGCTACAGACACAGAAAGAGGCAGCTGGTTCACCTGATAACTGAACTAGAAGCTCTCTCCGAGATGGAGGCAGTCTGGGAAGCGAAGCAGCTTCCGGATAACAGCAACGTTTACATCGAGCACGTACGACTGAGGAAGCAGTACAGTGCTACAGCTGCGCTACACTGTTATTACGATACTGTGGACAACGGATTCCTCGGTCGTATAGAAGATGACTGTAATTATATGAGCCAAAGACTCGGTCGATGTTGGAAGATTGCATCTGAACCGGGGTTTCCTGATTCCGAGAACATTCGAGATACGGGAATGGAGGAGAAAAAAAGAAAAGCCCTCGAGCGTCATACAAAGAGTTTCAAGTGGGAAACGTTCACGAAAGACCAGCGGAAATATATCGAGAGCTCCAAGATTCCTAAAGTTTACGAAACCCCCAAGACTCGTAAGACTCGTAAGACTCGTAAGACGAGAAAGTCCGATAGCACAAACCTGCTGCCGACTCGAAAGCGCCGACGCGAAGATGCAGGCGTTTCTTTTAACGAAAATGTCTACGTTCGCACCGACGCTGACGTGGATGTTCTTCGGAAGGCGGCGCCGTGGCTTTCCGAGGATCTTCTCGGAGAGCCTGCTTCGAAAAAGCCTAGAATGGGCATCCTACGCACTACTCGTCTCAAGCGATCAGAAGTTTCGAATATAATCACTCCTCTCGATAGGGATCCCAAGCCTACTCGCCCTCATCATGTGATTCCACTGAACCGCAAAGATGGACCTGTTAGAGACGTGACCAAGAGTAGGATGGGCCGAAGGAGGTCAAGTTATCATCGAGGACAATGGGCAGTCCCAGAAGGAAGCGAGCTCATCGATACTAGTGGGTATCGCCGGGAGTTCAAGCATCATGAGGCGATTGTCGAAGGCCTTCGAAAGGAAGCCGTGAGAATGGATGACAAGGACCTGGTTGAAAAACCTGGGAGACGTTCCGAAGACACAGAGATGAAGGATACTCCCGTGGCCGAGCGGGAAGCTATGCCACAATCGTCGCTTTCTTTGCTTCCGTCATGGAGCTCCGGCGGCCGGCTTCTGCGTAGGTTCAGCTGCCATTGGTACTTGGGCAGCTTTGGTACTCCGACACCCTGAGCATGGCACAGGTGAATATTCGGCAATGTGATAGCACCCGGATTACTAAGCCTAAGGCTGAGCTACAAGTGGTAAGTCGTTCCGATTATATCAAGGTATGTGTTTCGCGCTAATGGTTGTTTAGTTGCCCTGCTCAAGCGCTGGTGGGTAACCTGGGGTACCTTGGCGAAGCGTCGTCAAAACGACGTTTTCCCAACGGTCAACTCCACTTCGCCATCCCCATAGCTACATGGCAATTTTAGATACTCGTTTCAAGAGGTTGAACAGCCGTCAAATACAGCAGCTCAGCCTTGTGTTTCAATGCAGGGTACGGATCAAAGGGTTTTACCAAGGATTACCCCGCAAACCGCCGACGGCGCCTTCCCGGAAATGATGCTTGAGTATCTGCTCACAACGCTCCTGCCCAGCACGGACAAGAGATGCCTATTCGGCGTAATTGCGACGCCTCCAGGACAATCATGTCATACAGATTGCGGTATACGGGCTTGATTGAGAAGGGTGCATCATCATGGTGCGTATAAAAGGTCCTGTCGTCTTACGCAAGCGCGACTTCTCTATCTAGGCCGCGTTCCTAAATCTCTGAGTTGTTTTCAATCACCATCGTGAATTGCACTGCATCATGCGAGTCCCTATTGCTCCCATTATTTTCCTCGCCTCTCTGGCGTCCGCTCGTCCTCAGGAGCAGCCAGCGTGTGCTTCGCCGTCGTGTACCGAAACAGCGGAAGTTGTTCCTGCTAGACGTAACATTCCTCTACCTACACCAACACCCGAACCCAACGCGAACCCCCAACCACCACCACGCCAAGTCATCAACGACACAGCCATCCTGAATGCCCTAGCCGGTACCTACTCCCTGGTAAACACATCTAGCACGCTCAATGGCGTTTCCATCCCGGACCTCCCTTATGGCGAAGCCCCAGTCGGCCTCCTCATCTACACAGCCACAGGTTTCATGAGCGCAACCATCACCGCCACAGAACCAGAGTTCCGTCCCAACCTTACCTTCCCTTACCAAGCCAACGACACAGACGCCGATTGGGCGCAAGTTGGCAAGCATAGCATCGGGTACGCTGGACCTTTCCGTGTCAATGACGAGCTGCCTGCTACCGAGACTGAGGGTCAGATCTTCCATGGTCCGCTAACGGTGGCCAACGTGCCAACGTGGGTTGGTCAGAATCATAGGAGGAATTACACGGTCGTTGAGGTGGAAGAGGAGGGCACGATTGTCAAGTATCTGAGAATTGGAAGTGAACGTGGTGGAGGATATCGTGGTGTGCTTTGGTGGAAGAGGCTTGCTTGAGGATTTCATCTTGCACTTTTCCTACACTCATCAAAAGGCGTTATGATAGAGTCACAATAGCCCATGACTGTAAGGAGATTAAGAGAATTGGAAAGATCTTCGACCTCTGCTTGTAGATTTTTGACCATCATCACAACAAGGTTATGATATGTACCAAAAAAATGGAGATCGCGACCTTGAACAATCCTCTCTTTCGGCATACGACCACATGATGGAACATGAGTTCATGCGGCAGATACGCAAAACAATCATTGCGTCGGGATGTGACTCTTTATTCCTGTGACACTGGTTAAAAACTAGCTCTATACTAATGGTTGCTATGATACGTCAAAATAGGGAGGTACTCGCATATTCCAGCTCACCACCTCCGTAGCGAAACGTAGTCCAGCGTACCATGAGAGCAACACCCACGGAGTGGCATATTCGATCTTGCCATTGAGAGCCCGCCTGTACAAGAACCTGGATTAGGAAGGCGTGTACCTATTAAGCAGGTGCAAAATCTCAGCTATTGCCGGGTCTGGAACGACTTGTCCTGTTACATGGGAAGTGTTTCGAGATGCCTAGTCATCTGACTTCATTTCCACGTCTTTTGCATCTTTTGTCTCCTCCTTGGCCGTTGCATCTCCCTTGGGCTCTTTGTCCACAGCCTTGCTGTCATTTGATTTCTCAGACCCTTCGTCTTTCATGTCGTGATCCTTTGCATCTGTGCCAGTGGGTACTTTGGGCTCAGGGCTCTTGTGATCAAGGCTCGGTCTGCCGATGGCTCCTTCAATGTTGAGCTTCCCCTGCTTTTGAGGGCCCGTGTCCTCCATGCCAATGACTTCTGGACCTCTCGCATGCGGTGCTTCTTCTTCGCCTTCGACCGTGTCCATGATGGTACCTCCGCCCTCCATCTCACCAAACGTAGTTCTCGTTGGACTGGTGGTCATGCTGTGGGGGTTATTGAGGACAATTCCAGCCTCTTGCTCTTGACGCAGGAGCTCGCCCTGGGTGACAGGCCCCGTAGACGGCAGCGTCTCGCCATCGGGATGTGACGAAGCAATCTGGGCTACATTTGCATTGGGAGATTCGGCTCGCTGGCCGCCGCTGAGCATTCCAACTGTCACCGTCTCTATCCGACCAGCACCATTGGGACCGTCTACCATCTCTGTGCTCTCTGAGATCAGCTCATTCTGGCCACGGTTCTGCAGCCAAGGGATGGGTGTAAGCAGGGCGCCGCCGAGAGCTTCGTCTGAGCCCAAGGGCGCGGCCTGGAGGGTGGTAGATGTTGTGCCATTGAGCAGTCCGCCAGAGGTGGGCAACACGGCTTGTGGAAGCGGGAAGATGGTGAGGGGCGAGGACACGGAGACGACGCGGTCGAGGGCGCGAAGGTAGGGTGGAAGGTATCGGTAGCGCTTCTTGGGCTCGAGGACGAGCTCAGCTAGACGCTGGACGGTATGTGGGGGATGTTTTGCAAAGTTGGTGGAGAGGGTCGACCGTATCGATGAGTAGAAGGTGGTGATCTCTGGTGGAACACTTTGTGACGCGGTGGAGGCGAAGAAGGCGGGCACGGGCGGTCGCGGGGGCGTGGTCGGCGGTGCATTTTCCTTGTCGGTAGCATGCGAGTCTTGGCTGGATATGGCGTTGGAGGTGTTGGGTCGCGAGGGGAGGTCCGTGGTTGCTGATGTGGTTGGTCGTGGATTTGAATCTGCAGGCAGCTTGGGGAAGTCGCTGATGATCTGGGAGAGTCAGAAGTGCGAGGGCCAAGGCTGGGTGGCATAGAGGTACCTCGTCAAGGCGATGCAAGATATACTCGAGTGTCTTTGGCCATTCTGCTCTGTCGGCGAGCGCGTTAGCATCCACGCATGATGGACATGTGTCGAGCGGTGGAGAACCTACGAGTCGAGGGAGCCGTCCTCGGCAGCTCTCTGCAGGATTGACTCTGCTGCAAAGTCATCAGACGACGTCATGGCTGCAGCGCGTGGTGTTGGTGGTGCGGTCAGAAGCGCGACTCGCGATACCGCTGCTTTTCGCGGGCCGATAATGGGGACAGTCGAAACGGCGACCCTGTGCACTACGCGTCCTTAATGATGTCAGATATGGGCGTGTGATTGGTCGAAACAATTGACCGGAGCAGCTGTCGGAATCGCGCAGGATGACGGTAGATTGTCGCTCCACTGCACCGTGGTAATCCAAGGCCTGCGCCACACATGCGCAAACTATAATTAGCGGTGGCTGGCCAATGGGCGCGGGCGAGGCAGGCTGCTCAGCAACGCTGGGGGCGGTGCATGTGGTTTGTGGTTCGACAGGTGCTGAAGCCAAGGACAGGCAGCTGAGAGGGTCATGCCATTCCTTTCTCTACTTGTAGCCGGCAGCGTGCACGACGTGCGCATTCTCTCTCTCTCTTGTTCGTATTTGCACACTACGCACGGAAAAGTGGCATGCGAACACGCTCCGACTAGGTGCTCCCATCGCAGCAGAGGTAAACACGGAGCAGCGGGCGGGTCTTACGGCGAGACCCCCTTCAGCCTTTCTCCACACCGGCCGGGGCTGTCCCAGCACCAGCGCTACTTTGCGCACCAGGCCAGGCACCTCAGCATCCACCCACGGCACCCATCTCCGCCTGCTCTCTTCCCACAACACGACCACTTTCCACTTTGCCGCTCGCTACTGCTGTCGTCGACCATCGCCATCGCGCCTGCACCACGACATCCTCCCCCACACTCCGCTCCGTCCTTTTCGCTGTTGCTTCTTCGGCCTCTCCGCATAGCCAAGATACTAGTTTCAGAGACGCGCGCTCTCTCAGTAGTCTCAGTCCCCCGAACGCAGCGACTCCTCTGGTTTCAGCATTCCTCCCACCGCCCATCCGTTGTCTCACCCACCCCGGCAGCCCTACAAACCCCAAGCCGACACAGGTCGCAGTTTGTCTGTGTCTGCGCCGCAAAAGCAAGCCCGCACAACCGCTCGTCTCTATATCCCCACGCTCCAGCCGCCCATCGCGGCTGCCAACATAGCCAAAATTACTCACCACGAGGCCCGCACATCCCTCCTAGGAGGCCAACCCCTCGACCACAACTACGCGCCCTATCCCACCACGACGTATCCACCGCCATACCAACCGCAGCCCTTCGATACCCAACCTGGGGGGTATCACCACCGCGAAGGCTTCCCCACCACCCTTCCACCCGTCGTACGACGCCCGCCGAGGATGTACATTCCCAACACGCGCTGGACCTGGGCTTTCATGCTCACGGCCATCTGCCAGGTCGGCATCGCCCTCGCCCTCGAGTCGTACGTCTTCAGCAAGTTCCAGAATGAGATCCATTTCGCTGCCGAAGGTGCTGGCGCCAACGAAACCCGCACCATTCCCACCTTCCTCGCCGTCTTCATGTTCGGCTACATCTACCAATTATTCCTCACCTGGGATGCTCTGCGCATGAAGAACACCATTCAGGTCATTGGACTCGTCCTGTACAACATCGGCATTCTCGTCTATGCCGCCATTCAATTCGACCAGATCAAGGACGCTGCTGACGACCTAAACACGCGCCGCTTCATTCCCAAGGATTTCTGGGAAGACGTCAAGCCCATGCTCATCGCCCTACCCGTTCTTATGGCGGTCGCTACCGTCATTTTTGCTTTTGAGGCATGGAAGCTGTACGATGAGTTCGCTTGGACCATCTACAAGCGCATCAGTGCCGACACTAGACTGAAGAGGCGCTATTTGACCTACCAGGTACTGCCTACCATCTCTCATCCAAGTCCGCCCTACTGACTACGACATAGATTTACATCGCCCTCCTCAAGTTTGACTTCTTCTTCTTTCTGGCCTTCACCGTCCAGTTTCTGGTCGTCGTCAAAAACACAAAGACCGTTGAACTGATCCTCACCGCTGCCGCCCTCGTTATCACTTTCTTTCTTTTGTTCCTTGCCGCGTGGTGGGTCCGCCGCGAGTCTGTTGCTGGTATGATCGGCATTATCGTCGTCTACTTCATTGCCTTGGGCTACTTCTTGTTCAAGCTCATCCGAATGTGGGTCGCCGATGCAAACCGCCAGGAGGACTACAAGCCAGCCCGCAAGTCGCTGACTGCCTTTGCCATTCTCACAATCCTCTTGCTCATCATCACCATTGTTACAGCATGCTTGTGCACCCACAACTTCAACAAGGGCCTGAAGCCTCATGTCAACGACAAGATTGTGCAGAGCGACAAGACATACAATACAGAAATGCCGTCACTGAGCGGACCTGCGCCATCACAACGGATGGAAATCGACTAGTCGACCTTTTTCATACCCATCTACACAAAATTTACGACATGACTTCTTGGATACCTGCTTTCTGCGAGCATAGCTTGATCATACCCGGATGAGATCAGCGGGACTGGCGTTCTTTCATCTAGGGATTCTTTTTGGGCTATATGCGGAGACATCAGGTTGAAGACGAGACGGATTGCAATGTGGCATCACGTACGAGGAGTTATACCAACCCGCATTGATTGTTTCCTTTTTCTTCATTTAACGACCCTTTGTACAACAACTGTCGGTCCTTTTTGTAACTAGGTGTCTGATCATATTATACCCCACCATGAACAGACGAGCTCGGAATTGAATTGAATCTCATTATGAACTTTTACTCCGTTTTACCAATAGACCGTATCTATATTAAGTTTGTGCAACTGAATAGTAAGCTGCGTCTACCTGCATAATGACTTGTGTTCATGGTCGAGACACGAGTCGGGATCAAGGGGTACAAAGCTAAGCTCCCCGACCGCCATGTGCGGCGCGGACCCTGCTGCACTAACGACATCATAGGTCCCGCAAGCTCACCAAACTATCTCGCTGGACTTACTCGACTTTCTTTTTCTCTCACACACACACACTTCTCCACTCTTCTGCCCTTTTTAAAGCGGTGTGTCGCTCGCTCTCAGGCGCATATATATTGGTCGTCTATCTCAATTGCTGAGAATATAGAAGTTTAATCACCGACAAAATGGCGTTTCGCTGGTAAGTGTGAGAGCGGTGGAAGACCACGAGAGTTTAGGAGCAGATGATACTGACACCAAAGATAGGTACCAAGCGAAGCTTAGGACTTCTCCCTACTTGACGCAGAGTATTACTACGGCGGTATGCAGACCTTTCGCTTTGAATTGCGATCCCTAGTCTCCTTCCTGCGCAACGCAATGCGACTCGATACATGGCCAACGAGCGTGTCGATAAGCACCAAACCCGAGCCGAAACGAGGATATAGGAGGGATTGAGCAGTTGCAATGCAGATTGACAGGAGACTGACATGACGCGCGACAGGTACTCTTCGCAACCGGCGACACAATGGCACAGCAGGGTGTAGAACGTCGTGGACTCGATAAGCACGATCTCGCACGTACAGGACGCATGGCCGCCTACGGAGGATGTACGTCTTGGCTCTCCTTTTATCCTCCTATCGCTACTCAAATCCCCACATCCCCACTCCGGCCATTCCCCAAACTAACCCTCCCCCAGGTATCTTCGGCCCCGCAGCAACAAAGTGGTTCGACTTCCTCGTCAAGCGCGTAAACCTCAAATCTACAAACGGCACAATTGTCGCGCGCGTAGCCTGTGATCAATTCCTCTTCGCACCCTGCAACATGGCTCTCTTCCTGTCCACCATGGCTTACATGGAAGGAAACTCGCCAGTGCAGCGTCTCAAGGACGCGTACCTACCCGGTTACCAGAAGAATTTGATGGTGTGGCCTTGGGTCCAGTTCACCAACTTCAAATACGTACCCGCGGAGATGAGGGTATTGGTTGTCAACGTCATCTCATTGGGCTGGAATTGCTACTTGAGTTCGTTGAACTCGGCGGGTGGCACCAAGCCCAACCCTCCCGTGGGTAAGACCAAGGAGGGCGGTCAGCTTCCTCCTTCATAGACGCGCTTCTACGATTCTACTGGGCGATTTGTGTGTTTGGTCAGTAGCGGAACTGCAACATTTGCCAGGGTCTTTTCTTGTTCAGAGTTGGGCATAGAACGGGACAATTGATATCCTGGGTTATTGAGTCGGGTTATATAGAAAGGGTCGGATTTGTTGAAGTCGAGTTGAATTTGATCGTTTCGGTGAAATAGTCTTGTTTTAATGCTTAGTTGACATTGGTGACCTTGTTCTGCTACCCATTAATAACAGATTGCTGTGACTACTTCGAATAGATGTCAATTACACCCTCGAAGAATCGGATATGGTCTACCATGTTGAGATACATACTACAGCCTAGTTTACCATTGTGCTCAGACGCCAGCTATACAAAGGCAAAGCCACATGCCAATACAAAATATGTTTTGCATCATTACGCGAGTCGATGTTACTCTACACACATGCGGCAAGTAGTGCAACACCAACACATCAAGCACATTAAACCTCCTACGGATGCATAGTCAAAAAAATCGAACATTCCAACATATCAATTCCACTTTCCACCGCCATCGCCCAAAGCCCTTGTATGCTACACTACAACTACGACTACACTTGAACAACCATCCTCAATCTCTTCCTACAAGAAAGGAGAGGGAGTTGAGAGAGTAAAGATTAACCTGGCAACGTAAAACCCAAACAATCTTCGTTGCCGATCCAATGTCAGAAGAAAAAAGGAAATAAAAACGCCTCCTAATGCAATAATTACCTCAGCATGCCGCACGCTGATGATGAAAAAAACAAACAGAGCCGACATGTGCGTGAATATGTGGTATCCAGCAAGCACAATCAAGAACGAAGAGACAACGAGTTGTGAGGGTGGGAATGGAAGGGAGAGAGAGAGAGGGAGGAAAGGAGAGTGAAAAGAATGCGCCGATATGCTCCCAAACACCACAACCAAGGTCAGACAACCAAATCGTTCCAAACACCCATCTGGCCCGGCCACCCGTCCTGCTGTGGCTCACTCTTTCCAAGACAACCTCTGCGATTATCCTTCTTCACGTCTAGCACTTTATCGGCTGCTGGTTCTCTGCTTGCCCATGCGCCGGAAGAAGTCCATAACCTTCTTAGAGCTACCCGAGCTTCCCTTGTTACCAGTGCCTTGTTCGTCGTATGCGTCTGCAAAGCGCCTACTCTTTTGTAGCACGCCCTTTCTCTGCTGCTGGTTCAACTCATCACCACCCATGCCTGCTGGGTAAGGGTTTGATGGGGTCCTTTGGCTGAACTGCTGTGACTGTGTCATATCGGCTTCTGAATCGTCAGTGGGGTGGCGGTAGGGGCGGTTTCCTTGGGCAGATGGATGAGTTCCTTGCGGGTTAGGGAACTTCTCGTCAAACTCGGGTTGTGAGTGGTTGTAGCCAGCAAACTGGGTCTGGTTTGGTGGCGCTGATGAGGGCCCAGCGGCGCTCGTGTTAGGCTGTCTTATCCTAGAGTTGCTGTCATGCTGGCCATCGTAAAAACCGGGCAATTTGCTTCCTTGGGTGCTCTGACTAGGAGACCTGGATTCCGAACCGCGACCGAAAGCCATCCCGCCAGGGCGCGAGCTAGCGCGAGGACGAGCACTGGAGCCGCGTCGCTCGTGGGAGCCTTGAGCTGGCATACTTTCCCGTCCAGAAGAGAAGGTCTTCGAGAGCGAAGACGGAAGAAGTGAGAAGCGACGGCTGCCTTTCGGGTTCTCGCCAGAGCCACCTGTGTTTTTTCTGGAGAAGCCAAAGGAAGTGCGTCGGCTAGATTCCATGCTCGCTCTGGGTCCAGCTGATAAAGAAACTGCCTCGTTGGACATGGGTCCGGCCATGGATGTGGGAGGGTAGCTCTTCTGCTTCTTCTCCTCGGGATAACCGCCATAGGATCCTGTGGATGTAAAAGACTCCTTGGGATCCTGGGTGTAAGAAGGCTGGCGGCCGGAAAACATGGATGTCATGCGGCCAAGAGTGGAAGAAACCGTGTTAGACCTCCTGTGACCACCAACTCCGCCATGTGGCCCACCGACTTGTATGGACTGTACTCGCTGAGAGCTCGACTGGCCAATGTTGGGTGGCTCCGCCGCATCAGAAGTCTCCTGCTGTGCGTAAGGGGCCGAGATTGAGTATTGTTTACCCTTTGGTTGCGAGAACCGTCCTTCTGCGGTGGTCTGGGCCACTGTCGCTACAGATGGTTGTCCGTAAGAGTTTCCTCGCGACGGTATTCTCGATGTGCCTATGGCACCACCAGTAGATGGGCGCGTAGCTGATGGAGGTGCATTGCCGAATGCGGTGTAATCGGAAACAGATCGTTGAGGTTCTTGTCTTCTGTTGTTCGAGTTGTAAACTGCGCCAGAAGAAGAACGAGGAGGTTTGGCGCTCGTGGCAGACTGGTATCCGTCCGTAGGAGGTACTTCCGCCTCTTTACCGCGTGCCTTCGGAGTTGTTTCGACTGGAGGGGATGCCTCGCCGCGAGCGGTTTGCGAGGATGGCGCGACATACTCGACTTGCACGGTTCGTCGCTTGGTATCGCGGGTGGTCTTTGGCTTCTCGGAGGGTGCCTGGTTGATCGCATCGCGCTTCGTCTGGAGGCCGCCAGGCGCAGTCGGTGCCGTATGTGGCTTCGTCGGTTCGCGAACAGAGGCGCTTCTGGCGAGTGAAGGCTGCGGCTCGAATGTGTCTTCTGTGGCTATGTCAGCACATGTATGCCTACTTACACATGAACACGAAAGCTTACTTGAATAGACAGATGCCTGTTGAGCATCGGCCGCATTGGTGTTGCTTGAGGTGATGAAGCCGACAACGTGCGCGTAGTCAGCTAACCAGCTGTGACGCGCAACTTCAAACAAGTCCGCCCGTTTACGTGGGTCCGGTACAAGGATGCGTTTCAGCAAGTCTCTCGCGTGTGGTGTGACGTATTCGGGGAAGGTCAACGGCGTGGATACAATGTACTTGTAGAGCAAGTTGATGTTGTCACCCTCGGGGTTCGCTGGATCGTCATCGAAAGGTAGGTAGCCAGCCAACATGGCATACTGTATGAGATTAGAATGTGTGTGCATGTTTGTGTGTAAATGTATGCTTGAATAAACTTACCAAGATGACACCACAACTCCAGACATCCACTTTGCGTCCGGTGTAGAGTGAATCACTAACAACCAATTCAGGCGCAGCGTAACAGGGACTTCCGCAGCTGGTCTGCATAAGATCACCTCTTCGAGCTGCATCGGTTCCTTCCAATCCCAGGGATCTTATGTAGTCCTTATCTCCCAATCTGTACTCAATCTCCTCGCTGAGCTCGTCGTTGGGGTCGAAGGTGTTTGCGAAACCGAAATCGGTGATGATGATGTTCTTGTTACGGTCGAGCAGCAGGTTCTCGAGCTTCAAATCTCGATGCACGATACCCTTGCGGTGGAGATATCCAACACCAGATATGAGTTGTGAGAATAGCTTCCTTGCCGGACCGTCCTTCAGGTAGCGATGATTTAGGATGTAGTCGAAGAGTTCTCCGCCTGAAGCATACTCCAGAATGATGCCGATGTGACGCTCGGTCTCAACCATCTCGTGCAGGCGCACGATATTGGGGTGGTCCAAGCCGCGTAGGATATGAATTTCACGGTATATCTTTTGCAGACGGTTCGAGTTGCTTCCAAGCGTCTCTCGCCGTATGAGCTTGATGGCAACTTCGACCGAACTGTCTCGTTTCCAGCCCATCTTGACCTTGCCAAACTCACCCTCACCAAGCGTCTGACCGAGGATGTAGTTTCCAAACTTGGATCGCTTCGCGTTTTCAGACTTGGAGTGGTCCTGTCTGCTCTTGGCTCCGACTGTAGCTCCGCCACGGCCGCCATCGTCGACACCCTCGCTGCCGACCAGACTGAGTCCTGTGATGGGAGTAAGATCTGCGCCAGAGGTCACGGGAGGGCCGTCGCCTTGGCGTGCTTGTGCGCGGGCGATGTCATCTTGGGTGTCGGAGACGACGATGCGGTTTATGACGGCGCTCTCCTCGCGAGGCAAGCTGGTTCCTACAGGCGTCTGGCCAATGGCCGTGGCTGAGCGACTGTGGCCTGGCTGGGCTCTGCTCGAGCTGGCTGGGGGTCGTGAGCTGGGGCTGTCCTTTTCTCGCCGGCGTGACTCTTCGCGTGCCCGGCTGGGCTGTGATGAAGAGGATGCAGAGTTGGGGGTGCGGTGCGACGAAGTCCTGGGCGGCGCCATGGGACCACTGCCGTTGGTGGTGGCGGTCGTGTTGTTCATCTGAGGAGGCGTGTTCGGGGACGCGCCATTACTGGGTCGTCGCGAAGTCGGTCGGCGAGAGTTACCGGGCGAAGCTGCGGCGGGCGAGGACTGCTGTGTTTGTTGATAGTACTGCTGCTGACCGTGCGGCGGCTGCGATGCCACTGCGGCCATAATTATATGGAGATGCGACGTGCAGGAGTATTTGCAGCAGCACGGCGAACGGGATGGTAGACTATGTTATCGGTCCTAAGCTGCGCTGGCAGTATTTGTGGGCGAACCTCAACTGGCGGTGTTGAGCTGTCGAATGGGCGATGGCGGGGAGGTGAGGTGCTCCTAGTTCCCGCCGAATCTCCAGACAGCTGCAGGTGGGCGCAACTGGCCTAATCGGAGCTTTTCGCGGTGCGGTGTGTTTGAACGTCTTGCAATTGGGGCCGGCGCGGGCGTGGGCGTGGACGTGGGCAGAGCGCGACAAGACTCGATTACGCTGGCGTCTTGGGCGCGGTCAGAAGGGAACACGAAGGATTCCTGGCGCGATGGCGGCGAGCAGCAAACCCCTTCACATGCGCGTGGGCAGCGAACGTGCAGTGGTGGAGTGCACGAAGGTCGGCCGTCTTGAACAAGGCAACTCTGCTACCTCCCGGTGACAGCGCGTTCGGCTATCTAACGGTCGCGGCGATGTGCAGCTCGACTTGGACGTGTTGATTGACGTGAGTGGAGAGAAGAGAAAGCGCGGCTGAGGTTGGTCTTGACGGTAATTTCGGTAAAGGCTGTGGCTTGGGAAAGGAGGCAGATGCACATCATCGACATGGGCTCGGCATAAACCAGCCCGCCAAAGCAATGACTCTGGTCTGCTAGATGCGATGCTAGGTTAACGACGTGCTATCCACATGGTCGTCAAATTGCACCCAACTACAGTGAGCCAGGCTGTCCTGGCGCCAGCTCCAACATTACGGTCCCGACTGACGCCCTCACGCAGGCGCTGTCCTCGCTCTCGCAACGCGCCTATCTTGGATGCCTCTTCTCGAATAGGAGTAGCAGGCATGGGTCGCTGTTTCATACAGCACCGACCCGGCACGCGTAAATTGCCTGTTATGCGCTCGCCCGCCATGTGCTCAGGTGCTTCAACTTGGGCAGGTCCTCGATATAGATCTGTCGGGCTCCTTGAATGTCGCTTCATCTCACGCACATGCATGATCCATTCTGATCATCCCGTGTCTTTCACCCATTCACCCGCACCATCAGTCTGATCACTGTGTCTCACGCGTGGCCGGCCGGCCGCCGTAGCGACGCGTCCAGCAAAAGCAACATGGTAAACATCAACAACAATCTTGAAACTCAAATCCGCTTTGGTGCTGACGGTTATGACGCGCCCCTGCCTCCATCTGACATGCACAGCAAGGACATCCACGCATGTAGCAACAAAGGTACAAGTTCGCGACCACACGGTACGGAGAACCGCTGTCACAGTCTCAGCCGCCCACGCTGGAAGGAAGGCGTGCCCTGCATGTCTCTGCATTCCTCGGCAGCACGTCCAATCAAAAGTCGCTGTCACAACTTCACCTCGCCCGTTTCCAGTCTTAGGATGCATTGCCTACTGTACCTCTCAGGGTGAGGCTAGATAGACTTTTCCACAAACCCAACTTGCGCCGTCTGCTCTGTACAATTTTCCCCATCGAGCCAGCGTTAGGCCAGTCTTCGGAGATTACACGTTGGTGCCTCGATCGCCCTTGCCGTGCGACCAGCGGACCCACCTTCCCGCTAGCACCGTTACTCGACTCTTGCGCCATCTCCAGATGCTCTCGCTGGCCCTCGCGCTGGCAATACGAGCCCCCACTGCCCGACCTTGACGTCACATTGCGGAAATGCTCGCGAAAAGCTTCATCTCCTTTCCACCGCCCTACGGCCCATCTTGCGGAGCATTTCTCCAGATTGCAACGGTCGGCTCCCGGTAGCATGGATCCGCTGTTCGCGTTGGGCATAACCAGATCTTCTTACATCGCTTTGAGTTTGATCACATTTCGTTGTAAGCTCTCGATTGTAACCTTCCAAGTCATTATCCGCTTGAGTTATATGTCAAGACAATGTTGAGAAACTACCGCTTCCAAGGCTGCCAGTGAGGGAGGTTGTGATGCGGAAGCGACGGAAGTGACAGGATACGATGTGGTTGGAAAGCGACAAACGAACAAACGAATGTCACTAGAATCACGTTGGACGGGAAGGCGACGGACCAGAAACATGCTTCCAGATCACTAGCACCAAAGTCTTGAAACCTCTGATGACATCTCTTCATTAAAACTTTATTAAGCGGGCAATCCACTAGGAGTATCCATATATAGCCAGATCTCATTAGATCTTGATCTCGTTCGGGAGACCAACCTCTAGGATGTCAACACCCTTTTGCAGCTCACTCTTGCCAGGCATCTTGTTCCTGCGCATAAGCTCTGCTGCTTGGGTCATGTATGGATCTTTCATCATACTCGCTACGGCAACAACAGTCTCGCCCTTGGTGTAGTATGCGACAAATGACGGCTTCTCCGGCTCGCCTTGCAGAACCACGTCGTCGTAGCCGTTGACCGTGTTGCCGCAGTATCGCAGCTGCGAACCCAATGCAGACCAGAAGACAGGGATAAAGGGCTTGGCTTTGGATCCGGGAGTGTTGATGGTATTGGCCACTGAGCGGCCGGCGTTTTGTGCGACGTTCCAGTGTTCTATCCGGACTGGTGTGCCGTCGCCTCCCGGACCATGGTAGGGGTATGTTGCGATGTCACCAATAGCATAGACATCCTTCAGACCGTTGACTTCAAAAGACTCGTTCGTCTTCAAAGATCCATCTTTCTCAAGCGTAACACTTGAGTTGTCCTTGAGGTACTCAGTCGCAGGAGCAACACCAACACCTTCAATAACGAGATCGGCCTCAAGTGTGGTTCCATCCTTGAGATGAACGGCACCGACCTTGGAAGAATCGCTCTTTGACGGTGTGGCCTTCTCAACGCTGGCGCCCATCTTGAACTTGACGCCGTTCTTCTCGAGAAGACCGCGGAAGATTGCGCCGACCTTCTTGCCCATTACGCGCTCCATTGGTTCTGCAGCCTGATCAGTTTGGACACAAATTAAGAGGAACGCGCGACTTACCCTCCTCCATACCAATGATGGTGACATCGTTCTTCATGCCGGCGAGGCAGTTTCCAACCTCCATGCCGATGAACGAGCTACCAACCACCACGACCTTCTTGCCGTTTTCACCAACAGCCTTGAGGATGTTCTGTGCGTCGGGTAGGGTGCGAAGGAGGAAGACATTGCCCAGATCACCCTTCAAACCGTCGAGTGGCAACCATCTTGGTGTACCACCAGTGGCCAACACCAGCTTGGAGTATTCGTAGTCCTTTCCGGACTTGGTTGAGACCTTCTTGCTTGAGAAGTCTACGCTCTTAGCCTCGTCTTCAATGATGTCAATCGACGCATCCTTGTAGAATTCCTTCGATCTCCATGCCGCCTTTGAGATGTCGGCCAACAGTGCCTTTGATAACTTGGTTCGGTCGATAGGCTGGTAGCCTTCTTTAGAGATAACGGTGATCTTGCCATTGTACCCACCGCCTCGGAGACCTTCAATAGCACCAAGGGTGCCCGAACCACCTCCAATGACCAGCACCTTGTCCTCACTCACAGACGAGCACTTTATGTTCAAAAACTTCCTGTTGTTCTTCAATGCTTCCTCTGTGGTCTTGACGTATACGGCCCCGTCCTTTTCGATTACTTCGTATTTCGCAATGGGATCGAGCGCGGGTGCGTCTTCAACATCTCCGGTCGAGACCTTGAAGCAGGCTGCAAAAGTTAGTTTCAGTGGCACAGCGTGCACAAAATTGAAATTTACCTCCGTGCCATGGGCATGTCAAACGACCCTCTGGTGTTAATACACCCTTCACCAAAGGAGCTCCGTAATGTGTGCAGTTTGAACTTGTGGCATGAACTTGATCCTGTACCTTCAAAAGAAGGACCTTTCCTCCCTCAACGCCCTCGACTTCAACCTCTTTCTTCTCTCCATTCTTCATTTGTAAGGAAGTGACATCCTTTAGCTTGAACTCTTGAGCCATAACTGCGGTTGTTGATGTAAATGGGGCTCTTTGTAGGCGACTGGTTGGACTGAATTGAAGCTTGAGTGAGGTTCGTAAAGGTCGAAGAATTCGTAGTGACTGCATTAATGTGTGCAAAGAGAGGTGAGAAGTGAAGGAGTTGTCTATGAGCGCGACAGCTGCCAGTTAGCCAATAATGAGGGGTGCATTACTGACATTTGATGATGTCACGATTGGACGTGCAGGAGCTCCAGCTGTTGTAGCGCCGATCTCCACCCCACTTCAGTCGGCATCACTACATTATCCACCGCGAGCACGGCATATTTCGCTGGCATCCGGGATGTATGAACGTCTGGGTAATCAAGTCAATATAATCACCGCGTTGCTACACCATTAAGGACTCGCAATCATCGACAGAAGCAGCATGAGCTTAGCTTGTTATCGATCCGGCAGCCGATGAGAGTAGGTCGCAAAGCATGAGCAACTACCTGAGTGAGCTTACCGTCCGTGCGAGTTCTTCAATCTCAGCAAGGCGAGCGGTGTTGTGACGGTCATGGACTTTGGCTCGTCAACCTCGGCTTGCAGAGTAGCTGTGGAGCTCAGAATGCATCGCTATGTGAGCAGTTGGCATGGTGATAATCATAGGACAGGAAGCTTAACTCATTGCAGCATTCTCCTGTGGAAATATGCCTCAATAAGAGTAGTTCGAAGGCAAAGGCCGAGGAATGGAAAAGTCTTGCATCAAATAAGCGAAATGATATGTAAGAAGCAATTGAGGCCACGAGACAAGGCTGCGATGTTCTCCGTGGCTGTATCGCTGCTGATGACTCCAGTCCAGGGACCGAATACTTCTTTTGCAACATAAAAACTTTGTCCTCCAATTTGACGGGAGCAACAACTTCTCAGTGTCGTGTAAGCTCATGACGTGGAAAGCAGGGAAAGAAGGGAAAGAAGGGTCTCGTGGGTGGTACACGCTCTTCCGCGTGCCCGCCACCTACCAAACATCACCTAAGCACAGGCGAGGCTGGCAGATCGTAAAGCAAACATACGCAGACACTGGAATTTGCCAACGTTTACGTGCTAGCTTCTTACCCCGCGGCTCCTAGTGCAGTACCAAACAGTAGTTCGACAGCAAAGTAATATACTGCATTAGCCCTGAACCTATCTTCATGCTTTTCAAGCCGCACCCCGCCACCCGACTCTCTTCACCACCAGTCACCATCTGCCATTGCCGAGAACACCACCACATAACCACATCAGACAGTAAAGCAAACAAACAACTCTGAATCAAGAATGTGACACTATTCTTGTCTTTGATCTGTTTTTATGCACTGGATCGTCGATTGAGTTGAAAAGTCATTGCGGACCCCGCTGGTGGAAGGTCGAATCCAAGGCATTGGGGTCAATTCTCTACCAGCTTGTAGACAGTCCCTTCAGCACCAACTTGACGGCGACCGAAGCGCACGTTGGAGGTAGCGCACCAGCCAGGCCAAAGTAACTCGACGTTACTTCGGTACCGACGGCCGGCTGTTATCATGGCTCGTTAGTGGCACAGATACTCGCGAGACTGAGCGCTGACCAGCACAGACACAACCTTCCCTTTGAACTTACCCATCCCCCAGGATGACGGAGCGTGCTCGCATTTGAAAGGGTCACAGATACCATCGGTATGCTTGGCGTCGACTGCCGACGACCAGCTAGATGTTGCAACCTGTTCAGGCCTGACTATCCTCTTCTGCTATCCGCGTACTGGCGCACCTGGTGAAACAATCACAGAAGATTGGAACTCCATACCAGGAGCACGAGGCTGTACACCTCAGGCGTGCAGCTTCCGCGATGAGATGGCCCAACTGCGCGACCTCGGCGTAAAGCATGTATTTGGATTGTCGACTCAGGACACTGCATACCAGAAAGAGGCCAAAGACCGGCTGCATCTACCCTACGAACTGCTTTCGGACGAGAATCTACAATTTGCTAATGCCCTCAAGTTACCCACCTTCACCTGGAAGAATCAGACACTGATTAAGAGATGTGCGCTGGCTGTCAAAGATGGAATCATCATCAAAATCTGGTACCCTGTCTTCCCTCCCGATAGTAACGCAAAAGACGTAGTGGAGTGGCTCGCAGGCAGAAAATAGTATATGCAGGTACCATTTCCGTGCCCCTGAAACGAGTTGGTACCACATTTGGAGGCGCACCCGCGAACTTCATGACTCGGGACCTACGGTGCTTTTACGGCTGCCGCATTCGGCAATGCTGGTCAAAAGGGGAAATAGAGATAGGTGTTGTACTGTAGTGAGTACTGCGTGTCTGAATCCCCTCAATTCATGCGAAAATGTAGTCTACCATCATGAGATGCCTTTATTGTCTCCCTGTTTACTGTCATCTGTCTCGGCAAAAGCAATATTTTGGGGACAAGGTTTGACGGCTGCGACGTTGGGTTGCGCACTAAGGATCGTCAAACCTCCAACCGAACGTGGATCGACCGCGCCGTGCGCGCATGGTCAATAAACTTTAGCTCTTCTACCGGACCCTACAAGATATGGTCTAACCCTCGCCGCCCTGCATGGCGATGCTGTGTCGCAAGGACTCTGTCGATCGTGGATCTTCGTGACTTCGTGAACACTTACTCTTCACTCACACACACACTACATTCGTTCTACATGCTTTCTTTTCGGAGATTCTCGAGTACCACTTAAAGAAGCCTTGCGCATCTTGACGAAGTGGCTGAGACATCGGCGCGGCGTCGTCCATTCCTTCCTTAACAGTATATCCAGCTCCGACACTATCTTTAATAATAATGTCTACCACACTCATTACTAGCCGTCGACAACGAGAAATCACTACTTCTACTTCATCGCGAAGAACGCCCGCCACATCCACTTCGTCGCAACGAGCGTCCACAACTTCTACCACACAGCGAAAGCCATCCGCAACTCCCACCTCCTTACGTGTAGCTTCGTCGTCACCAACCGCACTACCTACCAACTTAGCATCAGACTTCTCTTTTATTCAACTTGAGACCAATCCTGTCCCCAGCGCAACCAACTCAATCGATCAGCCAAGTCTTATCGACACAAGTGTTGGGGCCAGCGAAACATGCTCTACAGATAGCAACTGCACAAAGGACCAAACGTGTTCGAGCTCAAGATGCGTTGCTATGAACGGTGCTGCACCGCTTGGCGGATCGGGTCCAGAGCCAACTTCGCAACTGACACCAGGCTCAGCTATCGGTATCGGCGTAGGAGTTGTGGGATTGGTCGTACTGATGGTAGCGCTCGGTTACTGGTTCTGGAGGATTCGAGCAAGACGGCCACGGCCTCAAACCATTGAAGAGCCCTCAAACGATCTTCGAAGGTGTGCGACGAATGCAACAGATCAAAGAACACTGGTAGCCTCATTACCAAACAGCCCCCAGAACGCAGCCTTCAGTCAACAACAAACCATGGCCCCGGAGCTTTTCGCCAGAGCTCTTGCGTTTAACGACACAAAGGAGAAAGCGGGCAGCAAGAGATCGGATTCATTGGATAAGAAGTCGCGGATCTCAACGGAGAAAGCACTGCCACCTCGCCCGACACCTCATCCGCTGATGTCAAATCCTCTTCCACCTCCGCCCACGGAACCGAAGCGATATGCCGTCAACGTCAACATCAACAAGAGCATGATTTTCGACGATGAGATGATCAACGCTGTCAGTTCACTTCGAGGTAACGATACTCCCCGCAGTAGTGGTACGCCTCGTGATCGTAAGCCGCAATATAAGTTCGAGGAATACATCCCTCCTACCGCGAAACCTCCGCCAGTCATCATCTCGCAGCCAACGCCGACCACGGAGAAGCGAAACTCCGAGTATGAATTGAGCCAGTTTCCGAACCGAAGGAACTCTGCGGATACCGTCTCGATAGCCGACGACAACAGCTCAAAGGGGGGTGATTCAGAACCCCCATCTCCCATTGTCGAGACTCTTTCTAGACTGGAGAGCAAGGCCCCGCAACTACCATTGCCTGACCTGCCGCCTCCAAGTCCAAGCTTCAGTTTCCGTTCCTACGACTGGTACCAAGACATCATAGGCGATCAGCCAAATGGCGAGCCGGCGACGCCAACGCTGCCTTCGCGTAACCCTGCACGTACACCAACACAATCCACATTCCCTAAACCACTATCTCTTTCTCCAAAGAAGACCAAGCCCGCCGACCTGGCCAATCTGGACTCGAGTCTTATTCCAGCACCACTTTCACCTGCTGCACCTCCTGCTGCTTCAGGTTTGCTTTTGCACCCAAGCTCAGCGGCCTTACCCAGTCCCACGAGCCCCAATTTTCGTTTATCACCAACTGTTTATACACCGCCGTCGCGACAATCACCACCTATACCACCAACAGCACCGCTTCGAAGCTCGGCACGGGCCTCTACACAGAGCACCATGACCCGTGCTACGCACGATTCCCGAAGCTGGCTACCAGATGATGGACTCTATCTTGCTGAAGAGGGCGACGAGTATGCCGAATACAAAACTTACCATCGGCCCAGCGAGGACAGCAGACCGACAAGCTACTCGCCTTTAACTTGAGCTATACAAGCCACCTAATCTTAGAAGACGAAGAGCCGACCATCATTTCAAATACAGAGCCATGGGCGGTCGCTCACCTTTTGTACTTTTATTCATGCAGGCCGTGTGCTGCAGGACATTACTTTCATTAAATTTTGCTCGGGGCGAGGCCCTGAGGAAGGATCGCAGTGCGCGCGATGTTGTACCACGCCGACCCTTCCGCTTCCGGTCCCGACTTTGGACCAACGAGGGCGTGCACGACCAAGGTGGTACTCCGACGCACGGGAAGAGCGCGGGAACGCGCTAGGACTACACGCGAGGCCGTGAAATCGCGCATGCGGCAGCTCATGATGGCATTACGAGCAGAGGTGGATATACCATACTACGGATTATAACTGCAGAGCGGATGCAATGTCGCAGAGACACTGAGCATTCTTGTACTTTAATACCCTAACGTAATGTAAAACAACCAAATCAAAACAAACACGAGGAAAGCAACGCATCATTCTGCTTGGTAGCTGTGCCGTTCAAGCTTTCTCCGTGACCGTGCCGTGCTTGTGGGGAGATCCGCAAATCTACCCCACTGTCTTGACATGCGGCTACAAAACGTTGAGCCCGCTATGTCGTGACACGCGGAGATGTAGCTAGTCCGAGAGACATTCCGCGATGCGTCCATTGAGTATTGTAACTGTTCTAGTCGGTGGAGCAAGACCCAGGTGACATGCAGCCGGGACCAAGATGTGAAAGAGAACTCTGACCTGTGGCGCCTACTGCATGCGTGTGTCTACTCGTTGAAGCAAACGCGATGGGTTCCTTGAAGACATGTTCGTGTTACCTACGATTGACAAAGACAAGGAATTCCATATTACCTACATTGCCACTCTAATCTCTAATCTCGAGCATGTTTCAATGGATCTTGTTCCCTCAGCTCGCCGTCATCGTGTTTATCGCATGGCGCATGGAAGATCTCAAGAACCAAGTAAGTCGCTTCTTCTACGCACTACGGGCTACCACAAGCTTCAAGCCCCGAAGCTTCGAATCTGGAAGTGCGCCTTCGTCTTCACCATCCCCACATGTCGGTGCGAACTACATGAGCCCGCATGTTCCTATTCGCTCAATGTCGGCACGATTCCCCATGATCATCCCCCGCACGACTCTCGCTTATGCATGGTGCATGAATACGCCCAGCCTTCTTGCTAGCTGCCCTTCCTGCTGTTCAGCGTCATCGAGGGCTACTTCGCTGCGGGGAATCGCACAACCGACCATCAACGAAAATGGCGCCAAATGCAGGTGCCGCTGACAGCACCGCAGAAAGCTATAAAAGGTTCAAGTCGCAATGGATGCCCGGGGATGTCCAGGCAGCACTCGACTGGTTCAGCACAGCCATCATGTCGCGCTCAAGCTTTCTTCAAGCTTCAACGCTACTCTCCTCTTTTCTAGCGTTAACATCTGGTCAGACACCTATCAGTTCGTCTGACGGCGGTTGGAGCACCACACTCGCTGGAACCCCTACCTCGTTTCGCTCCGTCTTCACTCTCCCTGCCTCGGCTGATCAGGGCGTTGACCAGATCCCTAACATCTACGATCCGGAAGCTGTCAACGCGCAGGATGTCTGCCCAGGATACAAGGCATCCGGTCTCGAACAGGGTGATCGCGGGCTGAGCGCCACCTTGACACTGGCTGGAGCTGCTTGCAACGTCTACGGCACAGATATTGAAGAGCTAGACCTGAAGGTTGAGTACCAATCTAAGGGAAGGCTGGCTGTCAGTATTGTACCAAAGCATCTTGACGCTAGCAATCAATCCCAATGGATTGTACCCGAGGATCTTATTCCACGGCCGCAAGCCGAAGACTCTTCTGAGGGCACAGACCTCAAGTTTGACTGTAAGTAAACAATTTGAAGCCCTGAATGTCTTAGCACGTTTTCGCCTGGATAACGAGAGAGCTCGACTAACACATATGCAAGGGGGTAACGAACCATCTTTCTGGTTCAATGTTGGCCGTCGCTCTACTGGAGACATCATCTTCACTACTCAGGGTACAAAACTCATTTATGAGAACCAGTTTATCGAGTTTGTGAACAGCCTACCTGAGGACTACAACCTCTACGGTCTAGGAGAACGTATCCATGGCCTTCGCCTGAACAACAACTTCACCGCAACCATCTATGCTGCTGATGTGGGTGACCCAATCGACCGCAATTTGTACAGTAGTCATCCCTTCTACCTAGAAACCCGCTACTTCGAGAAGGGCGGGAATGGCAGCAAGACTCCCTTGAAGCAGTCTGAGCTTCAGCAGCCCAGCCTTGGCTATGACAGCAAACCCACCGGTTCGGCGTATGAGTCGCGCTCTCATGGTGTTTACTACCGCAACACGCACGGCATGGATGTCGTTATGAAGCCTGACCATCTTTCATGGAGAACATTGGGAGGTGCAATTGATCTGTTCTTCTTCGATGGACCTTCCCAACCAGAAGTGACCAAGGAGTACCAGAAGTCAGCGATTGGACTGCCTGCCATGCAACAGTACTGGACATTAGGTTTCCATCAATGTCGATGGGGATACCGTAACTGGACGGAGACGAGAGAAATTGTTGAGACTATGAAGGCCTTTAATATCCCCATGGGTAAGTTGGTCCTTACTTGACGTAATACATGTGTTTCCTTACTAACTATGAGCAGAAACGATTTGGCTTGACATTGACTACATGGACCAGTACCGAGATTTTACGCTTGATCCCGTGTCATTCCCTCCCTCTGGTGTCAAAGAATTCTTTGACTTCCTTCATGGAAACAACCAGCACTTCGTACCCATTGTGGACGCTGCTATCTATATTCCGAACCCATTGAACGCCAGTGATGCTTACGACACCTACGCTCGCGGAAACGATTCCGATGTGTTCCTGGGGAATCCCGATGGTAGTCAATACATTGGCGCTGTATGGCCCGGATACACTGTCTTCCCAGACTGGCTGTCTTCCAACGGTGTAGCGTGGTGGGTCAAGGAGATGGTTGAATGGTACAAGGAAGTGCCATTTAGCGGCTTCTGGGTGGACATGACTGAAGTCTCCTCATTCTGCGTCGGTTCCTGCGGTTCCGGAAACGTTACCTTGAACCCTGCTCACCCACCCTTCTCTCTCCCTGGCGAGGTTGGCAACGTCGTTTTCGATTATCCAGAAGGCTTTAACATCACCAATGCAACTGAGGCCGCTTCGGCTTCAGCTGGCGCATCAAGCCAGGCCGCACCAACAGCACCTACGGAGACGGCTGCTACAACTACCAGCTACTTCCGATCAACGCCTACACCTGGTGTGCGCAACGTCAACTACCCTCCATACGTCATCAACCATGTCCAAGCCGGAGCTGATCTTGCTGTCCACGCGGTCAGTCCCAATGCAACACATCAGAATGGTGTTGAAGAGTACGATGTCCACAACCTTTTCGGTCACCAGATCATCAACGCCACCTACCAGGGTCTTCTTCAAGTCTTCCCTGGTAAGCGGCCCTTCATCATCGGACGTTCTACCTTTGCTGGTAGCGGCAAGTGGGCCGGCCACTGGGGTGGTGATAATGCATCAAAGTGGGCTTATATGTTCTTTTCAATTCCCCAAGCTCTGTCGTTCTCGCTTTTCGGTATCCCCATGTTTGGTGTCGACACCTGCGGATTCAACGGCAACACCGACATGGAGCTTTGCGCTCGCTGGATGCAACTTTCTGCTTTCTTCCCCTTCTACCGCAACCACAACGTGCTCTCTGCCATTCCCCAGGAACCCTACCGCTGGGAGGCAGTGGCTTCTGCATCCAGGACCGCTATGCACATCCGATACTCCTTACTGCCCTACATGTACACCCTCTTCAATGACGCCCACACTACTGGCTCTACTGTCATGCGTGCGCTAGCGTGGGAGTTCCCCAATGAGCCTCAGCTCGCAGGTGTTGACACACAGTTCATGCTGGGTCCTAACATCCTGATCACTCCTGTCCTTGAGCCTCAGGTCGACACCGTCAATGGAGTATTCCCTGGTATCGTCGACGGCGAGAGCTGGTTCGACTGGTACTCTGGTGAACGCGTCGAGGCGGAGGCTGGCGTCAACACCACCATCTCTGCTCCTTTGGGTCATATTCCCGTGTACGTTCGCGGTGGCTCAGTCCTTCCGATCCAAGAACCTGGTTACACAACGACCGAGTCCCGCAACAACCCATGGGGTCTCATCGTTGCGCTCTCAACAGATGGCACTGCTTCTGGTAACTTGTATGTTGATGACGGCGAGTCTCTAGAGCCAGAATCGTGCCTGGACGTTACGTTTGCTGCTATGACTGGACAGCTGAAGGTCAATGTTGAGGGCGAGTTCAAGGACACGAACGCGCTTGCTAATGTGACCATTCTGGGTGCTCCAGCAGTTGGACAGGTCAAGTTGAACGGCGAGACAATCGATGCAAGCAAGGTAAGTTACAACTCTACTAGCAGCGTCCTGAAGCTGTCAGGCTTGAACGACTTGACTAGTGGGGGAGCTTGGCAGGGAAGCTGGACCCTAAGCTGGGAATAAGGGGTAACACTTTCAACGGTACTCAGTGGGTCATGACTTAAGTATCATCTACCATGGTAAATAATGACCGTTCCGCTCGATTAGCGAGCTAATCCTAGTCATGAATTCACTACGTTTGAAATCTAAAACCTGACCTTCATGTTTGACAAATTAACATTTCCTCGGAGCGCGTTGTCCTGCCAGTCTTCCAGGTTTTAAGACGAGCGGAGTCGTTCACTAATGACGTCATAACGGGAACTTGCACCTCCAAGGATACGACAAAGGCCCCCAAAGGAAACACTGCGTACCACCATGGTGTCCTCTCACACACGAAGAAAGTTCGCTTGGAACTTCCTGATCGACCTAATATACCTGAACGATTGAAAAAAAGCAACTACACCATGCCGCCTAAGAAGCTGAACCAGCAAGAACCCTCCGCCGTCCCTGATGTCGACGAGCTCAAAAGCATAGCCGCGAAATCAGATTCGCCAGAAGACAAACTCAAAGAGGCTGCCGCAAGTGCTGAATCTGCTCTCGCCTCGGCCAAGACGGCTTCATCGCTACGTTCCGCCGCCGAGACGATCAAGGACCCAAAGAAACGGGAGAAATACCTACAAGATGCGTACAACAAGGAAATTGAGGCGCACGGAAACTCTAAAAAGGCGCGTGTACTGAGCTCAGGCGCGTTTCAAGGCAGTGTAGGGGGTGGTGGTATCGGTATGGCTGTTGGGGCTGGACTGGGTACTGTGGTGGGTACGCTGGTCGGTACTGTGGCCACGATACCCACAACGGCTGTTGGAACGTTGGTTGGTGCGGGCGTGGGTGGTGTGCATGGGCCGTGGGTCAAGCTTGGTGGAGGGAAGAAAGACGATAAAGATAAGAACAAGGATGGACAGGCAGAAGGCGACGGCACTGGTAATGCGGATGAAAAGGATGTCGATGGACAAATTCAAGATCAGATGGGTGGGGAAGAAGACGGTATACCGGATCCTGAGGCACTAAGACGGGCGGCAGATGAGTTTGCGCAACAGCGGAAAGCTGAACAGGGAGAGAACGATGGTGGAAATGGGGGAAACAAGGAGAAGAAGAAACCGAGGAAGATTGAGGTACGAAGTAAATAAGCTGCATAGGGGACTGCAATAGGCGAACTGGGGACATTTCTTCTCATCATTTTGCTTGGGGGATGCATATTTGGCGCTATTATGATACAAGCATTAGGTTTTATGGCATAGTATATAGATTCGACTTGGTGCTTCTCCTTGACTCATCTCAGTGCACAAGATGAAAGCATTCCAATCCTATTCATCGGTGCACGACTACCCCAGCACCCTCACCCATACTTCTTACCTTACCCTCGACAACCCGTTCAGGCAATCCCAAGTCCGTACATATCTCATCGAAACAATGCATACCATCTAGAAACCTCAACAAAGGCAAACCGCTCTTGTCACGGTCGCTCACCAAGCCCTCAAAAACCGGATGTTCTTCCTTGTGGACACTAAGATGGTGGGAATTCTGCTGCTGATGAGGGTTCAAAGACATGGAAGCGATACTCGGTCTGTGTATCGAGAAAGACGGGTGATGTGTGTGGATGTTAGGCTGGGAAGTATGGTGACCATGGGTTTGGATACTTGGTTGAGAGGAGTGATGCATGCGATCATGACCACGGATCGTGGTGGTGTCTGAGTCTCGAGGGTTTGCGAGTGAGGTTGCGGCGCTTGTTTGCAGGCTTGTTGGTGGCGCGGGAGGTAAGGTTGTCGAGGTTGCTATCGCGTACTTGTGTACACGGTAGAGGAAACCTTTGATGATGCCGAAGGTAATAAAGCGGCGTACGTCAACACCATGGAGTAAGTCCAGGTTCTCCAGTACCCAGTTTTTCAGAGTCAGACCCTGGCGTAGCGATGTATATAGCGTTATCAATGTCTCATGACTCGTTTGCCATATGTTCTCTGCTTCCTCTTCCTTCTTTTGCGCCGCAATGTGACTATCAAACTCTGGCATTTTGAGTGTAGACCCCACAGTCCCGCTTTGTTGCGATGACAAAGACGACGTCGAGCTGCGCTCGTCTCGACTTCTCTCAGAAACCTCACTGTCCATCCGCGCCGTCTTGGCATTAGAACCCAGCCTCATTCGCGGCACGCTGACGTAGCGCATACATTCTTCTTTGACTTCTGCGTCCACAATAAAACCGCCAATCTCCGCTGTTGGCGCATATATGGCGCTAAAGCTGAAGATATCCAAAAGTATCAAGCATCCGTAGTAGACCAGATGTTGAATGGCTCGCCTAGTCAAAGAAAGATCGGTATCAGCCAGTTGTGCAATGTGGGATATCGAGTTGATACCGTTGACATATGGGAGGATTCGGTTGAGAGTAAGGTCCGAAGACACGGGCTGTTGAAGACTTGAAATAGATATGGTGAGCAAGGGCACTTGATGCGCGAGAATGGGTGGAGGAGGCGGCCGTGTAGGAAACAATTTCAGGTTGATGGTATTCGAGTCATCTGGGGGTTGGTTAGCATACCAAATACTATGTACTAGTAAGGGACAGTACATACCAATTGGTATCATGCACTCAGCGTAGTTGTTCAGATCCTCGAGCACCATCTCGCACAGCGCATACACCTTGCTTCCGCCGCCGATTCCGAAACCACCAACACCATCATCCGTTCCCCATCCAACATTCCCTTCTTCATCTTCCCAGATGCCCTCTTCTTCTCTAGACAAGAAGCCGCCCTGCTCTTCCAGTCCTCTCAACAGGCGCCCCAACTTCCTCACCACTTCACCATAGCAGGCCCAATCACGCTCATTTTCGCCAATTACGATGGCGAAATTGAATATGAACTCATTTCTGCTGTACTTTCCCTCTCTTATGCAAACAGGGTATCCGATGACACGATGGTGGTTGATGCAGAAGGTGAGTAGGCGGTCGCAGAACTGTTGTGTGGGTATGAGGAATTGCGTGACCGAAGAGAAGGGAAATAGCGGTGTGGTGAGAGCCGATGGGAGGCTGGACGGCATTATGGCGCCGGCGGGCACCTGGTGAAGGACGCGATTTCCTTTGATAAGATGTTAGAGAGTTTTGTTAGGACGCGGTCATCTTGCAGGAAGTACCTTTTTCATGATGAAAGCGAGTGTAGAATATGGCTTTGATCGCGCGCGTAGGCATTGAAGGTTGTAGGCTATACCGCCAAAGTTTTGCCGGGGACTACATGGGGAGTGCTGCGTCGCAGAGTCGCCGTGTGGGGACTTTGGGGGAGCTTCCGAGGTGTCTTGGTCTGTGCAGCGGGCGATGAACCAGGCTCCACATGGCGCCTTCATCATTGCGGAGATTGAGTAGTCTTCTTTGGACGGCAAGATTCAGCTTGAGCGTCACAACACGATACCGCGGTAATCACGAAAACATTGCGGTCAGGTGAAAATGGGTTATTATTCGTATGTAATGTAGGAATCGTGCACTGGCCGATCGGCTTCATAAAGATAACAAGGATAGCGAGAAGGTATACACAGAAGCGAATATGCAGCATCCGTAATCTACAACATGCGATGAAACTATGCTGGGACCAAATGATGCGCGCACTGGAGAGAGCGTTGGGGGTATATGGCGGAAATAGAATAAATGGCCCATCCAAACAACACCCGTGATCCGACAATGTTCCAAAGATCCGAAAGAAGAGACCCGTGTATGAAGAGAAGAAAAGTGCGTTAGGCGTTGATGATGAGGTTACGCTGACTGGTATCTTCAGGATAAGCCCCAAAGACAAAACGATAGAGCTCGCGCAACCACTTGAATGCCTCGCTGCGGCCCAACCATTGCACAGATCGTCCAATCTCAAGCGCCGTCAGCCTGCGGAGCGGCTGAGTGTGAACGTTTCGTAGGGTTGGGTCTGCAAGAACAAGTTTTCGATAGCTGTCGAACAATTGACTCTGCCATGTCTCGGCGCCGAAGCTGTTGGACGGTAAGGCACGAATGAAATCTGGGAGGGGTATTTGGCGGTTGTAGCCAGTATTGATGGCTGCCTTGATGATCAACCCTTTCAGGCGAACTAAGTTGGCATCTTCTCGGCCCGCGGTAGCCGTGGAAGAAGTGTGGTGCGAAGCGTCCGAGTATGTGGAGAGGTTGGAAGAAGCGGATGACCAGCGGTCATGAGTTCGTGTCATACCAGCTTCTGGACCAAGAACAAGTATGTTAGGAACATTCGGCTCGTCCGCTGGTGAGAACTCTTCGCGATCGTCAAAAATTGTAGTCGGCGTCTCTGGCTGGATTGGCGTCGCCCGTCGCGAGGAGATGGCAGAATGATACGATTGGTTTACACTGGAAGACCGTCCAGACCGGTCCGAATACGCAGCCTGGGATCGATGTGTCACAGAACTCCGGCCGACCGAAAAGGCATACTGGGTCGGTCGTGGGGTGCCGCGGTCCGGTCGTACTTGTGTCCAGCCTTCACGAAACAAGTCGCACAACTCCCAACATGCCTGTATGGCCGAACCTAGTAGCTCCTCGTCGGCGGGCTTGCCATCTCGGCTGTTTTGGCGGAGGCTGAATAGCATTTCTGCCAAAGACCAGCATGCGTGCAGCAATGAGTCCGTCTCTTCTGGAAGAGAAGTCCGCTGCTTCATCAGGCGATGACATAGCGTCAAGTAGAAATCCAGTGTGCGTTCACGGAATGTTTCCGGTAGTGTGCGATCGTGTGCGTTGTAGAGATGGTTGTTCAGCTCAAAGCTGACTCTGAGCACCGAGTCTGAAGCTTCATCGCCGCGTTGGCGAACATCAAACAGTGCTTGACAAAAGTCTCGGCAAAGCTCCAGCGTGGGCCGGATCTGCGTGGAAGGGTTCTCTTCTCTGCTCTCGTAAAGTTTCTGGCAAAGTCGCCAGCATGTTCTCCAAGCATGCTCTTGCATATCGGGACTCCCACCGGAGTAGTGGAACATGCGTGTTCGGTGATGCTGGCTAAGTTTGGCCAGCGAGTTGCAGAGTATCCAGCATTCGTCCAGTGCACTTCTCAAGGCAGCGACTTCCTTTTCTGATTCATGGATACCGTGAATGGCCTGGCCCATTGTTTGTGTGCCAATCGACATGGATTCGCCGTCTTGCGATTGTGATGACTGGCTGTCATCCTGTTCGATGACGGAGCTCGCAGAAGATTCGACGGCAGCATGGTCTTCGTACTCGGCAATATCTATGCACGTTAGCGTGTGATGGGTACAAGGCTCGACGAGACATACCAGCGAGATTGACGCTTTTGCGAACGCTGCGTCGTCTAAGGTCTTCCTCGAAATCTTGTCTTGTCTGCGCACGCGGCGTGCTGCGGTCTGCAACCGAGTTTGACACGGCGGTATCAATTGGGGTTGTGTGAGCAGACGCTGTTTGCTTGTCTTCAACATCGGGAAGCATGTTGGCTTCTGGCGTCGATGGCGATTCAACCGCGGTATGATCCGACGTGTTTGCGCTCGACGACGCGCCGGACGTGCTCATCCGGCTCTGGCTTGCATGTCAGCCATGCAGTGCAACCGCGATAGGAATGAGACTCACAAACTGTTTGAAGCTGTCGGGCGCATGGATGACAGATGGGGGAGCATCGTCCGAGTCTGCCCTTCGCACGGCGGTGTTGAGCTTGTGGGTATGGGGCTGTCACAGGTTAGGTGACTGGGTGAAGGGGTGACGATGGATGTGTTGACATGATATCATACCTTTGTCTGGCCGTCCTGGCTCGCCGGGCTCACAATGTCGTCAGTGCCCGGCGATCTAATCTCGCTCATGCCATCCTCGCTCGGGTGGTTCTCTTGGGCATCCTCTTCGATCTGTAGTGGGGTCAGCCCCGCGTGTTCCCACATGCGGCCACGACATGATTCACCTCAGTATGGTCGGTATGGCTCGTGCCGTTGCTGTCAACGGGCGAGGGGTCTACGGAAGCCGGATACGGGCTCGGTGGTGGTTGGAGATGGTCCGACGTGTGACCCGAGGATCTTGGGGAGTCCATGTTAGCCCGCAGTCCCCAATGCTCTCCAGACGAGGGCGTCGCACCTATTTGGGAAGACATGGGCAAAGGTGCCCGGCGAGCTGGGCGAGTCCGTGTAGGGGCTGAATGCCGACATGGACTTTAGGCCACTCGGTGACGGCATGAGCTGCGTCGCGGTTGCCATGCCTCACGCTGCTCTGGAGGAGGGCACAACAGATGCTGCGCCAGAGCTGCGCCGGATCTGCGCTGTTGTGGGTGGGGGACACGATGGAACAAAAAAAGAGGCCCGTCTCCAGATCGGCTGCCTATCACTCCAGACGACAATGTTGGCGAGGCTGAGCGGCGAGTCACGAATCAGAAGGGAATGCGCGGCGCGAAGGGGGGGTGGGCGGGCGGGCGACGAGAGCGCTTGCGTCTATGGGAAAGAAGGACGGGACGAGGCTTATCAGAGCAGACCAGCTGCCGGGAAGAGGCTCAAGGTACGGCGTCGGCGTGTAAAGTGGTGTCGTTGTTTCAACACAGCGACTCTGCCTCGGTGGAGACTCTCAGCGCAGGCGGCGTCAAGCTGGTGTACCCAGCAGCGAACATGCTCGCCCGACCGTGCACCATGGCCCGCTTACAACACCTGTCCGTTCACCACCACCCCTTGGCGCCGCAGACGAATCGCCGCCCGGGGAGCTGCTAAGCTCCAGGGATGAACTGCAGATTAAGCGCCCAGGGCCACGCTAGATTGCGGGCATGCTCAGCGATCCCGCGCCGTGCGTGCCAGAGACACGACACTGGATCCTCTAGAACAGCCATCGCTGGGAACCTGGGTCCATGTGCCGTCTAACGGTGCGAACACCTTCGCTATACTCTACTACTCTGATGCCGTCCCGGACAGAACAGACGGCTGCGGCACCCTCCAGAGCCTAGGTAAGCACTCCCTTGGCATCGTCTATTCACCCAGCATTAGTTCCTCGCATGGCGAACGTTGCTGCAGAAGACTAGGGCCAGGCCTCCATGAGACGCTAATGCACCCTCCCCCAAAAGGCTCTATCAGCTGCGCTGAGACAGCAGCAGTGTGTGCGGCACAGCCAATATGCCCGTCTAGCCGTTTGCTCTGTCTCCAGTTCCGGCCCCATCGACAATCGACGTGGCCGACTTGCATCAAATGGATGCCTCAATGGTGTGATGAATTCCTCCTCGCAACGGTCCGTCGACACATGGCATCTCAAGAGCCTCTTCTTGCTATATCTGTAGGATCGTCATCGGTATCACATATCCGCTAGCTCATCTCCGGATTCTACAAGCGTGTCAGCGTCTCCGGTTACCGTCTGCTCGGATGCTTAGATTGGCCAATTGCATCTCCAACTTTTTGACTTGCACACGAAAGCACAGAATTTTCCCTTACTCCAACCTACCACAGTTCACGCCGCGCAAGTCTCCAATATTTTACGCTGGTCTGACCTACTGGCCTACAGGCAGCCACCTTGTCCGTCTTCACAAACACACGAGCTGCCCTTCTGCGTGCGACCTGCGCCGCTCCCGCGTTTGACATTAGCCGCGCCCAAGGCGGCTTGCCAATAAGCGCCGTGGAGCACAGGTCTTTCTCTCGGTCTTTGTATGACCGACAGGCACAGAACAATCTCCCAGATGACTGACAGGAGGCTGCAGCTTCGGCTTGCATGACTCCCTGCACACACCTTAGTGACCGATGTGAATGTGTCCTTGAGACCAATTGTACCCAATCTGGATTCTGTGGGTGATACCAAAACCAACATCATAAGGCACGCTACGTTGGTCTACTAGTGGTAGTCTTCCTTCGAGGAAGGTGTCAAACATACCTGGTGTCCCACTCGCGTTGATAACTTTGCGTAGACATCCAACCGAAGCAACCCCGCTCTCACGTTATCGGCGCTTACTCCCACCGTCTCTTTGGCAAGCATCCCCACCACCAACGGTACCCTCCTAAACTGGTTCGGGTACTGGCATCCAGATAGCTCCAAGCATTCAAGATCATAACAAAGGGCGGCCTGAAAGCGATCCCGGCTAGCGACAGCCACGCGACATCCCAGCGTGCCGGTACGATCACTACCCGAAAAGCTGACGTTTTTTTTTTGTTCTTCACCATTGTCAATTCCCTAAACAGGAAAACGAGCGTACAAGCGAGGTCCACCAACAATGGCATGGTAACAGACATCTCGATCTTAAACTGCTTTGTCATCGAGTGTTGCAATGACCTCCAACAAGCGGGGTTCGCCCTACCAACAGCTACACTGCCTTGCGGTTCTTGTTTTTTCATGTCAGGCCAGACCGTCTTTGCAGACTCTTACCGTTCAGAAGATCATGCGAATCACGATGAAGAGATCTGAAGCCACCGCACTTTCCATGACGCTGCTCATAGCATGAAATCTCCGAGGGGCTCAGCTATTTAGGAACACTCCCTCCCGTTCCGGGCGCTTCTGCAATCCATAGAATGTGCTTTTCGGGTGATCGTCAGCCCTAAAAAAGCACATCGACGCTTCAGAATCAGAGATACTGTTTGTTGCAGTCTGCCTTAGACAAGCACAGTGTATGTACAGCCTCGTGCGACTGGCGCTGTGCGGCATCATGGGGGTTCAATGTTTCACTACGTCTTGAACGTACGCCTCTGTGTAGGTGATCACCAAACAATGCATGGAAGCCGATGTCATGTGTCGCGTAATAGCACTGGGTCTTGCAATACATCACTGCCAGTCGTAGCTTCCTCGACGCATTCACCCTATACAAGAGAAAAATCGAACAGGTAGAGATAGTAAACTTTACTTTGCAGCTTACATTAGCTCCTAACAAGAGAGATTATAGGGATTAATAGTATTGTAGGCTTCTAGGTTCTCTATGTATGTCTATATAGCTCTAACACGCTTTATTGTAGTAGGAAGAAGTACTCTGCTTAAATGAGATATTTAGTTTCTCTCTTTGGCGTAGTGCATTCACTAACAAAACTCTTGCACGTATGCTTGCTGAGTACAGTGAGAGGTGAAAACAACATTTGATCCAGAACACGATTACAAGCGCCTTCTAAGTTGCTCAAGACCAATAGCACACTAATGTACCACTTAGTATGCATTGTTAGGATCAAGGAAGCTTTACTTCCAGTGGTCGTTCCATTCCTTTTCCAACGCCGTCATGTTGTCTTGAATAATGGCCGCCTGCATAGCCTTTTCGCTAGCCTTGGCCATTTGCGCATTCGTCGCACTCCAATCAATCTATACTACTATCAGCCTTGTTCTATTCAGTCATAACCATACGCCAATCCACCGAGTACTCACTGGGGGTCCGATCCATCCGCTGACAGTCCATTGCGTGCTAGCCATCCTAGCCTGCGATTGAGCGATCCTCATCTGATTCATATGCATATTCTCCTGCATCTTCAGCTGCTGGAACTCTTGCTTCATGCGTGCAAGCTGAATATCCAATTCTTGCATCTTGTTGTTTCGTGCCTGAATCTTCTGCCGAAAAGTTGACAGGTCATTGGTACGGCAGGCGTCTGTGAAGTAGGTCTGAAGGCGGGGAGAGTAGAGGTCACACATGAAACCACCAGGGTGTGGTTCTTGAGCCCTGAACTGCGAGAGGATCGCTGGTCGCGGTGAACTGGAGTAGAGGGGCTCAACGTGCTTGAGGTAGCAGTCTTCACAAGCGGTGAACTCGGATGCCATGGATGACAAGCAGTATTGTTTCTCTCCTTTGACCGAATTCCCCTTTTGGCAGACAGGGACTGGTGCCCACTTCTTGACAAAATCGATCAGTGGTGTAACGTCCCGGGTTTTGGTTTCCAGTGTAATTTCTGCAACGCTGGCGATCTTGTCAACGTACTCTAGACACCGTTGTTGTCCATTTCCTTGAGTCATAAGGTCGCAGGTTGCAAGTAGCGCTTGTCCATCCGCAACTGGCGCAAAAATCCGCTTCAGGCAAGGAAAGATGATGTTGATATGCGCAACGCAGTCCGAACAGGCCGTCATTTCCTCGACCAGCGATCCGGTCTTTGGGTCTCGAAGAGAATACCATGTCCTCGTTACGGCCGGTTTCCCCCCTTTTTTGACCTCTGTATCCTCCATGTTGAAGTTTGGGCAAATACCATCCTTGTCTCTCTGAATACTTGAAATTTCGCCCAACAAGCTCAGATCAGGCTGGCCCTGTTGAAATAGCCACATGTAGGCTAGTCTTACCCATAAGAACGAGAAATCGCACATAGTCTGAAGTTGGGGGTTTGCCGGTTTGGCAGATTGTGCAGAAATAAGGGAAGCATAGCGAGTACCGCGGAAAGATGTGTTATAGCAGTCCGGACAGATGTCAAAATTTGGGATTCGTCTTGGTAAACTGATTTGCAGCCAGTCATTGTGTCCTTGTGTAAAGCTCGACCGCCCGCACAACCCAAGCGTTGGGTACTGTTTCGTCTGCGGTGTTCCTGACTGTGAAGACGACGAATTTCGAGGCGGGAGAGGTGGGGGCCGAACCTAGAGATTGATGTAGGAAATCAGTACATGTCTCGCATGCAGTTCGTACGGGAACATCACTAACCAGAGGCATGTCTTGTATGGAAAGATATCTAACTGAATAGAATGATGGAAAAGCCACCAGCAGGACATCCGATAGTGAAAACGATGTTTTGCTAAGACGGAAGAGACCACCTATCTTTTGGCGTCTGAATACTTCTAGGCTACATAATGAGTAGCTTGCCGAGGCCCTTAGCTGAAGAGGCTGAAAAGTCGTCCGAATACGATACCGGTGAAGGCCAGCCCCGCAATGAGCGCCCAAATCAAGGTCATCGAAGCGCCACGCATGTCGGACCTTCTACATGCGTTGCGCATCAAAGTGTTTTGTGCATGCGAAGTGGAGGGATCGACGGGCTGCGGCCCATTGAATCATGAATAAATTCGATGGCGGCCAATGGACTCATGCAATCAGCGACAATGAAAACGTCTTGTGTCGATAATTGCGGAATTCAGCCGTGACAGTAGTCTTTGCAAAGCAGTGGTAGTTTGCGGGATGGTGGTAGACGCATGATCTGCTCTGCAAGAAGTGTCGGAGCCGAGCGGTTGACACCACGCCATTCGCTACGGCTCTCGCTTGCCCTTCACCAGAATCAAGAGTATGAACAGCCACGCTATTTTAGCTCAGCAAGGCTTGTATCATTGTGTATAAACTAAACGAGCGTGAAATGCCCGGGAGGTATTCGGTCGAACTGCATCCGAGCTCATGCCGGTGGGCACCTGAGGTTCACAAGATGTGTTTAGTTTCTCTCTTTGATGTAGTGCTAAGTAGCTTAATAAATTACATCTCTGCTACAAGCCTCATATTCTGCTCCTTGATCAGGGGCGAAAGAGAATGTACCAAGTGAACAGATCCAACAAGCCGCCTTGTGTAGTTTCGAGAGATAGGTTGAGTACTGCGGAAGGTAGATAGACCACTATATGCTCAATGATGTATTGTTTCTTGAAGATGATTCGACTTTGCCGCTAAAGAAAGTCGCTCACGTCGTCTTAGCAATACTAACAACGTTTCGCAAGGTGCCAAAAGGCAACACGTCGGCGATCCTTTTCTTACTAGCGAACAGCATGACCAGTCTGTCCAACCCACACCCCCAGCCACCAGTCGGCGGCATACCCCATTCCAATGCCTCGAGATAACTCTCGTCGATGGCGCCCTCACCCTCGGGATGGAAGTCACGCTGTTGAATGAACTTGCGACGCTGTTCGAACGGCGAGTTTTCTTCTTCGTATGCGTTGACATATTCGCGGCCGTAGATGAAGAGCTCCACACGAGATGCGACACGTTGTCCAGTGACCTCGTCAATGTATGACTTTGAGAGGGGAGAAAGTGCTTCCGGGTGTTGGGTGATGAATGTAGGGTTTTTACAGAGAGGCTCGATGTAGATCTCCGCGAGAGTATCAAGAAGACGTGGAAGAGTGGGATTGGGCGGGATGTCGAGGTCCAGCTCACCAAATAGCTGTAACAGCTTGTCAGAAGCTTCCGATGATGATAGATCAGGGAGCTTGCAACCACAAGCTTGCTCGATTGTGGGTATGAAGGGCAATTGAGCAAAAGGCTGTGCGAAATCAATATCCTCCGGCGACGCTAGGGTAGGGAAGTACGTGGATCTCAATGACTCAATCGCGGTATGAAGACCGTGTACCAACTGCTCTGTCCTGGCGACGACTGTGTGCAGGTTCGCGCCAACTTCGTAGAATTCGCAAGTTGAGAATTCTGGGTTATGCGTGTTGTCCACACCTTCATTTCTGAAGGCACGTCCAATCTCGAAGATCTTATCCTGTCCTCCAACAATCAGCCGCTTAAGGTTGAGCTCAGGTGCTATCCTGAGCCTAATAGGAGTATTGGATAGCTCGTTTGCGACAGTCTCAAAGGGTCGTGCAATAGCACCTCCAGCGTTAACGTCGAACATGGGTGTCTCCACTTCCAAAAAGCCGCTCTGTATGAAGTATGTGCGCACGTAGTCATAGATCAGCGCCCGGAGACGAAGGACATCGCCAGGCTCGTCGCTTGTGAGCGCGTGAATGTGTGGTCGTCGCGCAAGTGTCTCGGCATCGTCAACCCTCTCTGGGAGGTGATGAAGGCATGGCGCGAGAATCTGGGGTACGTCGAGGGCGAGAATTGAGAGCTGTCCACTCGATGTCTTTGTAGGGTTACCGTTGATGGCTTTGCAGCATTAGAGTCTATTATCAAGCTTGACGGCTTCATCACTTACACACCCAGTCACCAACCCGAGCGACTTTCTTGAAATTCTTAAAGTTCTCATCAAGGCCGTCTTGAGGTGTGAGCTTCTTCAGCTCTACCATGACCTGCAATCGCTGTGTATCACGTTCAATATCGAGGAACATTAGCTTGGAGCCAAGCAGTCGCACTGAGCGCACCCTTCCTGACACTGTCAGAACCGGACCGGTGCTCACGGGTAGTGAATCATACCAAACACAGACACACGATCAGGAGTTGTTTCTTGGATGCCATCGTACTTGGCATTAAAATCACGTATCGATAAGTTGTGCGCATCCGCGGAATAAGCCAGCCTAGGGTGATAATCACCCAAGGGCTTCACCTTGCCCAGGTGCTCCAAGCGCTTCTGCTTCTCTACATCATGTGGGCCAGTATATGCGTCAGCGGCTAGGCTCTGAACAAAGCGCCGCTGAACAGAAAGATATGCTCGCGCATGTTCCGGTCTGATGGAGCGACTAGCCTGATGAAGGTACGGACGGAGAAAGTTCAAGGTTGGCCGGCTCATGGTTCCTTTATCTCGTTAGCTACTAGTCGCAGAGAACGTGTCATAATGAATATGTAGTGAAGACGGGTTCAGTAAAGGGTATGGTGAAGTCAACCGCCCGAAGGCGTCATTCGCAACGGTTCTAAGGTTGTTTTGGATCATCATAGGAAGGGTTGTGGGCTGCGGCGCTTGCGAAGCTTGACAGAGCTCAACGAGGGACTGATGATGCATATCAATCGATCCATTGAGCGCTGGTAAGCAACGCAAGGCACCTGTGTATGTAATGAAATGTTGTAGACTTACCTTTCTCTGGAACATGCCTGTGACGGCACGCCGATGACAAGTAATGGATGGAATGTCGAGGTGAGAGAACTTTCACCTCAGACTGCCAAAGCTCGGCCCATCCGCAGTTGAGCCGTCAAGCGAGCGCAAAGCGGCTGTGCGCAGTCACATGATTCACTAGCGTGCCAAGCATCTTTGTGCTTATATTCTAGCTTTCCGTCGAAAGTAGTTTTGCATACTTGTTCGTGAAAACCTATCCATCCCCTACATTTAGCCTGCTAACATTATCTAGACCTTCTTGCGACTCATCAAGCTCAAGTATTTGATGGTCTGACAACGTCGCCTCCATTGCACAGCGGGGTGTGGTGTTGTCATGAATCTCCTTCGGGGGCTTCAGCGGGGCAATTTTTGCTGGTCTGCCACTGCGGCTTTTCTTTTTCATTGATTCCAGTGCCTTGTGTGCATTGGGTTGAGGAAGAAGTTTGACTGAATGACAAAGCGCAGCCATAGATGTTTGAGGATGTCTACCCGACCAACTCGAGCCATTATGGTGCGGCCAAGGATGTTGTAGGATGTTTACCTAGGCATCCTCAAAGTTATACTGGCGGCCGAGGACGTAGAGGGTTTAGTATAGGCGGGATCTTGAGCAGACCTGAGGGTGGCTAGAAAGCCAGAGCATTGTCAAGACATCCTGATTTTACTGGCTTTGGGGGTAGCTGTCTGTACCTATCTTCCTACTACAACAGACTATATTACAGCTATATAAATATTTATAGAGAATCTAGAAGTCTACAACACTATTAGTCTTTATAATCTCTGTTGTTAAGAGCTAATGTAAGCTGTAAGGTAGAGCTTATTATCTCTACTTGTTTTGTTTTCTCTTGTATAGGGTGCATGAACAACACGCCATGACTCCTAAGTGCAAATAGCAGCCTAAAAGTTGTCGCTGACTTGGTCGAGCCATTCGTCTTACTGCTAATGCTCTTCAATCTGGCGCACATGGCAACAAACGAAGTGTCTGTACCTGCGTCAGCACTTACCCAGTCCGTTCACCAAGAGTTTGATGCATGTCAACTCCCCGGATTCTCAGCGTTTAGCAATGATCCAGATGCTCGATCCACCATCATGGTCCTCAGTTGCAAGCCTATAAGTCCTCGCGTTGCCGCTGGCTTGAAGCCCATCACTATTCTACCATGTATGCCTCCACGTCAACTCCAAAGGATCAGTTTCACATGCCTCTTACTCTTGCACGTCACGATTAATCCGGTTTGTCTCTCATATCAACACCCCGAGCTTAATACGACATCAATCCTATATGCCGAGCGAAGGCCGCTCCGAGCATACTCAGTGGTCTGGCCATAGCTCCCTGTCTAGCTCCAACGGCGAAACGCGAAACGCGTGTTGCCCCGCCATGACATCGCCATGACGCTCGTCAGAATTCCCGTCATCAACGTCGATCTGCGCCAGCACATGGCATTTCCGAATTCGCACCTGTTCAGCTCGCGTAGAGCGGACTTGTACCCCTCCATGGCGTGTCATGACGTTAGGCTAGCCCCTCCAAGCGCATGTACAAGGGGGCGGATAATCTTCTGGTTCGCGGTAGTTGTAAGAAGGCTGCAAATTCAACGTCACATGTTGGCAATATGTCATCGGTTTTGTCTCTGTTAGCATTGAAAAGGTAGGCACTCTGCGCATGTTGTCACTTCTCCATCTCCATCCCTCTCTATCAGACCCTTTCCAACTCTGAGCACTTTCTACCCTTCACATAACAGCTGCACATCGAACCTACGCCCAAAATGATGTCCCAAGCAGCTCGCCAGGCCGAGAAGGTCATTGGCCATGGCGATAACGCCACCACCGCGCAGAACGTCACCAACCCTGGCAACGATGAGAGTACAGCCGACTACTCTGGGACAATGAAGGCTCTGGCGTGGTACGGCAAGAACGAGGTCCGAATGATTGACACACCGAAGCCCAAGATTCTAGAGGATCGTGACGTTATCGTCAAGGTCACTGGTTCCACAGTCTGCGGTTCTGACCTGCACTTGCTTCACGGCACTGTCGTGGAGATGCAGAAGGGCGACATTCTCGGACACGAGTTCTGTGGTGTCGTAGACGAGTGCGGCCCCGGTGTCACAAAGTTCAAGAAGGGGTACGTCTATCTCGAAGTTTTTGCTTAGAGGCATCGCTAATAAAATATAGTCAACGAGTCGTTGCCTCCTTCCAGATCGCCTGCGGTGACTGCTACTACTGCAAACAGAAGCTGTCTTCACAGTGCGAGAAGACCAACTCAAACACAATTGAGAACGCAATGTACGGCGGCCGGACAGCAGGCATGTTCGGTTACTCTCACTTCACTGGTGGATATGCTGGTGGTCAAGCAGAGTACACTCGCGTGGCATACGGCGACGTCAACCTACTACCGCTTCCCGATGATGTTCCTGACGAGGCGGGTCTCTTCCTTTCTGACGTTCTGTGCACCTCATGGCACGCCGTTGTCGACACTGGTGTCAACAAGGGTGATGTAGTCGCCATTTGGGGAGCCGGCCCGATTGGACAAATGGCTGCGGATTTCTCTTTGATGCAAGGCGCATCCAGGGTCATCATGATCGACTCTAACTGGCGTCTCGACTTCGTCAAGGCCAGATACCCCAATGTCGATACTCTCGACTTCTCTACACTGGCCAAGGGCGAGTCGGTCACAAGCAAACTCAAGGAGATGTGCAACAACCGCGGTCCAGACGTCAGCATTGAGTGTGCTGCCGGTGAGTACGCCAAGGGCTGGGCACATTACTTCGAGATGATGCTCGGTCTCGAGACCGACACCAGCGAGCTCATCAACGAGATGATTACCAGCACACGGAATATGGGTCGCTGTGGTATTACTGGTGTATACGTCGGCTTCACCAACCACTTCAACATCGGTTCTCTTATGGAGCGTGGTATCCGTCTTATTGGTAACGGTCAAGCACCTGTTCACATGTACTGGGAGTCTCTCCTCCAGATGATCCAGGAGAAACGCATCGACCCGATGAAGATGGTCACCCACCGTGTTCGCCTTGAAGACTTGGACAAAGTCTACTACAAGTTCGAGAAGAAGGAGGATGGCATGCAGAAGGTCTTTGTTGAGACCAAGTGGAGTTTCCCAGCGTCCAAGGATAGCCCTGAGTTGACCAGGTACTAAGCCTGCTTTCATTATACCAGAACATGTAGCATAGTTTAATGATACCAACAAGAATGAAGTAAATAATTATTACATGAACATAAAGCCGTCAAAGACATGTTTTGATAAAGACGTAAATCTATTAATGTATGCATCATCATTTCGATTCAACTGACAATTAATACTATCATCCGAGGCTTATTGTAGGTGGAAACTTCGTCGACGCACAAACCCAATCGATATGCATGACAAAAGGTCGGGGTGTTATGACAATTTAACCCTGACCTTTCTCCATCATCGGTTGACAATGTGTCCCATGATATAAACTTGACTTATTCCTTTCGCATGCTGGAGCTTCGACCCCTCCCTGCCCTCTACCGTTCTGTGCTCGTCTCATTGAGAGCTCGAGCAGCCTCTAACTCCGCTATGAAAGTCTTAAGTCTCTTCACATTTGACCACGCCATCCTCGTTTGGTAGTACTTTGGCACACTGAAAAGAAACCAGGCGATGACCCACAAATACCCAATAGCATACTCCGCGCTACGCAGCCACCTTGAGTCTGACCTGAAGCCTAAAAACTTCCGCACCTTGCTCCACTGAGTCGCCACACACCACTCGAATATCATAGGTAGAATCTGCGCAACATAGTAGCATGTGATAGCCCAACAATCGCCAGAAGGGTTCTGTTGCCACCGAACGAGTGAGTGCATAAGGCCGGATACGAAGAAGACAAGCGTATTCTCGACCATTCGCGTGACTGCACCGCGCTTCATACACAGCCAGCCTCTCGTCACACATTTGATGTGGCCTGAGAATGAGTGATAGACATAATTGTGCCAATGCTTCGACCAGTACCTTCTCACCGACCACGCGTTACTAAATGGGCCAAAGAGAGCTGTAGACCACTCTTCTGGGCCGTCTAGCCCCGAACCGACGTAGAGAACGGTGAACACACTGTGATAGCTTTCATACATCCATAAGGACAAGATGCACCAGTCGAACGTGAACTCTAACCGCCAGGTTATCTCTTGGTAGTCCATAGATGTTGGCAGTTGCTGGAAGAATTCCAAGAGCCCTGGTGTCATGTATACGCTAGGCGGCAGGACAAGAGGGGAGTAGCGTGTTTCGTAGAGGTCGAACAACCTTTGGAGGCCGTAGTAAACGAACCCCTTGAGGATATGGTAGCCGACAAATCTCCAGCGCGAGTAGCCGTGGCCTTCTTTCTCAGGTAGCACAACACCGTGCTGGATACGAGTGCTCCGTAAGATAGGTTCGTCAGTCTTCTTATCGGTTGCTGTATATTGCTCTTCTCCGGTCTTTTCTTTCGATGCCGAAACTCCATTGGGGTTTGTCGGTGATTTGTGCTGTTGTCTCTGTTCAAGTACCTGCGTGTGATTCCGATCGAAAAGAACTTTGTATCCCTGTCTGATTCTTTCTTTAGTTTGTTCCTGTTCTCCCATGTCTTGCTTGTCCTTTGGCAGGACCGGCGCAAATTCTACGACGCAGACTTCGTAGCTCATGTGCGCGAACCATATTAGACACGTCCGCGCAAATGTGTCATTTACTAAGAAGTGTGGACAGAGTTGATCCGAGTATCGGAATGCATACCATGTTGGTAAGGCGAGGATGAAGATGGAGAGTTTGCGGTAGAGACGCCTGTTTGGTGGGAAAGAGAGAATATAGAGGGCGTATAGTATGGCTGTGGTGAAGCACAGTGTAGGTGTGGCACCGTTGATAAGTTTCCAGTCCTCTTGCAGGTACTGGCCAGGCATGATGGTCGTATGTGCGATGTGTTACGCAGCCGTGAAATCTTCCAAGTGGTCTGAAGTGGCGGTATACCAGAGTGAGAAGATTGGGTTTTCAGAATTAAGAGTGAAATCTTTTTGGTGTGTGCAGGTCGGACTATACAACTGTGGTCGCGAATGTCTAACCACGGTTGGTGTGGTGGGGACTTACGTGAAGTTGTGGTAATAAGACTCCCGAGCCTTGTTACCTGTGAATGTCCACTCAGCTCGATTGCGAGGCGTGGATCCTCGAACCTAGGCTCAAATGTGGAGATGGGTGAAAGGCGGTTCTACTTCGCAGCGCGGCGATTTACCGATTTCCAGCATTCACCGATCTACTATCGTAGACCTTTAACTATTTAGTACTGTGAAAACAATCACACGATACCGCAGTTCTATAGGTCGGGTAATAGAAAATAGTGTGTTCCTTTCAGGCTCAGTCCAGTGATCACGGATGTTAGCCCGCTTTGTGATGCTTGCATGGCTTGCGCTGGAGTAGGCCTTCTAGTTCAAACCATGGTTTGTCAGACAATGGAAACAGGGTCGTTGTCAGAGGCTCAAATCAGCTTGACCATCTACCTGTTTTTCTATGTCTGTGAATTACCAACATCCCCAGGCATCGGAGCGAAACCGCTGATTGGATATTCGTACGATACTGGCGAGGAAGACGTATGTATTCCTCCTAGAAGCATTACGAATATGCTTAGACACAGTCGTACTGTTGAGTTTGCATGTTCAGCTGGACAAGATTCGATGCTACTGTTGAGGCTCCTACTGCTGTCTTTGAGGAATCGAGGAGAACTGAGACATCGGTGTGATAATTCAGCGATTATTTGGTCTTGACTAGGAATGGATCAGGACAAACAGGGAGGTGAAAGGACATGCTTCCTTTGAGGTACTAATGCGGCCTTCGTCTGTGGTGCTTTGGGTATCGAGACTCTATGTCTAGCCAGTAAATCGATCTTTGGGTCATTCAGTCGGTCCTGTGATCGGAGTGTAAGAGTCCTAATCATGTTGTTCATCACAAGAAAGTAGGCTATGAGCCAATCTGCTAGACGACTGACTTGTTCGCTATCGTATGCGTCTTTGGTAGTGATTATTCAGCCGGCACAGCATGCTTCATCTGACCAGTCACTCAGGCACAAGTCACTCGCAGCTGACGCTGATCTTGCTTGCAGACTCGTCATGATTACATCTGTCGACAAAACGCGGACGGACAAAAAGAAAAGAAGGAAAAGAAAGAGTGCACGGAGGTCTTGCAAAAGACGTATTCGTTTCTCTTGGCTATTGATACGGGGTCCGCGAAACAACAAAAACAAAACGACCGTGTGCGACGTGCTGGCAGTCTGTGTTGTATTGTTGAGATAAGACAAGTTGCCGCTCAACCGCACCAGTGGTCTTGAGTACACGGGTACTAGGTTGTGCCCAGCCAGACGCCTAGCCACAAAGTTGTGGCGCGTGCTGTTTCGAAACCAGTTCCGGGTCGTGGCGCATGAAGGCTACGCGGCCTTGCAGTGTCGCATCCATAGGATCGGCTATATGCATAGCATGGTGTGACGCGGGTGCAGCCGTTGCTTGTGGACGCCAAGGTTGGCTTGTGGTGTCTCTGCGGCACCATGCAGCGACGCAACGCCTTGTTGCTACTGAGGCACCATGGCTGATACGATGGGACCTTCACATGCTGGCATACTTGTCGTGGCTAGATTTGACCTTCATGTCCAAGGCTGTCTCATGGAAGTTGCCCTGGACCCTCGACTTCCTTAGCTTCTTGACCTCGTCGTCGTTGAGACGCCGGCCAATCTGGTCTTCTAGCTCCTTGCGACTAATCTTGACATTCGCCTTCTCTTCCTTGCTCGCCTTGAGCCGCGGCTTGAAGCGGGCTTGCATGCGTATGCGGAAAGTGGTGCTGAAGTCTATGTGTTCGGCGTCGCCCCGTGGTTCTGGGGCTTTCCCAGACGATTCGTCGATGGTCAGGAACTTGTCGCGGGCAGTCTGTAGGGAGAACGCGGAGGGGTTGTCGGGCACGGCAACGACGACAAAGGTTTCTTCGGGAGAGATGGCGGTCGCGGTCGCGCTTAGGACGCCGAACTTGTCGCAGCTCAGATATCTACATCATGTCAGTCGCGTCTTTTGCATGTCCTCTGAAGCTCCGTACCTTCCGTGATGGCCCTTCAGACTGAGCTGTTCGGTGCCAGCGATTCGATTCGCGACGAAGACCTGGCGCACATCGTGCGGTTCAGCCGTCGCGACATCGCCCTCGACTATGTTCTCCAATTCGCTTGCAAAGACCTTTCCGTTGGCGTCGCATGCCAGGCACGTGTTCGGCGAGTCGGTGGGCAGCACAATGACTATAGGTCCTGAGATGTCTGTCGGCGCATCTGCGCTCACCCAAGAGTCGTCGCTCTCGGCTTCGGCAGGTGCGCTGGTCGTAAGCTGCTTCGAGGGCTTCTCATCGGCGTCGTAAGGGTCGGCAGCTTTTCTGCGCTTCTTGACCTTCTTGTCACCCTTGAAGTGGAGTGCCTTGGGCATGGTGATGGCGCCGCGATGGTGGTGGTGGTGGTTAGGCGTCGGAGTTGAGAGATCGGAGTTGGCCGAGGCTGAAGCAAATCAGGCAGGTGCAGTCGAGATTCTGATCAGACGAGACCAAACCCGCACTACGAGATCACGATAAAGAAGCAGTACTGGCTACCGAGTGTGAATAGCATCACCAGTCACTGCATCTTGCTCGACGACCAAAATGGCCAACGCTAACGCTGCAGTGAGCCAGAGTGCCGTCGCCGTAGGTCTAGAGGCTCTGAAGAATAGTGAGTGGCTTTTGCATCACCACAACCCACAGTGGCTGATATCTCTGTAGACGATGTAGACTTTTCTCTACTCGAAGATGCCTTCGGATCATCTAGCTTGGGCATTATAGTTGTAAAGGATCTGCCTTCCAAATTCCATGAGCTGCGACATAAATTATTGTCATACGCCTCTGCTCTGGGAAATCTACCAGAAGACGAGTTAGGTGAGCCGCGTTCCCAAACACCCTAATGGGATGAATGCTGATAGGTGACCAGCCAAACTTGAATCGCCAGCATCCAAGTGGCTAGTTGGCTGGAGTTGTGGAAAAGAGACCCTCAAGGACGGCAGATATGACACCCTCAAGGGCTCGTACTACGTCAACTGTGCCAATGGTTTCGAAGAGCAGCAGAAGTCATTCGCTGAAAAGTACCCATCCTTCCCAGAGTACACGGCGCCCAACGTTTGGCCTTCCCATGAGCTCCTCCCAGGCTTCGAGGACACCTTCCGTGAGCTATGCACTCTCATCATCGACATAGCCGCATTGGTTGCCCGTGCCTGCGACAAGTACGCCGAAGCCAATATCGACGGCTACCAGAAAGGGTACCTTGAGCATGTAGTCAAGACAAGTGTCTCGACCAAAGCCAGACTACTGCACTACTTCCCCAGCCCCTCGTCAGTCCCCGACACATCCAGTGGTGATGAGGACGACTGGTGTGCCACTCATCTTGATCATGGTTGTCTCACAGGTCTCACCTCGGCCATGTTTGTCGACGAAGCCGTCAGTCCTCCAAAGACCGGTACATCATTCGCGCCTCTTCAGGAACTTGACCGCTCACCGGATCCCAAGGCGGGTCTCTACATTCACTCCCGCACCGGTACTGTCACAAAGGTCAGCATACCCCGCGACTGCCTCGCTTTCCAGACTGGCGAAGCACTGGAAATCATCACAAAGGGCAAGTTCAAAGCTGTGCCTCATTTTGTAAGAGGTGCTGCAGCTGGAGGAAAAGTAGCGAGAAACACACTAGCCGTGTTTACGCAGCCGAATCTGTGGGAAAAGGTTGACGAGAAGAGAGACTTTGCGGCCTTTGCCAAGGAAATTGTTGAGAAGAACCACTGAGGCTCAAGCGGTGTTGGTGTAGCGAGCAATAGACCTCAAGTCAGTCAATAGGCGACATGTATAATGACATCACGCATCTCACCCGCTCATTTTACAGGGCCGCCAAGCTCCCGGGCGTTCCTGCCCAAGGTACCCGGGACCTGAGTCAACGGAAAAAACCCAAATGGCGCATGCATGCTGACAGATGGCATTTTGGAATCGCCAGAATTGCATGCCACGACAGTCAGCTGTGGCTTCGTAACGATGCCAGCGCTTGAATCATTATCCACAATGCCGAAATGAGGCTCCTAATCTACGCATGATACAACGCGTCGTCCTGTACGCACTTCTTTGTCGTCGAAGCGCGCTAGGACGTTGCTGTGAGACGCGCTACACACATTGCGCGGCCTCGAAAGTTGAAACACACAAAACAGCGGCTGTCATCTAATCTACGTCGACGATCTCACCCACTGTCAGCCGCCGGCCAAACGTGGAGGGTGGGTACTGAGACCCGAAGACGCGCTGCTTTAGGTTCCAATGTTGCGCCACACGTCCAAGGTTTTTCGCCATGGATGCAACGCAACCTCTGCGCATCCCTAGGCAAGCACCCGTTCCTTTAGCCACAGGCAGTGCCAACACAATCACTATATTCGTTTTCTTGCGTGCAGTGCCGAATCCCGGTTGGCGCATCCTCTGTCACCGCCACAGCGAATTGCCCATGCAGGCGGCTTGTTGCCAAGAAATAGAAGGCCTGAAACCGGTGGGGAACATTCACCATCCACCGACGATTATTACGCGGCCACCCATGCTGGCTCGGCGCTTGTTCCCCCTTTCAGCCCCAAAGCCAATTAGACGGCCAAAAATCCCTATTCCTTCTCGACGCATCTCTATCATGCCAAGAGAGCCTATCCGAGATGCCGTCTTCGCATGGGGGAACTTGCTTGCACCCTTGCCATGCACTTAACCTCCTTCTTGGTTCGATTCTATCCACACCAATGCAGCCTCTATAGCTGTCACTGTCGCTCATTTTTCTTCCCTCTCTTGTTTTCCTGCAATCGCTGAGCGTTCTTACACATCACCACTTGGGGCCTGTATATCCCATCATCAGTCGTTAAGTCGTCTGCATGCGTATGTCTTTCCTAGCAAAGGCCCCGTTATCGCTCGCGCGCGCCACCATCTCGAGCCTTGCTACTCCTTTGGAACCCGCCGCTGGTCCCGGAAAGATGGCTTCCAACAATCGCCAGAATGTTACTTGGGTTGAGGTAGGCTGTCATAGTCCAGCCAGACATGGGTGTCTGCTAACCGTCATAGGGTGTTCGTGGAGTCGCTTCGTTCTGGGTTGTCGTAACACATTTATGCCGGGCTTGGGACTACAGCCTTTGGTCACCGCGTGACAACGAGAATGCAGCACCGCAACTACTGCAACTGCCCTTCCTCCGATTACCATTCCAAGGCCGTATCGGTGTTACCATGTTTGCTTTTCTCACCGGTTACGTATGCGCTATCAAACCACTTCGACAGGCCAAATCTGGAAACGTTCCAGCTGCGTTGGAGACACTGGGCAAATCTGCTTTCCGTCGCCCACCGCGACTGATTATGCCCGCAACCATTGCTCTGGTCATTGCGTGGTTTTTTGCCCAAATTGGTGCTTTCGAGGTTGCCCACTTGAGCGACTCTCACTGGTTCCGTCGTTCTGTCCCTACCAACATCGGTGGCCTTGATACGGAAATCCCACGATTGATCAAGAACTTCCAGACGTCTTGGTCCGGCGCCAACAACGAATACGATGACCACCAGTGGGCTCTCTTGCCTCTGCTGCAAGGTGCTTTCCTCATCTACGTTTTGCTCTTCGCCACTGTCTTCATGAAGTTCCGCATGCGCCTCTTTACCTGCATGGTTCTGTTCCTGTGGTACTGGATGCGCACTAGCCCTGAGAAGGGTATGTATTGATCGTTGAACTTGCTCGCAACAATCACTAACATCACTAGAAACTTTCGAGTGCCAGTTCCTCTACGGTGTCATTCTCTGCGATCTTGGCTCCGAGAAGAGCTTCCGCGAATTCATCAACAGCCGTGTCAAGGCTCGACGTATTGCGACCGCATTCCTCATCATCCTCGGCTGGTATGTGGCGTGCTACCCGGGAGAGCACTGGGAGTGGTCGGCTTGGTCTGTTCAGCTTAAGAATATTGGAGACTGGATTATTCCTCAGGGTGCAGCAAGCTACCCCAAGCGCTGGACTGCTATCGGATGGGATCTGATGGTCACCGGAATCTGGCTATCGCCTTCTCTGCAGAGCATGTTCTCGAACAAGCTCTTCATGTGGGTTGGCCGCAACAGTTTCGCCGTATACCTTACCCACGGAACGGTCATGAAGGTTGGCCTAGCTCGCCTGATTTACGGATTCAGCACTGCACCATACCACGTCGAGCAGCCAAAGGATGGTCAGGGCGAAGCTATTGAACACTACATTCCCAGGTCTACAAACTGGTTGGTCTGGGCCCTCGCCATTCCCATCTTCTTCGTCGTCGAATACACCATCGCTCACCTCTGGACCACATACGTCGACGCACAATGCGCGAAAGCCACCAAGTGGCTTGAGGACAAGATGTTCGAGAAGAACGAAGACGAGAAGCACGGTGTCGCAAGCATGGCTTAAATCAACACAATGCGCAAAATTACAAGCATCATCATCAGGAGCTACAGATGAGAACCTCCTGCTCGGTTTTCATTGTTGTCGGGTTTCATTTTCGGTTTTACGATTTCCTTTGTTTGGGTTTATTACATCTGCGGATACCAACATTCGTCGCATTTCATGGAGTTTCTTTGGTATGGGCAGCAATCAGCATAAAGCATAGAGCTTTCTTAGACGAGGGAAATGTTCTCGTGTCGCAACGACAAGATATGGCCGGCACTGTATAGCGAAGCAAGCGAGTCGAAAGCTCAACAGATTATCTAATTCAACAAATCATCAACTCAAATCTCAAATGCCTCATTCTTGCATCGTGCACCCCATATCACATCCGGCCCGATCCTCGTGACCTTTTTGGTCAGGAATAAGTTCCCGCAGATCTTTGAAGCATCAAATCTTGGCCGCCTCATTATGGGAAGTATCATCGCAAACACTCATCATGCGACAACACAAAGAAAAAAACCACCGAGAAATTGCGCCATCCGGCCACCGCCTATCTCCCCCATCCGTCAGAAAAACCACTCCTTCAGGAACGGCCCCAATCCACACCTTCCCAATTCCTCCACAACGGTCCCCGATACGCATCCTGCAATGACGTACATCCCTGCAGCGGACCCCATTCCTACAACAATCCAGCCCACTCTACTTGACCAAGAAATCCGGACGGCATCACGAGCCACATGCAACAACTTCTTAAGCTTATTGCCAAGCTCGCTGCTAACTGCCGCTTGAGGGACATTAGCCACAAGGGTCTCTTGGCGTTGTTATACCCACGCCGTTATCCCCGTTGGCTGTGGCGGCTGGTGTGGTGTGTGGTGCTGCTGCGCGGACGCATGTGTGTTGCGCATGATGGCGGTGTGCCGGTCAATATCTTTGCGGGATACGAGATGTAAGAGGGCAATGCTTGTGTCGCATGTGTATCTGCTATCCACTGTGATTTGGAAGGTGTGGGGGCCGGGATCGATGGAGTTGGGGTCTCGATGGAGAAAGCCCTGCGGTGGGCCACCCAACGACCTGTGCAGTCGACGGTTTTTTCC